AATTTTTCAAAGGCTACTGTAATGTTTTTTACAAAACTTCTGGATTTCTCCTGCGTCGGTTTTTGCTTAGTCTGTTAGTTTCAGTCAAGCTCTGAAGAAGCCAACAGGATGATTGGCGAAAGGTCAGCAATTTCGACGATTATGATAATACACTTCATTGTTTCAATCAATTCTAATTTGACTTATTGAATACGACGAGCATAGCGAAACATTTTATATCTAGATGATAAAGAAAAGAAAAGTGATGTGGGACGTCGATACGGACTTACACGATTTGGAAGTGCAAAGAAAAATTCGGATTTGGATCCGGCAACGTTGCAGTGGTTCCAAGTATATAAAATAATTAAATATTACTGAACATATATGCGTGCTTATAACGCTTTGTAATGAAAAAAAAAAAGCAGTCCCTTCAATTTCGCTATGTAGTGTTTCGATTGTAGGCGTTTTATACAAATCCATCCTAATACCAAATTAGTGAAATTACCTATAAAAACTTCTTTAGGGTTTTTGAAACCTTGATCTACCCCAAAAGAGAGGAGCCGCCAATTTTCTTTCACTGTTGGGTTAGAAAAAAGAGTTTTTGCAAGTTTGCAAGAGCACGTGAAGGTGCTTGTAAAAATACTCTTTTTACTTGATAACGAAAAAATCATTTACCAATTTATTTATTTATTTATTTATTTATTTATTACAAAGGTGCCCTAACATGAAGAACTAACTTCACAATTTACAAGGACACACTAACAATTATACCATTATTTAATTAACAAAGTAAAACTTATAAGTAAGTACCTACCTATATCTACGATAAGCAGAAGAAAAAAAAAATAATAATAACAATCAAACTTACCAAACTAAACCAAAACTAACACTGTATATTAAGTGCGTGAATTACAAAAAACAAATGTGAAAAAATAAGGAAAACAAATCAGAAATTAAAATAAATTAAAAATTAAAATAAATTTATAGAAAAATCCTAATTGCTTGATTTCGAAACGAATTAAGTGATAACGCAAAGATGTCAACGTGCGAAAAATAATTATTGTAATGTCTATGTAAAAGAGATATTGGGGAATTGTTACCTAAGTTTGTATTAAATCTAGGCACGTAAAATAATGAAGGAGTTCTTGTTATAACGACTCTCGCATTGAAGGGTAGTTTTTCCAACAGCAAAGGACAGTCAATCCTACTATTAATAATATTATGCAAAAATATAGCACTGGAGATAATTCAGATAACAGATAACTTCAGTATATGGTAGAAATTAAGACTAGCTTCATACGAATGAGTTAGTAAGTTACGGTTAAATCTAAAATTTAAATGGAAAACAAACTTTTTTTGTATTCTCTCGATTCTGTCTATATATTTATGATACTGAGGACTCCATATCACACCGCCATAGTCAAGGTGAGATCGAACGTAGGAATTGTATAGAATAATAAGCGATTTGTGATCCTGAAATTCCTTGCTAACTCTTAATATAAAACCTAAATTTTTATAAGCTTTTTTTGCTATATTCTCAATGTGGATATCAAAACTTAATTTTACATCTACAGTTATTCCAAGATCCCTAATCTGCTCTACTTTTTTTATTTTTACACCATTGAAGGTGTAGTCAAAGTTTATATCATTTATCCGCCTGCTGAATTTAAGACAGTAACATTTATCAATATTTAAAAATAGACGATTTTGACAGTCGTTAAGGCTTTTCACGGGCGCGTATGATTTCTGATCATCTGCGTATGATGCTGATTTAGCAAAAAGGAATTCCAGATGTGATGCGGGTCGTTTGGGATTTTGCAGAATTCATAAAAACCAACCAATAAAAACTGAGTCTGTTATACACCTGCCACCCTGTTGATACCATGAGCTAAACCGCCATAACACAAATAAAACCCTTTTCCGGTATGTCAGTACTCAGGACCAGGACCGTATTCCGGCGTTTCCGCGTCCCGTCGAGTACGGCCCTGAGCTCCCGCGAAAATACGCGGAAACCTCCTCGAAGACGACTTCCGGGACCTGGTGCGCCGCGTATTCGAAGTCGTCAAGCACCTCGCTCGGTATTAGCCGCGCAGGCGACGAGAAAATCGCCGCCGAGGTGGCCATTTTTATATATCTCGCGTCGAATGGCACTCGCGATCTCGTGTTTCCGCGGGCTCCGGTCAACTGGACGCGGTCTCGTGCGGGACAGCCGTCGAATCACCCGGAGGTGTTCGGAAGTATGTTATATTTCGCCGCATCGTAGCAAGTCTATTAAAAATAGCGTTAGTAATTTGCTCAGAATAAAAAAAACATATTTTTAACGGATTTTATTTAGGGTTTTACTGTTTTCCCCATTCTTCTGCGTTTTTAATATTCCCCCCTCTATTTTGCGTTTTTAATATTTGCCTCTGTCCTTTGCGTTTCTAATATTGTCCTCTGTATTTTGTATTTTTAATATTTTGCTCTGTATGTTGCGTTCTTAATATTTTCCTCTGTATTTAATAACAAAAAACATAATATTTATTACCAAAAAATAAAACTAAGGTATATATTTAAAAGACAAAGTTTTATCGTGATACTGGAGCTGCATCTAACCTCGTATTCATTAATTAAAAATGAACGTTTGAAAATTGCGAATTGTAATAAAAACCTTGGTGTTTTATTTGATTGTAGACTTAGATTCGTGGAATGTGTATCTTTGTTGGCGAAAGTCTTACTTGGTTTTTAATAGGATACCCGATTCAATAAAATCATATTCAATTAAATTCTATAAAAAATATTTCAGGTTGCAACTGCTAACTTCTGAAATAATTTGATTTGCAAGCGGACGATAGTTTGTCACGCCTATTTTTAGCAGCTTTAATAATTTCTTCGGTAGTTAACCGGAAAAAACGTTGCCCGACGATCCGGAGCAGTTGACGGGGGCCCGGAATCGAACAGCATCGAGAACATTCGATATTTACGGCGCGTCGAAGGCAGCAGAAGCCGGGTTATGACTTTATGAGCTGCAAATCGTCTGCTAATGGACGCAGGCCAGCGAGAGAAAAAGCGAGGTATATTCTGTCGCGTAGGGCGGCGGATAAAATCGGTTTCCGTCGGTTTTCGGTCATTTTTCTTAGCGAGACTTCGAAAAATGTATTCTTGAAGCCGCTAGATTACCCGCGTCCATTTTAAAACGGTAATCGTCGGTCACGATGAATTCGAGATCGCGAGCGCGGGAAAAAACCCGGAGGAATCCGGGCCCGTTTCCACCGGACCGAAGGTTTCGAATTTTTCCGTAATCGGCGCTGACTTCAAAGTCGCGTCAAACTTGGGTACATTAAAGTACAACAGGTATGTCCGCTAAAAACGCCAATTTTATGTACATTTTGTGCGTAATAACTCGCGCACTAACCACAAGCATGCAGTGGGGATGGATGACGTCATCGCGTCTAGATTGGGCGCTACCATATAGCTATAAGATAATATAGTGGCCCTACTACAGTAAAAAGTGATGCGCCGCAGGTGGCTATGACATTTTCGTAGAGAGGGTGTGGATCTTTTGCGCATGCGTCACGTCCCAACTAACTGAGTTGCCACATTGCCGTAATTTCTTGAAAAAATTGACCAATTTTCATTAAAACGCAAAATCACTTTCTGAAATCCGAATATAATTGGCATTGCTTCTATTGCCAGAGACTACTAATATTCTGCGCCATTGTTTACATTTTTGGTGGTTATGATTCTCTCAGTACCTTTTTCGTGTTTTTGCGAAAAACTTGTTGTGTTTGTGGTCAAAACTGTAAAGAAAAGAATGTGCCTTATGCACAAGTTAATTTATTTTTTTTTTAGGTTTATAAAAACACACTGTTTGCTCCGATTTACGCACATCAATTCGGGAAAAATTAGCTGGTATCGTGTCTGTAGCGCTTAACGAACCAAGACGCTAAAATACTTACAGAATTGTACTGAGGACGCCGATCCATTCAGCATAATATTAACTCTGCAGTTGTCGCTAATTTTTTTAAGAACACTTTCTACACCTTAATTCCATTTTTGCCTAAAAATTGAACCGGATTTCAACATATTTTGAGAAATTACTGCAACCAAACATTGACGACCTGCCAGCGGCCATGTTGGTTGCTGCAAACCGCAGCTCAAGTTTAATCAGGCATTTTTCTCAACGTACCATGTCAACAACTGTTATTTTAGGAAAAATCCCAAACAAAAGCCGCTCACGTTTCATTACAGCTTCGGATAATTAACCAAGCGGTAATTAACGAGCTCCCGGGGGTACCTGCTCTCGCAGCTCTTTCATCTTTTTAAGTATTTTTTCACGAACGACGGACACGGAGGCGTGGAGAGTTAAATTTGCACTCGCAAGCAGACAGCGCGGGTGGAAAAGTGCGAAATTCCTTGTTTTCAAACCGCCGGTCTTCTTAGATGCACTTGGAACGACACAATCACGAAATTTTACGAATTATCTGGTTGACTCTGGATTTTTCTGGTTTTATGTCCTCTTCCATTTGTTACTAGTTAGAAGGTTAGGTTTATACACGACCGATGCCTGTAAACTGATATTCTAGCGAAAAACAAAGAAGAAAAGTCAGCCTTTCGGCCTGCTTGTTGTATTCTGTGACTCCCAGCCTGGTATAATACGTACAGAAAAAGAAGAAGAATTAGGGATTCTGTGACTCGTATTTTTTGATGTTTAAAAGCACCAGTCAACAGCACCGCATATTGGGAATTTCTTCTGGCGTTAACGAATTTCCTTTTCGCCGTGTGACGTAAGATTTTTGGTACTGGTAGATTCAAACTAACCAAAACATTGACGAAAGGTTAATACTTGTGCGTTTTGCGTTTAGGCGACTCGTGTAAAACGTGGCCTGCGGTTAAACGTCTCGATGGACGACAACAGTCGTCGTAATAACAAACCATCACGACGGCGCCCTATATTATTAATCAATTAGCCGGGCTGCTGCCGGTCGTTACCGATATAGGGTCGTTACAAGGTCATCGGTGCGTGACGCGGGCATCTGTGGCACGCGGTGTCATGTGCCCAACTTCGCACTTGACCGGCCAAGCGTGTCGGCTGGCGTGTGTCCCGCGCGCGATCCGCCATTAGCGTCGTCTCGATTTCGGTCGGAAGTGCCGCCGCGAGATGAGCCCCGCTACGGCGAGATGACAGTTGGCCGCGCGAAATTCCCACGGACCATAAAAACCGTCATAGGTGTTTGATATATCACGGCGATTAAGTTTATGGCTCGGTTTCAATCGCTTGTTTTTAATCGACGCCGGCATACTGTTGATCGGGGACCGTTTTTCAGCGCCGCGCGATTGATTTACGATCCATCTAGGCGAGTTTGCCGGCCGTTCCCATCAACAAAGTCGTCCCGAAGGCACTTACACCATACCTCAACTTAATCTAACCTCAAAATTAAGCGAGCAGACGGTTTTACGCTAAGGCTCCAAATTGAATAGGGGACTACGATTTTTCGAGATTATCTCGAATTATTGAAACTGCACTCTGTAATTAATTATCTTTTGAGGACCGAAAAGGAATCAGAGAAAAACATGGAACATTTTGGTAATGTCCGTTCATAGATATAAGAAAGTGACTAACTGATACGGGCAAGCTGTAAGAATGAAATATGGCTCAGCAGGTCCGTACTTTGCTTAGAATTTAATTATTTGGAGTTTTGTTAGGAAAATAAAATTACAAATTATTTTTATTACCTACTTAAATTACTTAAAATTATTCACATAATATATCAGTATCACTATAGTCATCATCGCCTGGTCTAATTATTATTTGTTCTATATTATTTGCAATATGGACATACGATTGTTCTGCTTTTTCTATATGTTTAACAGAATTTGCCAAACTTTGTGGAGGGATGTTAAAAACTTCGGTGTCTATAAGGTTGAGGACATTGGAGTTAACACGGGGAAAAACATTGTTACGAAGAATGCCAGATTTCCAAACATGTTCAATGGGATTAAATATACAGTGGTAAGATGGAAGACTTAAAACTGTATGCTCTAGATTTTTTGCATAATTACAACAGACGTAGATATTCCTTTTGTAGGTTCAAGCTTTGTAGAATCTCAATTAATTGCTTTTTGGTATAATCTTCGTGAAAATAAATGTCGTTATTATACATGTATTGTGCATACATTGTTGCTTTTGTGTCGTATGAGGAAGGGGTTTTAGTCAACTGTCTACTGTGATAACTTGCATTGCACCATTACAATGACGCTATTAGGAGGAATGTTTGGAACTAGTTTGTTTTTAAACCAACTTTCAAATAAATCAGCGGTGGTGTCTTCATGGTAATCCAGAGAAGAATCCTTAATATTTTTCGCAGACAGAGAAAGTCCGTTTGGAATCCAACCATCTTTATGGCCAGCATGCAAAATAGTTATTCTTTTACCTCTTTTTTTTTATGGTAAATGGCAATTTTTTTAAATATAAAACCCATGTGTTGAATACACTTCCATGAGGTAGTTCTGCCACATTTAACGCCGGTTTCATCTTTTTCAAGCCTCCTAATTAAGATATCTAATGTACGCACGCTTTGTTCCTCGTATAACTGGTAAATTTTACGACGTATTATATATTGATCACTTTCATCTACACTCGAGAAAATGTCAGCATCGCTTCTTTTTTTCCTCGCTGAAATGGGATTATTCACAATTTTCCATATAGTTGATTTTGGAATTTTTGTCAATGTGGCCGTTTCTTCTAAAGATGCTTACTTGCTGGCACCACGTTGAGAGTCAAATTAACATTGTTTATAACTTCCTTAGTCTCAATAGAATACTGTTTTCTACATTTGGGCGAGAGCATCTCCTGAGATACACTAAACTCGCACAGATTTTGCATAATTCGAACACGATTCAACACACGCTGTATTACACACGAAATAAGAGTGTATGCCAAAGCAAAGAATATTAAACACGGGTAGGTATAAAATTATTTTCTGTTACGGACCACAATTTAACCTGAATTTAAATTCCAAAATTTTAGGTAATAATCTTGTATTGTATATTAATGACCAGTCTTGGATAATCCCATTGAAAAGCAATTGGTCACTTTCTTATATCTATGAACAGACCATACAAGAATTATTACACCGCAACCAAACCTCAATCTTCTTGACTTTGATATCAAAGTGTCTCTTTTTATGGGATACCCAAAGTTTGTTACGCGATTTCAGCTCAGTCCAAACTCAAAAATGTCCGAGGAGACGGTTTTACACTGACCAAGGCCCCAAATTGAATAGGGGACTACGATTTTTCGAGGATTATCTCGAATTATGGAAACTACACTCAGTAATTAATTATCTTTTGAGGACCGAAAAGGAATCAGAGAAAAACATGGAACATTTTGGTACGAGAATTATTACACCGTAATCAAATCTCAATCTTCTTAGCTTTGATATCAAAGTACATCTTTTTATGGGATACTCAGTTAGTTACGCAATTTCAGGTCAGTCCAAACTCAAAAATGTTCGGGGAGACGGTTTTACGCTGCCAAGGCCCCAAATTGAATAGAGGAGCGTGAGTACGCTATACTCTGTGATTAATGATCTTTTGATAATCAAAAAGTAATTGGAAAAAAACATGGAACATTTTAGTACTAGAATTATTACACTTTCATCAAATCTCAATCTTCTTGGCTTTGCTGCTCAAAATATCTCTTTTGTGCGATACCTAAAGGAGGAGACGGTTTTATGCGCCAAAGCCCCAAATTGAATAGGGATTATCTCGAATTATTGAAACTACGCAAACACTTACTTTACACAATGATCTTTCGGCGATCAAAAAGGAATCAGAGAACAACACGGAACATTTTTGTATAAGAATTATTACACTGCAATCAAATCTCGACCTTCTTGGCATTGAGACCTGCGACAGCGTTTTGTGTATGTTTCTTTTGGAGTTTTGCTGGCTTATGATTTTTCGAGTGACTCGTTCGTCTGAAACATCTAAACCGATATGGCTAGATAACTTTCCCAACAATTTCTTCCTGTTTTTCCAAATAAGGTCGTCGAGATAGTGTCGTGCTTCCTTAGTCTGCCCTACTAACTAACACATTTAATTTACGATTAAATACATTTATCGGACAAAATATGTCTTGAATATGTCCCACTACTTTATTCGGCAAAAAAGATGAAGTTACATCTGTGAACGAACCGTGGACCACAGAACCTCGAATAATGTCACGGATCACGGAGTCGCGACCTCCGCAGATCACGGACCGCTTTACGTCAAACCGTTGTGGAATTTGAATCTGTCAACGGGGGACGCCCCGCCGTCAAAAAACGCGCCGATCTAACGATAATCGGCGGGTTATTAAACGCGCGACGTGATTAATGTCGGTTTCGGCGTCCTAACGGTAGTACGGCGGGCCGTAAATTATCGCGGCTGACGTCACCGGCGAGTCCGGCCCTGCCGCGTGGGGTTGTTCCGATGTGATGATACGGCGGCGGTGGCACGTAAAGGTAGGTCATCGCGCATTCCTCGGAAGTTGTTTTATTTCCGCAAAGGGTGTCGTTTGGAGCGGACGGCGCGCGTTGGGTGTTGCGGCGCGCGAAACATGTGAACATGGAGTTGATGAAGAGCGTCTACGATCAGTACGAGCGGGCGCCGCCTCCCGCGTCGGGCTATTACAACGGGGACGGTTTCTTCGGAGAGTTTTATCCGGGATTCGTGAAGCTGGAGGAGGCGATCGACAGACAGGCGCGAGAAACTTCGCAGAACGACTTTTACGACAACGATTCATCGTACCTGTCGACCGGATCGTCCACGAACGAACCGTACGGAAATTTCAATATTTTTGCGCTCGCCCATACGTCGGCCGACAAGAAAAAACCGGACAAGAAGCGTCGGAACGCGGTCAGGGACAGGCCGACGTCGCCTACCGTGCTCAAGAGGCGCAGACTCGCGGCCAACGCTCGCGAAAGAAGAAGAATGAACGGGTAATGCGATTTTTATTTCTGTTGTCTGCGATCTATGGGTGCCGGCGTCTTTTTTCAGATTAAATGACGCTTTCGACCGGTTAAGACAGGTGATTCCCAATCTGGACGCCGAACAAAAGCTCAGCAAGTTCGAGACGTTGCAGATGGCCCAGTCGTACATATCGGCGTTGCGGGAGTTGCTCGCGTCGCGCAGGTAGCGTGAAAGTGCGTTTTACTTTTTCTAGTCCGACAAACCGAATCGAAATTATATTCAAATCGGGCGTAATAAAAGTAAGAGCGTCGCGAAGAATAGATAAACATCTCCGTACGGACGAAACGTTATTATGTAAATATGTGCAGGTGCCGCTGCTATTTGGATTTTTTCTTTCATCCGCGTGGTTGCAGGGGCATGACGGATTACATATTTTTTATTTTTATAATAGAGTGTGTTCTTTAGTCACTGGGTTGTTTTCAGTTTGAGCAAATAAAACGATTTTTAACCTAGCAACGTTTGAATTTTTACCGCGCGGGCCATCTATGAAACGACGGTCGAACCGCGCCGTAATCTGTTGGGTTTTTCATCGGTGGTCTGTGGTGTTTCTTTTCTATGGTCTTAAGAGGTTAGGATGCCGCGCCTATGTCCGAGCATCATGAGACTGTTTAAATAAAGTAGTGTAGTGGAGTTCTCTTTTGTTATAAAAAGTCTTCAATGCGATAAACGTCGAACTGACGTGGGTGCCGCGTCACTGCAATAAAAACGAAGTAAAAGAGTTCTAATGATTTAACGAACTGCTGTTGGTCTCAGGTCGCCATCTCTGAAGCGAAGACCGCACTAACCGAAGCGTAACCACAAAGGCACGTGCGACATCTGCGGACAACTTTAACCAACTAAATCCAATTAACTGTTTTATGGGACGCAAACTTTGTAGGTTATCCTCTGCTGTCAACGTTTGAAATAAAAAGATGGGAAGCAATCTAGCAAAATGTTTTATTGAAATTGGGATGCTACAATGTCGGATCACGTATCCGTGGCCCTTTCCTTTTCGCCGGACTCGATGGGGATGGCCTCCACCTCCAGCAGCAGTTTTCTCTTTTCCTCAAAGTAATCCCGGTACCATTCGATGTACTCTTTCTTGGCGGCGACGCTCAGGTGGGGATTTTTCGAGAGTCCGACGCACACGAGCTCCATAAAGTGCCGGATGGGGCCCTTCGAGGGACACCATGGCTCCAGGTGCTTCTCGAGGAAAATGTGGTCGGCGAAATACGTGTTGGCTTCGTCCAGACCTAAACGCGGAAAAATGAAAGCGAAAATGGTCTCCTCCGCCGGTTAACCTTACCGTATTCGTTATCGATGGGGAACTTCCATAGTTTGCCCTGCTCGGTCCACAGGATCATCTCCTGGAAGTAGTTCGAGGGTGGGTGAGTCACGGCTAGTTTCAAGTCCCTCTCTCTGCACTTGCGCAACGTCTCGAGCTGGGGACTGTCGCGAAGCTTCGACGGGTCTGTGAATATCCCCAAACCGTCCCCCTCGAACAAGTCTATCTTTTCCCTGACCCTGAAATACCGCACCGTGAGGGGAAAACAAACCCGACGCTCGCGGAACATACGAGGGGGGCCCCGTCTTCCTTAGACCCGGCCTCCGAGAAGTTTGCCTCGAACTTGCCGTGCGCGGAGTCAACATCTCTGCACTGACGCTTTCGAGGACCCGTTTAACTTGACTCGCCCTCGACTCTTGTTCCGGTTTCGGCTCCCGATCGATTTTCATACCTTGGAGGATGTCCCCGAGGTTTTTGGAAGTCAACGCCCCGCCACCTTCCACGGGAGTCAACAACTTCGCCATTAATACCGATTCCGTATGCTTCGCGTCGCCCCCAAACGATGCGGCGACTTCTTTCGCTGCTTCTATTATGTCTTTGTCTGAAAATTGCGACACGCGACAATAACTCACCACCGTTAGTCCCAAAACTACATACCGACAGGCTCTTTTTTAACCTTGACGCGTTTGTTTACTGGGCGGGCTAAGCTGATGCCCGAGTCGTATTTAGGGACGTCTTCTTCCACTATCTGCTTGAGTAGAGCGTTCAGTTTAGACAGGGCGTCGCTACGCGACGCTTTCTTCGAGATGATGTCGTCGTCCGAGGTGGTACTGTCGCTGGACGACGAACTGTCGACTTTTTTGATGGCCGGGGGCTTCTTGTCGTCGTCGCTATCGTCGCCGTCGCTTGTGGAGCCGATTTTGCTCCCCTTATATTTGACGATCGTTTCGGTGTAAGTTACGGGGCGCAAAAGTGGCGTCCTCGACCGCGCCGAGTTCCTGCAAAACGCGAGAGTCACGTAAGAGAGAAAGAAACGGCGAGCAGATCGACACCTTAAAAACTGTCGGGCTAAATTCATATTGGATCAGGAACCGAAGAAAATTGAAACATTAATAGGTAAATTGTTTGAGGTTATATCACAGTCCACCGAATTTACCCTTGGATTAAAGGACATTTTTATATTTTAGGCCGTTATGTGACCAGACCGTTTTTCATACTCGTTCATAGATGGCGGTGTTTAATTTGCCGTTTAAAATCTCTCACATCTTTTGCGTACGTAAACTGCAGAATTTTCCCTTTTTTAATTAAAAGTATAAAGTTACAGGAGTATGGCGCATGTTTAATCACGGATAACGGAAATTGCAAAACGCAGCTCTTTAGCGACCGGGACAGTATTCCGTGAGCATAACCTCAAAGTCGTCGAATGAGTCGCGATGAGCGCGTCGATGGTCCGCAAGGCGTTGGAACTCGTTGATCCCGATTTCGGCCCGCGAAAGAACCGAAAATCCCGCGGCAAAGCGGCGCCCAAGTACACGATAGTCGAAGCGAGGAAACGGTTAAAGTCTAAAGGCGAAATACTGGAACATAACCTCAAAACTTTGGAGCTGATCAAGAAGTACAGCGCGGTGAGGCTGGACAGGGACGCAACGGAGCGCATAGTGGACCGGGCCGTCTCGAGGAGGCCGGCGGCGACGAAGGAGGACGCGGACGACTCGAAAGGCACCTGTTTCACTGAGGAGGACTTTGAAAAGTTCGAAAAGGAGTACCAGCCGGAATAGATGGCCCTATCGGATCGCGACCTCGGCACCCTTAACCTCAGTTTGAGTGTGTTCGCGCTCGCGTACCTATTCTTCGTCCTCATGATCCTCCCCATCTTGCCGCTCGAAAACACAGTATTCGAGGCCCTGACCCCGCCCGCTTTCGTGTTACTTTTTTGCGGGGCTTTCGGGCTCGTTTTCGTCGGTACCCTCGCCCTTTTCACCCTGATCGTATTGTACAAAAAATAAAACACATTTTTCAACTAAAGATTTTTATTTGACGCGATGAACGTGCCGGTGCCCCACGATATTTTATGAGCAAAGAGTTTTTTTTTTAACGCGATTAAAAGTAGGGACCCCTGCCGATGAACATGCCGGCGCCCCACCACGGCCTGCAACAGAAAAGGAGTCGTCAAATGGGAACGATTCCCGCCCGACCCCTACAGCTTACATTTGCCGGTTGTAGTGCATCGAGCGTTCGGACGTGACGAAGGCTCGGCCCCGGGGGCCCCTCGCCATACGCGTCGACGCCAGCAACTCCCTGCTGATCTTGTTGTAGCCGGTGGGGCCGGTCGGCTGCGCCCCGCAAGTTTCCAACGCCACGAAGTCATCCACATGCAGCGACGGCGGTCTCGAAGTGTTCGGGGGCCTCGAACGGAACAAATCGGGCCGCTGCTGCGCGGGCCGAGTGAAATTTCGCGGCCTCATCGGCGTCACTGCGCAACGAATAAAAAATATCGATATTTTTCGATACCGATTCGATTTTGTTTTGGTATCGACCAATTTGACATTAAATGCTGAATTTCTATATTTTTTGCTAAGCGTGTATAGCAATTGGAAAAAAATCCATATTTTTGTCCACCGCTTAAATCAATTTAATAATTTTTTTTAGACAAGTATCTATATGGTCAGCATTCATATCATTTGGATATTAAATGCCGAATTTTCATATTTTTTGCCAAGTATCACGATCGATTTGACATTTTTTTGATAAGTATCAATACCGTTTCTATATTTTTGAAAGGTATTCAATTCAATATTAAATGAAAAAATCTATATTTTTGCCAAAAATTCATACCAATTCAGTGTTTGTTCAGACAAGTATCCATACCAATTCGATAATAAGTCTCAAGTTTCCCTATTTTTTGTCAAATATTAAGATCAATTTGACATATTTTTAGGTGCCAAGTTTTCATATTTTGTTTCAGGTAGAAACGCTAAATCGATATTTTTGCCAAGTCTGATGACTATTTGGATATTTTTTGACCGGAAGTCACACCAATTCGATATTAAAGGCCGAATTTTGATCTTTTTTTGCAAATCATGGAAACCGATTCGATATCCATTGCCAAGTATCGAGATCGATTCGCCGCTTTTTGACAAGTTTCGATGTCAAGTGCCGACGACAATTCGAAACATCATCGCGGTACATTCGAACTACCCGCTCACCGAACGGCTTCTTCGTCTTGCAGCGCTGCTCGGCCGTCTCCTTGTCCTTGCCCGTGACGTCGGCGACGCGCGACACGTGACACAACCGCTCCGCCTCCTTGACGAGGTTGAACTCGGGCGGCAGCAGCCGGCACACCTCCAGCAGGTCGCAGGGCACGCTCTCCAGCTCCGTATCGGGCTCGTCGCTGGGCAACGCGAGCCAATACCGTGCGGTCAACCGCTCGTCGCACGTCTCGGCGTTGCCGTACACCAAACGTCCGGCGAACTGGGCGAGCAGCGGCTCCGGCGGCGGCAGCGGCGCCGCCTCCCTCGACTCCGCCTCCGCGACGTCCCGCTGTCCGCCGGCCAGCTGCTTGAGAATCGACGCGAGACCCTCGAGGATCGTCTCGAAGCCGCTGTCCGTCTCGATCTCCCTCTTCAGCGTCTCCTCGATCGACAGGAACGGGTGGGCGGGGTCGGACCAGCCCACCAGCCGTCTTACCTCGTCGACGGCGAGGGTGGCGGTCCGCAACGGCGCGGCGTCGCCCTCGTCGACCGTCAGACACACCCGCAGGAACTCGACGAGGGTGTCGAGCGTCGACAGGCACTCGGGGCTCGTCTTCGTCAAGTTCGTGCTCAGTTTCGCGAGCAGGGTGCCGAAAACGCGATCCCGCTTGGCGAGCCGCTCCTTCAGGTGCCGGAAACCGTAGTCGTGCTCGGTGAGCAGGAGCAGCGTGCGCACGATCGGCAAATACGTGACGAAAGAGTTCTCGGGCGAGGCCAGGTGATCGAGCATCACATCCACGTACGTGAGCAGGTGCTCCTTGACGGGCAACGCGTTGGCGAGGTAACGCTCGGGACTCGCGGCCGTCGTCGCCTGCGTCAGCGCGATCTCCACGTCGCAGAAACTCTGCACCACGCTCAGGATGCATTCCTGCGCCTGCGCGGCCCCGCCCCCCTCGAGCCTGAGCACGCGGCAGAATCGCGGCACTAGCTCGGCGTACTTGTCGTCGGTCTTGGCGGCGCCTCCGCCGTGGATCAGGTGGAGCACCGCGCATTTGATGGGCGCGTGGGTGACGAGACACGCGAGGAAGTTGAGGAGGCGGGCGGTCTGCGACGCGGAGCACGACGACGCGTCGAGGGCGTCGCGGACCGCGTCGAGGACGCCGCGGGCGACCGTCGCCGCCGAGTTCGCGGCCAAGTCCGCGATCTGGACGCACACGCGCCTCAGCAAGTTCGACAGTTGCGGCTGACTCGACACGCACAGTCGCGAGACCATCGCCTGCACGACGGCCGAGTGGGGATGGAGGTGGGCGGACCACAACCTGCGCAGGTTCACCGTCCACGAGATTTCCGCGTCGCCGACGTCGCCGACGCTCTGCACCGGCAACGGGAGCGGCAGCAGTTCGGAGAGGAGCGCGAGGCCAGGCACGAAGCAGTAAGGGGCGGAGACGACGTACTTGAGCACCTCGCCGCACATCTGACTCCACAGCGTGCGGTTCGGCGAGTCTTTCTCGCGCACCAGGTCCGACACCGGCTGCGTGTAGACGAGGAGGGCGTCCGCGACGGCCGCGCGGGCCTCCACGCTGGTCGCGTGGCCCGCGCAGTTCGCGGGATACGCGCACAGCAGGTTGTAAACGCGCAGCAGCACCGGGATCGACGTCAGGTCCTTGAAGTCGACGTTGCGGCAGCGCACGACGTGCGCGAGCATCCGCTCGAGGAGAACGACGGCCGGATGGAGGACGTGGACGAGACGGGCGCCGCGTTCCGACGCCAACGCGTACGAGTGGAACCCGGGCAGCTGGTAATGGTCGCAGATCTTCTGCAGGAGACGGACGAGGAGGGCGGCGCCGTCGAGCGAATAGAGCTGCAGCAGGACGTGCTTGTACTTGAGCTCGACGCAACCGGCGAGCGGAGTCTCGGGCGCCGCCCGGTGTTTCGGGATCCCCAGGTGGTGGAGGACGCGCAGGGCGGAGACGAGGGCGCCCGGCGCGGACGCCGCGTCGGGCAGCTCGCGTTCCACGATCCCCAGGTACCCGGACACGTTGTCGTAGGTGACGGGGGCGTCGAATGGGGCGAGATGCGCGCGCACCTCGCCCGCCTTGTCGTCGTGGAGGGAGGAGACGGCGTGCGCGACGTCGCGGTGGTACTTCTCGAGGAACGGCACGTTCGCGACGGCGACGACGACGTAGTGAGCGAGGTCGACGAGGTAGCCGGCGGCGGCGGCGTTTTTTTTCAACTTCCCGGCGTCGAAGAGGCGGACGACGCGACGAAAGTTGTCCGCCATGGCGAGCACGTGGGCGACGGCGCGTCTGCCGACGTGCGAGAACCCGAGACACGTCAGGCCGTGGAGCTGGTCGACGACGTCGAGGGCGTCGACGTCGCGCGTCCCGACGTCCAGGAGACGGTCGAGGTGGTAGAGCGCTTGCAGTTTGTACGCTAGGTCGAGGCCGAGGTGGGAGGAGCTAGCGTCGAGGTAGTCGCCGAGGATGTCGTCGTCGTCGTTGGACAGCAAACGCTTGACGAGGAGGTTGACGGCGTCGGGATCGTCGGCGAGGTAACGGAGGCCGTCGAGATTGTCGCCGAGGGCGGAGAGTAGCTCGAAGACGGGCGCCTTCACCGCGGGCGAGTTCGAGGTCGCGGGATGCGCGAGCAGCAGGACGAACACGTGCAGGAGGTCGAACATGCGACAGAAGACGACGAGGACGTTGCCGGGGTCGACGCGGGGCACCTCGAACTGCGCGGACACCGGCAGGAAACGCTTGGGCTGCGAGAGGCCGAAGAGGCCGGCGCCGCAGCAGTGGCGCGCCACCTGGCGCAGCGATTTGGCGATCAGAGTGACGTCGTCGGCGGGGAGGTCGCGCGCGGGGTCGCGCAGTTTGACCGCGACGCCGCGCGTCTTCGTCAGCGCCTCGAACAGGTTGAGTTTCTTCAAGATGGAGGCGATCGCGAACTTGAGACGCACGAGGGGGTTGCGACGCAGGTCACGCACCAGCACGGCGTAACCGTTGCCGGGGTCGGCGGGCGGCCCGTCGACGTAACCGTTCTCGCGGGGCGACGCCCGGGCGTCGCCCCGGAGGAACTTTTCGATGGCGAATTTGTGCCTTAAATAGGCGTCGAGCGCTTTGAGTATCATCAGCTTGATCGACAGCGCCATGAACTCCTGGTGGTACAAGTTGAAGAGTTCCTTGTGGAGGTTAAAGCCGGCGCGCCACAAGTACTGCACGTAGTCGTCGCTAGCGCACACCCACTCGGCGAGTCTGAGGAAAGAGACGGGGGTGTTCGACACTCAGATAACGCTTTGCTAAACGGTTGGAAGAATCCTTTTTTAATTCTCTAAAATTCCCAAATTTTTAGTCAACAAATTCAATCATTTTTTCCAGAAAATTTTCACAATTTTCAAGGGACATTTTAAAGGTACTCGAAAATTCCATGTACCTTTCGGATACTTTCAGGTTAATTTCGTAGTTTTCCCGATTAACATTACTTCAATTTTGGAATATTTTCGGCAATTCCCGATATCTTTCACAATTTTTTGCGAACAGTGTAAAAGGACTCAACATTCAGTGATATTTTCCAGTTTTCCGGATAAACTTTGAAAATAGATTATGCAACATTTTCCAAATTTTCGAATAAGTTTGAAAGTACGCAAAAATTTATAACATTTTCGGCTGTTGTAGGCTAATTTCACAATCTTCCAGGTAAACCTTCAAAGTACTTAAAATTCTGTAAAATTTTTTCAATATTTTTAGGTGTTTCCAGGGACATTTTAAAGGTACTCAAAATTCCCTGGAATTTTCCAGAGTTTTAAATAAACTTCGAAGTTTTCCAGATTAAAATTATTGAAAATTCCGTGATAATTCTGTATTTTAAAAACAAATTTCACCCAAAATTGTGTAAAATGTTCATAATTTTGATCTATGCTTCACAATTCTCCAAAAATAGTTTAAAAGTACTAAATGTTTCCGGAATACTTAAAAACTACTCAAAATTCAGTGACATTCGCGGTTTTTTCAGGTAAATTTCACAATTTTGTAGAAACAGTTTAAAAATGCGACAATTCCGTATTTTTCAACAAATTTAACGGTTAGTTTCACTATTTTCCAGGAATAGTTTAAAGGTACTCAAAATTCCGTGCCGCTTCTGGATCTCAGGTAAGTCACACAGTTTTCCGGAAACATATTAAAATTGTTCAAAATTCCGTGACATTTTCGTATTTTATAAACAAATTTTCCAGTTTTCCAGGTGAACTTTCAAAAAACTTAAAATTCTTTAACACCTCCGGGGTTCCCAAGGAAGTATCACAATTTTACGAGTACAGACATTTCCGTGACTTCCAGGCAAGTTTCACAGTTTTCCAGGAACAGTTTAAAAATACTTAAAACTCATAAGATGACTCATAAATGGACAGCCGAAACAAAGACGACATTGACTTTTTAAACAGAACAAAGAACTTATTATTATTATTTCCGGATTTTTCATGACCGCGCGATAAAAAAAAACAAAATTAAAAAAAATCCACAATACCTTTTTCCAGAGAAGATTTTAACCAAATTTTTATAGGTATTCAAAATTCCCTGGGGTAAAATAAAAAAAAAACATTCCACGTCCCGAAGTTATTATTCTCAAAAGTCGATAGTGAAGAAATAAATAAAAACGCATTTTTTTTTCGTTTTCCATGAACCGCAAACTAACCTCACTCCGCACTTGATGTGACGTATCTTGTAGGTGGGCTGGTCCTGCGCATTGGCCATGCCGTAGTCGAGAGCGATCCTCAACCAATCGGCGACGGTTTCCGCGATGAAAGCGAGCTGCGCGACCAATTCGCGATCTTCGTTTGAGAGCCGGGCGACGTCCGTCGACGCCGTCGACGCGTGGAGACGCGCGATGTCGCGGAATGTCTCCGCTGTGCCGACGGTGACGGGCAACTTCTCGCACAAGTGTATAAACTCCTCCTTGATCTCGGCGTTGTGCCGCTCGAACGTGTTGATCGCGAATCGCGTGATGCTCGACTTCAGGTAGTCGTCGGTGATGCCGATCGCGATCCTGAGACTCTCTTCGAGCTCGAACGCGTCCTCGTTGATCGAGAACGCCGCCTTGGCCGGATACCTTTGCACTTCCGTAACGCCTGATGCGGGAAAAAAAAAAGAAGAATTTCACGGAACACCGACCGCGGATAACGGAACGAGTTTAAGTTAAATGTCAAAAATATTATATAAAATAAAAGATTCCTTCTCATAAGCGTTGTCGCTGTACTTGTGTGCAAACAGATAAACGTATACTGTAACAGGTTATACGCCCAGGGAATGTGGTTTAAAAAAACAAAACGAGAAGAATTTTGAGGTTAGAAACGATCAGTCAACTGTTGTACAGCGAGCGCAGTAACTTGAGATTTAGAGTGGAATACTCGCGAAAGAACGCGTCCAGGGTGTGCTGAACATGACGAAAGAACACTTTGACGACGTGACAGCTTAGGAAAAGGTAAAACGTGACCAAAACGACACGAGGGCAAGGGGTGTTATAATACAGCACATAACTGACAAATATTTTGAATATATTATCCCATTTTGTCCCAGTAATATTCGTATTTCAGCGGCAAAAAGCCAAAGAAAAAAGCTGAATAAAAGTCGACAATGGGCGAATGTCTCTAATAAAACGACTCAAGATAATATAAATTGCAGGGTTTACTATTAAAGGGTACATGCCCCCTTGCAGTCCTTTTTAATTAAGGCATCGTCTGAGGTTGTTGGAAGTAAGTCGCCCGAAAACTGGCCGAATGATCCTGGCCAACGTGACCAATAGCAGCAAAAAAGAAGAAGAATCACGCACTAACCTGGCGTAAACAACCTTATAATGTCGTCGTTGTTGGTGTAGCCCGAATAGTCGCACTCGACGTCCTGATAATGCTCGCCGTCGTCGACGATATCCTCGTCGCTAAGGATGGGCTCGAATTCCTCCACGTCCATGGGCGGCGGCTCCTCCACGAGAGGCGACTTTACTTCGGCCGCCACCGCCTCCACCTTCGTCTCCACAGGTTCCTGCTTAGCGCCGTCTTCTTGGCGCTCCGCCGTCTCCGCGGGTGACGTCTCCTTCTGCTCGTTGTGCGGAGTGTGAGGGCGTTTCGGAGACTGCGCGGGGGGCGGCGTCCTGGGCCGTTTGCGCTCCTCCCTCTCGTCCCTGTACCTGTCGGAACGCCGGTACGAGTCGTCATGTCTCCTGGACCTTTCCCGGTCGTGGCTCCGGTCCGAATCTGGCCATTCGTGCCTGTCGGCATCGGATCTGGAGTACCTCCTGTCCCTGTCGCGTTCCCTCCTGTCCAGGTCCCGTTCGGCACAGGACGACTGATACGCGACGTCCCTGCCGCCCCTTTCGGGTTCCCGGATCCGTGGTTTCGCCTCCCAGTCGGTCTCCGGCGTGTGATGGTATCCGCGCGGATCTTTCGGGATGTCGTTGTAATAATCGGTGAACTCTTGCTGATACGGCTCGTTGGTACCGTACGACTGGTACGTCGCGGCGGTCTGAGAGATGTATTCTGTAAAGGGGCCTCGTTTTTTCGAGAAATCAAGGGAAAAATGTAACCTAACCTATAGGGCCGGCATTGCCGGCCTCCTGCGACCATTCCGACTCCACCGAGCTAGCCGAGATGATCTGCTGGACGTCGGATATCGTGTTCGGTTGACTTGGCAACGCCGGATTGACCACCGGCTGGATTATCTGTTCCGTCAAGTTGTTGGTCAACGTGCCGTACACGGCCAACGTGATTGTCGTGTAGACGCCTTCAAAAGGCAGTCAGCAAACACGGAAAAACAAAATACGAATCACGTTACCTTTCAAGACGAGACCGTCGGTGGGGATCTTGCGCGCGATCGGATCCGGGCAACATTCCAAGTTGATTTTCCCGTTCTGATCGTACTCGAAGCCGCCGAGCGTCTCGAAAGTGCTCGCTCCCGGTTTGCCGAGGTCGTTGACGAAAAATTCGATCTGGAATTGGCTCGGGTTTGTCGCGCCGAGCCGAACCCCGCCCGGGAAATCGGCCTGCACCCGAGCCCCCAACGGGATGATCCTCACCTCGGTTACGTAGACGGGCTTTGGGAACTGCACCAAGTCGAGGTTAATTTCCTCCGTGTTGTCGTGAGCGAACGTGTCGAAAAATAACAGCTCCACCACGTTCTCCGACATCGTGGGCCGCCGCTTTTGTCGGATTTACGAGTCAGTTGCGGCCATCTACTCTATTTTGTTTATGTTAGGTTAACTGTCAAATTCAACGTTGGGCGGCTGGGTCATATTTAATGGCCGAATTATCCTTGCTAACAGCCCATGGGCAATTGACCGTTTTGCCAATAGATGGCGGCAGTTACGCGAAAAATCAATGCCTAAACATTCTAAAAATGGCGGTAAATATACGAAATAAAAAGCACTCTGGATAAAACTTGTGTTATTCATTGCCAACTTTAAATGCCGTGATAAAGTCCTCGCCGAGGACAAACAGGTGCGCGTCCGAGGCGAGGACGCCCAAAATTTGCTGATTCGCCAGGTTGAGGACCTGTTGCTGGGCGACGCTCTTGAATCGCTGTCCGCTGCCCCTGTGCCTCAATTCGCTGGAGACCAACGGCCGGTTCTGCTTGTAAATGAAAATGTGGCCCGTCGATTCACTGACGAAGCAGTAGTTCGTGTCGGGCGAGCACCCCGTGAACTTTCGGTTCTGCTTGGAGGCCTGCACGTAGCCGAAAGCGAGCAGAGTGCCCACGTGCTTAACCTCGAAGTTCGGCCCCGTTCCGCGAGGTTGCCAGAGGCAGACGTCGACGTCGTGTCTCGTGCCGACCGCCGGAGGCAACGGGGGCGACGACCGGCACGTGAGAAGCACCTGGTGGGACCCCAGGTGGATCTTGTGAGTGCACTCATTGGTTAGCCTGTTAATCCTTTGAAACGTGAACGCCTTGTCGCTTTCAAAGTCGCATTCTTCAATCTGCTGGCTGTTGAAAGTAGCGCCTTGCTGGGGCGCCGCCTCCGACATTTGATCAAAGTTCGACGACCGCGCGACATATTCACCCCTACCATTCCCCAGGACTAATTCAGGCCAGAATATCTTTTGCGCCGATTTGGTTAAAGATATCTCGAGCGAGTTGACGTTTTCAATGGTCCACGTCATCAGCGACGGGTCCACGGTCCCGGCGAGGGCCCCACTCAGCAAAACTTTCGCGTCGTACCTAACGTCAATCTTTTTGGGTTCGACGGCAACAAACACCAACTCTTTGTTGGGGCGCTCCGGTAAAACAAACTTCACCGACACTTCCTCGTCACTTTGGCTCCATTTATACGAAGTATCTTCGTCTCCGGCCTGCTCCGCAATCGGATACTCGGAGTTTAACACGAACCGTACCTCACTGTCACTTATAACGTACACGTTTTCGCAACCCTCTTCCAAATAGAGGTACTGGATCTCGCCCTTGGTCTTCAATTGCCTCAGGTTCGTTTGGTTCCATGTTACTTTGTCATCCGCCGTACCCTCTTGGAAAGTTACCCAATGTACGACGCTCACAAACCTATCTTTTGAGTCTTCGGCTATGTGCAGCAGCAGCACGTGCAATTCTTTCTTTTCGTCGCGGTACGCCGCGTCGGAAACCACGAACCCTTGCTCGCGACAGGCGATAACTTCTCCGGAATACAACTGGACAAAGTCAGAGTCGTCGGTCCTGTCTCCCGTGCTCAGTATGTACAAAACGCCCAATCCGTCTGAAAGTACGGCTAAATTGGCGCTGGGGAATTTAAGCGTAATGCCATAATCTCCGGGGTTCCGCGCCCTAACGCTGGGAATCTTCCACACGGTCAAAGGACCTATCATTTCATTACCGAAGTCGTCAATGTAAGTTTTCCGCACGTTTAAGTCTTTGTCCACAAAGTACACCGCTTGGGAGTGCTCGAAAGGATCGCCGAAGAGGTGGTTGTGCAACCCAAACAGCTTAGTATGCAACAACGAATACTGGCTCGTCGTTAAGTGGCTCGGATCAATCGGCACGTCCAGCTTTTTCCTGAACGTGGGTATCTCTTGCAACGACAGCTTGTAGCCGTCGAAGTTCGAGTCTAACAGGAGCCTGTCGGGCTTGAGTTCGAGGGATACGGGCCCCATTTTACGTAAACGAGAGAAAGACGAAACCAGTCGATCCGCTAGCGAAACAGGAATCTTCGTCTAAATAATTTTTGCATAACTCAAAACACGACCATTTAGTGTTTCCGTAAAAAATTGTGAAGTTACGTGATCCCGAAACGTTCGATATCGGCTTTATGCGACTCTAACGGGCAAAAAAAAAACAACGCAAGTGTATAACCTTAGAAAAATTAACCCGCAGAGATCAAATGACGGCCCATGGAAAGTTGAGGAAAAAAAAGAATAAGTCTCGCCGTCTTCATCCGAATGAAATTTCCAATTTTGTAGAAATTTCTGCCATGGATGGAACCACGGAGGGCTTTTTACGTCCGCGGCGCATAGATGGTGCAACCGTGTTGTGCAAATCTCACCGTCACTCCGATTCTTTGCGGAACTTTGATGTTAAGCTTAAGATGGAGCCATACATGCGCTTGATGTGCTCTCCGCCCCGCCCAATTTCGGTTTGATCTAAAAAAAAGTGGTCTTTTCCAATTTTCCGAGGAATTTTGATATTTTTCTCATAGATGGAGGCACAAATGCTCTCGTGTGCTTCTCTCGCTGAGAGTTAAAAAATAGTTAACGGTGTGACGTATAGATTGCATCACCGTATTTTCTAAATGTACCTATAAACACTCCCAAACGACCCGAATTATTTTTTGTGGGAGCCTGTGGGAATAGAATTCGAAAACGGTCACAGAACATGGAAAACGAACGGGCTAGAAGTTTTGCGCCACCACAGAGCGCAACGCCTGTTTAAATTATCCGTCGACAGATGGCGCGACATCGAGCATTTCTTAGGATAACGGCGATCTAAACTTTGACCCCGTTGTTTTTCTATTAACGATCGGGAAACGGCAGTCGCGTAAATTTAGAGCCGCATAATGACTTCACTTATACGGAGAATCGTCAGAACCGCCAGGGCGCCGAAACCGGTGGCCGGAGCCCCTTACAAGTAAGGTCCGCGCTTAAAAATTGCCGCCATCTAAATTGTTATTCGCGCAGCCAAGCGGTGGTGTTTAACGGTACGGTGTACTTGTCGGGGGTGCTCGGCATCAACACGGAGATGAAGCTGGTGCCGGGCGGGGCCGCGGCGGAAGCCCGACAAGCCCTGACGTCGATCGGGCATATTTTGGACGCGGCCGGCTCGTCTTTCGAGAACGTCCTCAAAAGCACGATAATGTTGAACGACATCGCGGACTTCGGCGCCGTCAACGACGTGTACAAGGAATGTAATAGACGTGTTCGCGCGAGGCGACGCGATTTTCACGCCGTTTTTTGCAGTTTTCCGGGCCAATTTCCCGTCGAGGTCGACTTACCAGGTCGGCAGACTGCCGATGGGCGCAAGCGTCGAGATCGAGGTCACCGCGGTGGTCGGCGACGTCGAGACCATAACCTCAAAGATGTGAACGCATTAAAGTGTTTCGTTGTTTGCCTTTTATTTATTCCGACTACATTACGGGACGCCGAATGCGGCGAAACTCAAACTCTGTATAAAAATAGAAAACTTTCTACTGCCGCTACGTTTTGCTACTAGGAAGTGTTCAAAAAACGTGAAGACTAACGCTTCCGAGGGCGCGGCATCTAAACTAGGTTAGTTCTTCTTCTTTTTGTTTAAGTGGCGCGTTCCCCGGAAGTGTTCGGGTCGCGTGGGCGCGATTTCACGACTTGTCCTCCTCCTCGGTGTTCTCCAGCACGAGGTCCTGTTCGGGGCCCGCGGTTTCGGGCGCCCGCTCGACGGCGGAGGCGTAAAAGATCCTGTCCTGACCGCGGACCGGCGCCTCCAACGTTTTCAACGCCTTGCGCGCCAAGATGGCGTCCGCGGCCGCCTCCCAGAACGTCGGCGTCGCTCTGCGGGCAGTAGAAACGACGCGTTAGCCGTTTTAAAGTATCGCGTTTTTATTATCGCGTCGGGGCGATCTCGCGGCCTCGCCCAAGGCCGTAGAAAATCCATAGAGCGATAAAAATAAACCGCGAAAAATTAAACAAAGGCGGCCGTGACGCCCACGCACGCGAACGTAGCGTCACGGAAGGTAGAATCGCCACGGACCACGATACACACGCGGACGGCCAAATTGTGTTTTGGTTTGCAACCGCCCGCGTCGAAGCGTGCGAAACACACACACACAAAACATTATTACGTACCGGACGTCGAGAAAATTACTCGGTACACCTACAAGAACAAGAAAAATACTCGGTTTACTCTTCGTCCTCGCATATTAACACTCACATGTGCCGAACTTACTCCTCCTGCTTCGTCGTCGCGTCCTCGCCGAGCAGCTCTTCGGCGTCGCGCGCCACGTCGTCCTCCACGTCCTCGCCTAGCATGTCGTACTTCTCCTCCCCGTTCTTAGGCGCCGCGACGTCTTCCTCGACGGAACGGACGGTCTCGAAGAAGGGCGTCGTCTTCGACGCGAACGCCTCCCGCACGTGGTCCGCCTCGGACGCGAGCACGGTCTCGGCCTCGGAGACGGCCTCGGCGCCGTTACCGACGACGTCTACTTCGTCGGCCGCCTCCTGGACCTTGTTGGACGCGAAACTGAACGCGTCGCCAATCTTGCCGAGTGACTCCTCGGCGGAGGCGACCGCGTTGTGGACGGTCTCCTTGACCGACTCGACGCTCTCCTTGGCGGCTTCGCCCGCGTCTGGGGCGAGTTAAAATGACGTGGAGTCGACCTTGACTTTTGATACGGCGTTTTTTGCCGCCGCCGACCGAGATATCGATCATTTCGCGAAATGTCAACGACATCGGGGGTCGAGGAGGGAGGCGGCATTGGAAAGGCGTCCGTCGCGTGCCGAACGGCAATATCGTCGCCGGACGGGACGCCGCGAAGGGCGCAAACGAGCCCCAAAGGGCTAAACGTTTTGATTTAATACGAAGCCCGTATAACGAATAAGAGCCGCGCCGCCCCCGCGGGGGCGGCCGAGATAGGGGTTGTGGGGTGTCTAACGGCGGGGAATCGCGCCGCTAGCGAGGCGGTGGCGGAGTTTCGCCCGGAAAATGACCGGAGCGAGCGGATATTGCGATCCCGAAAACTCGATATCGAAAAAGTCTCCTGGGCGTCGCGAAATAGAACCGGAAATGGAAACGCGGGCGGTAGATCGCGGAAGCGTCGATGGATACTCACTCAGAATGACGCGTTCCCCCTTGGCCACCGTCTCCGCGGCGGTTTCCTTGGCGGTCTCCACCAGGTTCTTGCCGGACTCTACGATAGGGGCACTGCTCGCGCAACCCATGATTGCGGCGTACTGACCGTGGCGGACGGCGACGCCGGGCGTCGGGCCGGACGACGGTCAGCCGCGCGCTCGACTTAGTCCGGTCGTTTCGAGGCGAAAATCGCTTAGCGCCGTTTTTTTTCAAATAAAAAAATTCTCCAAAGGCCTTCGGATAGTTCGCTTGACGATTTCCTCTCGATCGCAAGCGGTCAAAATCTTTTTTTTTAACGGAATGCCCTATATATTGTTAGCTTAAATCGTAGATAATTTTATTGTTTGGCGTTGTACTTCCTCAGCATTTGAAATATCTTAAGTTATTTAACTTACGCTGCAGATACTTAGTTTTGATGAGTAGAACATTTTGCAAACATAGATAATATGGTTGCTATCAAGGCAGACTTGACCATTTTTAAACAATATGGATCAACGCTATACGCGGGTGTCGAAATATAACGAACTACCCAGTACAAGAAAAAGCCGAACGGCGCTGTCCCAGCGGTAGGGAAGGTGATGAAATCAAAACAAATCGCCCATACGAAGGGGTCGTGAGAGGCATTAAATTTACAAAAATACAAAATTGTAAACACGTGCGTACATTGGCCATCACTGACTGCAAGGAATAGAACTTAAAGGTCTTAAGTTATGTATTTCCGAGAATGAAATTATTAGTTCGTATTATCGCAGAATTAATAGGCATAAATAATAAATAAAACTTGGATTAAAATGTCGAAGTGCAGTGCCATCTATGTTCTAAAAGGCGTTTCATCGAGTAACGAGGCGAGTCTCAAAACTTCGTCGTTAGATGGCGCTGCAGTTGGCTCAAGCGCGTGCCCAAACCGATACCGATCGAACAAATCCGTTGCCACTAAGGACGTGATAATATTATTTTAGCAGAAGTTTATTACAATATATATACGTGGAGTGCGGTCAATACAGTGAGATGGAAGTTTTCGTAGCGGGTGCGATACAGAATATTTTAATTTTTTGAAAATAATGACTAATTGCACTGGTGAGTGACTTGCTTTTGTTATTTGGATTAACTAAGGCAAACGAGGACCAATGGTGTTTAAATTTGTTGTTTAAGGATTATACCATTTTTTGCAGTTCTAATTTATGACATTAGCAGTGGTTTACACCAAAAATTAATCGAGAATAAAATATCCTTGTTATGTGAAATCCTTGTGAAATCATAGAAATATTATCTTTGTTTTTTTGCTATTTGGCTTTCATTGTATTTTTCTTATACAGAAAAAATTGGGAGTTATCGAAATTCCCATCTAAATGTGTTGAGCATGTACTTCTCTACGGAGTAACTTACTTATTTAAAGCTAAAGAAAACAAAAAAAAATTTTGGAAAACTTGAAAAAGATTTATATGCCCCTTTTTGAAAATTTACGGAATTTACGAAATTTATATTTACTAATTTGACACTGTGCCACTTTTCGCAAAACGGTTTTAAGTATGTTTTTTATATATTATTTTCATATATTAAAAATGGAGAAAAATAGCTGTTAACCAAGAACTACATCTAATATTTATAGAGTTTAAGAAAAAATCATTTAGAAATCTGTGAAATATTCCGTGAAATCTGCGAAATTATAACTTTTTTCCTGAGACACCCTGTATAATAGGTGATATCAATTTTTCGGTGTTAAAGATAAATGGCGTTTAATTTATCTCGATAACATTATAATTGGGTGCAACTTTTTTGTTTTTAGAGAAATCAAGGTAAACAAAAAAACAAAATGTAGAATTAGTAGCCAATTTTTTTTCCAAGCGACGTATAAAACAAAACACTATCAATTCTTTGACATAAAAGCCTACATCATATTTTTTGAATGCAACACCCTGTATATTATATATGTGTTTAATAGAATATCTTATTCCACGACATTGTTATAAAGAGTTATGTGCACGTGTGTTCCCAAAAGAAAAAATCCATTAAAGTTAAGTTGGGGATTGACCAATCCATAGTTCCGCCGTTCCCTATCCAACCCCTGGGATATTCCATGTTAAGAAAATTTTTAACTTGCAAGACATTGTGAGGGGCACCGTCGATCTATTCGAGGTAAATCTTCTATATATTGTTCTATTCGGTGCTCTAAGAGTAGCAAATAATGATCTCCAGTTCACTTTTGATCTATAAATATCGGACCCAAAACATGCCCATCTATGACTCCACACCATTTGATTGGTATGGTCTGTTCATAAATATAATAGAGTGTCCAATTGCTTTTGAATGGGATTATCCAAGGGTGGTCATTAGCATACAATGCAACAAGATTATTACCTAAAATTTCGAAATTTAAATTCAAAAACAAGATGGTTGGATCCCAAATGGACTTTCTCTGTCTGCGAAAAATATTAAACATTATTCTCTGGATTACCACGAAGACACCACTGCTGATTTATTTGAAAGTTGGTTTAAAAACAAACTAGTTCCAAACATTCCTCCTAATAGCTTCATGGTAATGGACAATGCAAGTTATCACAGTAGACAGTTGACTAAAACCCCTTCCTCAAAGGACACAAAAGCAACAATCCAAAACTACATGCATAATAACGACATTTATTTTCACGAAGATTATACCAAAAAGCAATTAATTGAGGTTCTACAAAGCTTGAACCTACAAAAGGAATACGTTTTTGATAATTATGCAAAAAATCTCGGGCATACAGTTCTTAGCACTGTATATTTAATCCCATTGAACATCTTTGGCACCAAATCTGCCATTCGTAGTAACAATGCTTTTCCCCGTGTCCTCAAACTTATAGAAACCGAAGTTTTTAACTTCCCTCGATAAAGTTGGGCAAATTCTGTTAAACATATAGAAAAAGCAGAACAATCGTATATCCATATTGCAAATAATATAAAACAAATAATAATTAGAACAGACGATGATAGCGATAGTAATACTGATATATTATGTGAATAATTTTAAGTAATTTAAGTAGGTAATAAAAATAATTTATAATTTTATTTTAGATTTAAACACATACATAAATAAATAAATATTGTTTAGTATCTCTCCTAACAAAACCCCAAATAATTAAATTCTAAGCAAAGTACGGACATGTTCGGCTATATTTCGTTCTTACAGCTTGCCCGGGTCTTTCCTTAATTCGTATCAGTTGGTCACATTGTTATATCTATGAACAGACTTTACCCCTGGATTTTTGCTTCGTGTATTTGTCTAGGATTATTTAAACACCAATATCGCGTGTTTTGTCAATTACATCCCTTTCTTGTAGTGAACGAACTTTCATGAGTCCATAAAATGTTTTTCAAATAATTGTAATTGTCATTATGTCTATTTAAAAAATCTAACTGCACTTAGTTTTGGAATTTTACGAAATTCGTATTCATTATATTTATATTCTTTCAAAACCGAGTGGATTGATCCCCGAGAAATACCTGTCTTTTCATATATTCCAGTAATAGAGGATGTGTTTCATAGAATCCTAATATGTATACCTTATTTTCTTCATTTAAAACATTATGATTCAAGCATACCTTTTTAAACATTTAATACGTCACCGTTTTCTGCAAATTTCTTTGCCAGCCTTGGAAATACCTGTTTTGAAGGAGCCCCGCGCTCTGGATTAAGCCTAATACACTTTTATCATTTAGAAAGTATACTTGATGACCACAGTTCAAGAAAAACCATTTCAACAATAATGACTTGGACAATAATTCAACGATCGACGTTGTTTACTAATATGTCAAACATGAACGTATTTTTCGTTGTCAGTCAGGGCACTCTTTGAAATTACATAAAAATTTCCTGGAAAAACTGGTCTAAAATGTAATAAGTTATTATGCAACAAGTGCGGTGAACGGCATTTGAGCGGAGCAAAAAAACGCATATTTTATGGTGCGTGAGCGCACCACTGGTAACACCCGGTTTCATTTTTGGTGATATTTTACAAAGCATGAAGTATGTGAATGCACGTTACACTTATTACGAACGTAAATTGTGTGGCTGTGGCTCCTTCGGGCTTTATTAGCATGAACAATCATGAGGTGACCTTGATTATCATAACGCCCTTCATCTATGGCAGGTGCAAGATTTCTTTGAGTAATTGTTTTATCAGTTTTAAGTCGCAAAGCAATGTAACATTCGTCATCAAAAAACATAAAAAATATTTTAAGCGTAGTTTTTCCAAAAAGCCTATTTTTTAGTTCCTCACATGACACATTGACAGTAGAAGCAAGCCTGTCGTTTGTCTTCTTTTGAATTCCAGTGTTTCATCATCTGACGAGTCCCATTCAAGTTCAGTAGTTGATGAATTACAGGACTGTTGAAGGACAGCTGTATCATTAGTTGTACGTAACTCGAAAGTTCCAACTATATCAGTTGGTTCCCCAAACTCTTGTAGATTTATGTTATCGTTCATATCTTCTTCGTTAGTCAAAGTATCCACGTCGGGCAGTGTTGCCAAACCTACAGTTTTAACTGTAGGTCTACAGTTTTTAGGAGATTCTCTCAGTTTTTAGTTTAAGCCTCGAAATCTACAGTTTTCTACAGTTTTTATGCAAGATGCTAGCGTCATCTATTTTATTTGTCTGTACACTAAGTCAGCTTCAGGTAAACCTGCTACTATCGCACCGAAAGTAATGGTCGGATGATATTTTAATAGATGGCGTTAGTGGTAGGTCGTTCCGGCAATATTTTACCGACATTCTCTATGGTTCGCTTTTTTTATTTTTACTGGGGAATCCCCGTAACTGCTTTGTCGATATAAAACAATAATTTATACGTCATTATCTAGTTCATTTCTTATCTGATTAGATTCTTTTTTATTATGTGACGTTGTGAGTTGAGCAAATATTAACGAATATGCAAAGTTGCAGTGATGAGTCAGATGTCGATAAATCCCCACGAAGAAAGAAGAAAGTTATGAGATATGAGCAAAAATTTGTTGACTCTTGGCTCAATGACGCAAATTTTAGTGGATGGCTCGTAAAAAGTAAGAAAGGTAACACTTATTTTTACTGCTCTACATGTGACTGTGATCGTAAATGCGGAATTCAAGAATCGCGATTTGTCGCCATTAACCTCTTTTTAACTGAGCACGTTAGACAGAGAGAGATATATCATTTTTTATGCCACATATATAAAACGTTGTATTGTTTATTTAACTTTTACAATTGATCATTAAGTTGGTTATTTAAAGAAAAGGACTGTAATTGGAAGAAAAACCATCCAAGGATAGAGCTTTTAAGACCCTATAAGCGCGAAACAGCAGCTCCTAACCGTCAATTTTGTTTTGTTTGTTTGTCAACATTCAAACCGTGCGGTAAAATCCCGGAAATGTAAGAAGTGGCTCTGTGAGAAACGAAACCGCCGTCGTAAAGTGACGCTTCCCGCTAGATCGGCGTGGAATTCGGTATTTTACATCATTGTAATAGGAATAAGATATTCTATTAAACACATATACAATGTACGGGGTGGTCTATTGAAAAAAGTATGTTCGAAAATTGATAGAGCTTTGTTTTATGCGTCACTTGGAAAAACTTGGCCAATAACCCTACATTGTGTTGGCATATATTAAAAATAAAACATTTAAGTTACTTTTCGCCCGCATCGATCGGCCCAACAGGTCCGCCGCTTTCGAATTTGCGTGATTTATGCCCGCCGCCCCCCCGCCCCCGCAACTCGACGCCGCAACTTTTCGTCGTATTTAGAACGGCCCCGTTCGGCGTATCGATTCGGCCTCTTTCTCGCGTGCGGGGGAAGAAATAAAAACCTCGATACAACTTCACCGACGGTCTCTAACCTCAAAACGTCCACATACAAAATACTCCCTATAATATATGTATACGTATATAAATATACCTGCGTATGTGATACAAACATCGAACACACGACACTCAAACTAATGTCCACATACTACTGATGCGGGCTAAAGTGCACCATGACCTTGTGCCTGATGTCGCCATCCGACGTCGACGCCGCTCCCTGCTGCTCCTGCTCCGTACTGTTGTTCCTCGAGGGCTCGTACGAGTGGTAGCAGCCGGGGATCGTCGCCGGAAGCCTGGACTCCGAGCTGATGGCCCTTTCCAGCCTTCCGCGCGGCCTGTGGCACGACACCTCCCTCGTGCGGGACCTGGAGGCCCGCGAGCACTCGGAAGCGTTCGAACTCCTCCTCCGCGAGGAGGCGAGGTGCTGGGCGGACCCTCCTCCGGGCAGCGTCCCCGGCAATCTGGGGGAGCACGAATGCGAGCTCCTCCTCGGGCAGCCTTCCGCCGCCTCGTGCTCCTCCACTTTGCGCTGCCGCTTGAGGGGATTCCTGCGTCTGTCGCGAATCCTCAACGTCACCGGGCACTCCAGGTGCAGGTCCATCGCCATCGAGCCCTGGCTGCCGGCGGCGTGCTGCAGGGACTCGTTGCTGCGATAGTTGCCGGTGGTTTCGTCCACCGACACCGCGTGCCGGTGGAGGAGGCCCGGATTGAGCAACGCGCAGGCCGCCAACGTCTGCCTCGAACTCTGGGGCGCCGCCTGGGGCGGCCCCTCGTGTTCCTTGAGGTCCGGCGCGGACGGACTGCGATTTATAGAACCCTGGAACGACCTGGAGGTGACCTGGGGCACGGCGTCCAAAATTTCCCGAACAAAGGATCGAAATTGAACAATTTTTGTTTATTTCCGTCGCTTGACCAAGCACTTGGTTTATGACCAAGAGGTAAAAATAGAATAATCATATTTTACCGCTAAAATGTCTTTTTCCGTTTCGGAACAGATTCATATCTTAAGGATTGAAATACGAGGGCAGCGCCAAAATTTTCCGACCTGTATATGAAAGAAACAAAGCAGAGTTACAATTTTTTATTATTTTTCAATATAGTCCCCCTTAACTTCAATACACTTATTACATCTCTTTATTGACAACTCAATCCTTCTTTTAACTCAACTTCGTCGTTGAAAACGTCCACGTAAGTCCTTTTTCAAATATCTAAACAAATCACAGGCTTCGGTTCCGACCCACAGAGTTTCAAAAAAGACCACGCACAGTCGACACGGCGTTGTTTTTGAATAGCCGAAAGGTTTTTAGGAACCCATCTTGCACTAACCTTATGCTTACCTAAATGATCATGCAGGATTCGACGAACACTTGTATCAGAAAGCTTGGTAATTTCTGGGATGTTCTTGACCTTTAAACGTCGATCACTCAATACCACCTCCTCCATAATGGCAACAATATCTTCCGTTATGACCTCCGCTGGTCGACCAGTTCTTGAATCATCTTCAAGGGACTCCGCCTCATTCGAAAACGTTGTGCCCATTCTTTCACTACAGAATACGGAGAGGAGAAGTTTGGCCGTACACACCCTCCAGCCTTTCTTTATTAATTTTAGGTGCTAACCCTTCTTTTGTCAAAAACTTCACGACTGCTCTATACTCAATTTGCGTTATTTGCGACATTTTTTCGGACACGTCTTGTTTAAAATGCTGCCAATAAAAAACTATTTGACGCAAGACTTCAATTTTTTTTCGCAGCCTACTAAGATACTGGAGCTGCATCTATGTCAGGCCGGGAAATTTTGGCGCTAACCTCGTATATTCTTTTTCTAATTTCCCATAAATTGGAAAATGAAAGTATTATTATTAATGTGATCAAGTTTTCGGCAATTTTGAATCGTGTACCTGTTGAACCTTGAGCGAGTCACGGGAGCGTCGCGCCTGGGGCGTCGGTTCCAGAGCCAGACCTCTGGAGAAGTGTACGAAAGATTGCTTGAGCGCGTGGCGGTCGGCAAGGGCGGGCCCGCCGGCCGGCGGGTACCGCTTCGAAGACGACGTCGCCGGGAGGAAGTTGGCGGCGGTTTGGGAGGCGGCGGTCCTGAGGGAGCCGTGGCCGTTGCGGGTGCGCAGGCCCGCGGCGGCGGGTGGCCCCGTCATGCTCACCTTGAGGCGGGCCGGCACCACCTTGGCGGCCGAGTCGCGCGCCTCGAACGTCATGACGCACGCGGCGACGACGATAAACCCTGCGTTCAAAACGACCGGCGTCAGCGACATTTTACATACGTTGTGCGGGCAGATGCTATTACGTAGCCTCCATAGCTCAGGGGTTAGAGCACTGGTCTTGTAAACCAGGGGTCGAGAGTTCGATTCTCTCTGGGGGCAATTTTTTTTTTTCGCGCGATTTAAAGTTTTTCAATTTTTCCGCGTCGCCTGAATCGTCCCGGGCCCATTCAACAGTCGAATATTTTTTTTAACAGATGATTTCAGCGATAAACGAGACTCGGCCTCACCGCGCCATCTATCGACCGGTAGTGGAAACCGCGAATGGTCGTGCCGCGTGTTTTTTGTTTTGAACCGGCCTTACCGCCCACTCCCATGACAATGGGGCCCGCGTACGACAGATTGTTGAGGTGGAAGCCCCGAGACTCGTTCTTGACGGCGACCGTGTGATTGCCGCGCACCTCTTGAGCAATTGACAGGTGGTCCGCGTAGTAACCTTAAAAAAGGGGACACGGCGTGAAAAAAACGACCCGGCGGGGTCGGGGAAGGGCGCGGACCTATCGTCGCCATCGCGGCGCCCAGCACCATTAGCAGCAGGCCGAGACTCAGCGCTTTGCACGCATTCCACAGACATTTCCCGTTCACTTTGCCCCTGACCACCTGTACGTTCCACTGGGCCCCAGACGCGGGGTGGGCCCTCCGCACCACCTCGGAGGTGCCGCCCCGGGCCCAGCCCCCGGTCAGGAACGCTCCCCTCTGGCTCATGGTCGAAATTAAGCGCGTAAGCGGGGGCTCAGCCCGCGGGCGGGCGACCCGCCCCCCGCACCATCGCCCGTTGCACACACCACTTTCGCGGAAAAATAGAGAATTTCTTAACGCGACAACGACGACGCCGACCGCGGGTCCGCCATGATGATTTCTCGCAACAGGTTCGGATATGCGCCGTGGGAGGCTGGGGTATCGACGGCGCGGATCTCCGAGGGGCGCCCGCCGGATAAATTTTCGACCCCCACGGCGCAAGCTTCCACGTTTCGCTAATTAACGGGCTCGCGAGCTTCGTGAAAGGGAAGCAATCTCCGCGCGGTAAAATTATTCACGAGGCCGAACAAAAATAAGAAGAGGAGATCGCGGCCTACTTTGCTATTTTCCGCATCAAAAATTCATTCCCCGGGTCGTAAAAAGGCCCGGGTTTGTGCCCGGCCGCCCACGATATTCGGGCACCTGTCGAGACCGCCTAAACATCACGGCGCATCTCGGTTGCCGTGGCGACGCGAGCGCGCGCGCCTACCCGCGTGCGAGCCTGCACGCGACTAGGAATGACGTCATCATACAACACACCCGCGATTTCCGGTACCGGGGGTGTAGAGAAGGTTTCTTAGTAAGGTCTGCAAAATTAAACTTTTTGACATATGGTTTTATTTGAAAACTGATTTTATGTAATTTTTGCAGGCTGATTTCAAAATTCTATGCATTTGTTTGTATCACGTGAGTTTTCATCGCAAATATTAAAAAAAAAAAAAAACTTTTTTGAGTGAACTCTTCGTGTTTTTGCCAGAAAACTGGTCCACGAACTAACCGATGAGTTTTGGGCCGGATGGTGACGTGAAGTTTTCTGTATACACAATGACCCAATGTTAGGTCTGATTTTCTATTGATTAGAATGTCTAAGAATGGGAAGTTGTTATTAGTTTCTATATCAACGCGGCAGCGCCAAAATTTCCCGGCCTGAATATAAAAGAAACAAAGCAGAGTAACAATTTTTTATTATTTTTCAATATAATCCCTCTTAACGTCAATACACTTATTATTAACAACTCGATCCCTTTAAAAAAATATTCTTTTGGTTTGTCTGCAAAATGAGCTAAAACAGCCTCTTTTAACTCAACTTCGTCGTTAAACCGCCGTCTACGCAAGTCCTTTTTCAAATATCGAAACAAATTATAGTCGCTGGGGGTTATATCTGGACTATAGGAAGGATGATCTATCTGTTGGAACACACACTCTAAAATGGCAGACGCACGCCTCTGGTCAGTTTTCCTCTACGTTTTACACGTATGCAGTCTTGCAATCTATGTAATAATGTTCCATAATATTTACCATTGACAGTGGTATTAGTTTCTTTAAAATCTATCAAAAAAATTCCTTCACAATCCCAAACGATCGTGGCCATCACCTTCTTTGTTGACTGGCAGACTCTGAATTTTCTTGGAAGTGCTTCACCGTTAGGACATCACTATATTGATTCTTTTTTCGATAGAGGGTCATAATTGAGAACCATAGCTTCATCTCCCGTCACAATAGTTTCTATCACAGGCTTCGGTTCCGACCCACAGGGTTCCAAAAAAGACCGCGCACACTCGACACGGCGTTGTTTTTGAATAGCCGAAAGGTTTTTAGGAACCCATCTTGCACTAACCTTGTGCATACCTAAATGATCATGCTGGATTCGACGAACACTTGTATCAGAAAACTTCAGACCTTTAAACGTCGATCACTCAATACCACCTCTTCCACAATCGCAACAATATCTTCTCTATGCTCAATTTGCGTTTTTGGCGATATTTTTTTGAGACACCTCTTGTTTAAAATGCTGCCAATAAAAAACTATTTGACGCAAGACAATTTGTTGCTAAAATCGTATTTCGAAAAATTAGGCGCAAACAAAACGAAACTTGAATTGCGCGGACCCGCGATCCTAGTAGGCGCCGCCGCGTTCCGAAAACATTGTAAATCCGGGCGTCTTCGGGCAGCGGCGGTCCACTCGACCAGTCAGCCAGTCGGTCTCTGGATCGCAAGCCGTCCGGAGAGGGCGCTCGCGCGACAAACTTCCGGGGCCCGTGCGGGGGCTTGAACGAGATCGATGCTGCAGCTCGGACACACCGGGGCCCACCGATGGGCCATCGGCAGGGGCTCGAGGAACGACCCGGGCCCCCCACGTCCTTGGACCCCGAACTGCTCGAACATATTCGCGAGTGTCCGTGTCCCTGCGACCATATGGGCTACGGCAACTATTTGGACTATCAGGTGAGCGCAACGGGCGGTCGGGGCCGCTTTTTTCGCGGTTTTTTCCGAAACCACAACGCCCGCCACCAAATTTACCGTCGTAACGACCAAACCCCAACTCCTGCCACCAAATTTACGGTCCTAACGACTGCCACCAAAATTACCGTCCTAACTACGAAACCCCAACGTCTGCCGCCAAATTTACCGCCCTAACGACGAAACCCCAACGCTTGCCACCAAATTTACCTTCCTTTGTACCATTTGTGTACAAAAAGCGAACTTTTTCGCTTCCCGGGCGGCCGGGGGGCGGGAAGGCGACCGTCCCACGCCGAAATCACGCGGCAGTTTCAATTTTACGAGCGGCCGGGGTCGTCGGGAACGGCACAGGCGCGCTTGCATATTTTTCGGTCCAGATCAATGCGGCTGCGAGAAAATTTTGATTAGTTTCGGCTGGCGGGTGACGTGTGCGACGGTTGCTCGACCCGGGGGCCCCATTTCCGCCATGGTAAGTACGGCGGGGGCCGCGACAGACGGTTGACCTAGGTTAGGGAAGCGCGTGTCCAAGGGGCGCCTCTTTGCAGATCCCTCCGTGTTCCGGGGACCTGCACGCCGTGACCAGGGAGACGTCTTTCAACGCGGGACCGCACCATCATCAGTACCACAACGTGCGGGACTACAGGCCCCACCACCCGCAGTACGAGTACGACTCGTGCTCTTGCAGCTCGGCGAGTGACACCAACAGGTAATGCGGCTTCCTCCTCGGCGACGGCATCGACGTTCTTGTTATTATTATCAGGTTTAAGTCGAGTAACGATTTTCATTTTTCTGCGGGAGATCGCGTCAGTTTTCGATGGTATTACGTATTGTTGTTGGGTAAAGTCATTGACAAAAAAAATATTCTTACTCGAGTGACGTGGCTGTGGTGGGTGAGGTATATCTCTTTCTTTCTGATTCATATTCACATGACAATTGTTTCGACAACACCGTATCTTGATAAAATGTAATGTTTACAAACTACCTGCTACTATATATACCGAAAAATGACCATAAAACACTAATTAATGTTGTGAGAATTTAAGTTTAATAATGGAGAGGTATTTAAATCTAATTGATCGTTAAGCAATACATTTGAATGTCTCATTTTGTTAATTTTGATGGCTTCCAATAAATTTCATTTTCTACTTTTTGTGGCTGTATGTAAAATATCAAAATTGTCGTCAAAAATGTGTTTTTCTGTGTTTCAGTGTGTAGCATAAATAGAGTCTAGACTATTGTTTTTAAACGCTCTTTTATGTTCGTTAATGCGTTAAACAGTGCATCATCTCCTTAATATGTTGTAATACCTGGACCAGTAGCGTCACAACACAATTTTATCTGGAGTAATCAAAATATAAAAGAAACACAACCTCAATTTCTGTCTAAACTGTGCAAAATCCGAATAGAAATTGTTCGAGAAAGTGACCTTTATTTTAACCAGGGATTCCGAAAGTGTCGATATATACCGGGCGTTCCGATTAAAATATCAACGTTGATGTCAAAGGGGACACTTTTAGGACACCCTGTATCAACAAAATTATATGTTGAAATAAGGCAGGACAGGGGAAACTTGTGTCAAATTGAAAAATCTAGGCGTACCGCAAGGTGCTTGGCTTCGTTTTATTTATCCTTTTTATCACTCACGCTCAGAGCGTCCAGTCCGCCTAACCAAAACTAACCAATTGACCACGGCCTAACAGCCCGAAAAATCTCACATATAACGACGCCGGCCGTGAAAGCCTGCGTAATAATACTGCAGAAATCTGTAATTCTCCGCGGTATTTCCTCCATGATGTGTTCGAATTTTTCCTGAATTACTTCGTGCTGTACTCCATCTGCGGTTCACCCCTGCCCTTTGGCTCCAGAACCACCCTGAGGGGCCCGTGGTGCGTGTGCCTCGTGGTCTGCATCGTGGTCGCCACCCTGACCGCAGGCCTGGGGCTGCCGCTCGCTATGAACCCTCCGTCGGAGCCTCTGACGCAGGAGCAGCGCCTCGATCTGGTCAGGAAACTGCTGAAGGAGACGCCGCTGATCGACGGCCACAACGACCTGCCGTGGAACCTCAGGAAATTCGTGCACAACAAGCTCGCGAGCCTCAACCTCAGCGCGATCGGGCTAGAGGAGCCTTGGGCACAGAGCAAGTGGTCTCAGACGGACATACCGAGGATGAGGGCGGGGCTGTTGGGCGCCCAGTTCTGGTCCGCCTACGTGCCGTGCAAGGCGCAGCATCTGGACGCTGTCCAGATCACCCTCGAGCAGATCGACGTCATCAAGAGGCTCGTCGAGGTGAACTCGAGGCACCTGCGGCTCGTGCACAGCGCCGGCGAGATCAGGGGCGTGCACAGGGAGGGCATGATAGCGTCGCTGATCGGGGTGGAAGGTAAGAGTCTCGGAATCTCTCTATACAGCACGTCTCATAGTTAGCTTTTTTTTAACAAACTTCCAATCTGCAAATCTTATTAATTCTTTCATTTACCATCGAAAAATTCGAGAATCTATAAAAATCTATAAGCACCCAAACAGATCAAGAATTTGTGAAAACTAGGATCGAATCTGGAAAGGTTGCGTTATAAAAGGTTTTTCTAGGAAACAACAAATATCCAAATTACAATGCCATTATAGAAAAAATATTCGAGAAATTTAGGGAAATATGAGTGTAAAACTACCTTCTTTACAATCACATTTGCATTATACCCAGAATTTAAAAAAATGGAACGCAGATACCAAGGTCATTGTTTAAAAGGGACCGTCCGGCCATGGAATATGGACTTCGTTATTATTTGAGACTCTTGAGTTTTCCATTTATCAATTCTTTTAATGTTGACAAAAAATCTTACGCGGAATAGAAAAAAAATGAAGTCTTAGCTAGGCATCAATATCAGAAATAAACTTCACCGAAGAAAAAGTTCTAAAAGCTCTCACACAGCTTAAGTTTTCTGGTCCTGATCATGTGTCCCCAGTTTTTCTAAAAAACTGTTCATCTACAATGATGAACGAATTGAAACAACTATCGACCAATCAGTCTAACTTCTATTCCCTGCAAAATTATGGAGAAGATAATTGCTTGAGAACTCATTGAATTTTTAATGACAAACTATCAGTACTTCCTTGCCAACCAGCATGGCTTTGTACCTCGAAGATCTGTTAATTCCCAGGATTATTAACAATAAATTGTTCCTAATTTTTACAAAAAAATGACATGATATTTTGAAATCTCTTCCTGTCTTTACGATAGTTGAGATGGTTTCAGCCAAAAATCGCAGCTCTAAAAATCGCTCGCAATGTGTAAGATATTTTAAAAACTGTGAACGCGACAGTGTTTACGAACAAGTTCCGCCCCATGGGGCACGGCTTTGGCCTAACCCAGCCCTTTTAGGGGCGTGGCCTTACACGGTTATACCTCCGCAGGTGGCCACGCCCTCGGAAACTCCCTCGCCGTGCTGAGGACGCTGTACAACCTGGGCGCAAGGTACCTGACCATCACCCACTCCTGCGACACCCCGTGGGCTACCGGGCAGGACACGATGACCAAGGAGGGTCTCTCCGATTTCGGCAAGACCGTCATCAGGGAGATGAACCGTCTCGGTATGATCGTAGACCTGTCCCACGCCTCGATACACACTGCCAAGGCCGCGCTCAATATTTCGAACGCGCCGATCATCTTCAGCCATTCGGCCGCCTACTCGCTGTGCAACACCTCGCGTAACGTTCCCGACGACATCCTGAAGCTCGTCGCGCACAACGGAGGCGTCGTCATGGTCAACTTTTACGCTTACCACCTCGCGTGTAACGTCAACGCGACCGTCGCCGACGTCGTGCGCCACATCAACCACATCAGGGCGGTCGCGGGAATCGAACACGTCGGTGAGTGACCCTCCACCCTCCCGGTCGCGCCTCGCTCGTCATAAAGGTTCGCGCCTGAACGAGCCGCGCTTTTCCTTCCGGTCCGACGGACGCCGCTGGCGATTTTCGGGCCGGTCGCGTCACAAAGACGACGCTCCTTTTTTTCTTCCCCTTTTTCCACCACAGGACCTCAACGATGCCACCAATTTTTACATCCCCGGCCTCGCGGAAATTCTAAATTTAACACCCTGAAAAAACCAATCGTGTAAAACTTCTAACAGGACACTTTCCACGCCCGTAGGTCCGCTTTACTTAAAATTCATCACTAAGCTCATATCTGCCGTATAAAAAAAAAACGAACCCCACAAATGACGCCAATTTTTACGTCCCCCGCACTACTCGTAAGATCAAAATTTCACTTTCATAAAAAATCAATATTGTAAAACTTTCAGGACACTTTCCACGCCTGTAGGTCTGCACCGTAGCATACCACAGCGAATTTCAATTCCGTTTTGCTTAAAATTCATCACCAAGCTCAGATCCGTCTTAAAAATATCTAAACCCCACGGATGCCACTAATTTTCACGTCCCTGACCTTTTGCACCTCTTGCTAAGTTCTGAACGTAAAAGCCAATCGTGTAAAACATGAGGAACCAATTTGAATTATATTCTGCTTAAAATCATCAATTTTATTTTGATCAACAAGCTTAGGTCTTCCATAGAAAAGCCTGATGCCACCAATTTTTACGTAGCAGTCCGATGAGAAGACGTCACATTTCAATGCTATTTTTCAAAACCAATTTTTACGTCCCTCCTCGTAAGTTCAAAATTTGATTTCCTTAAACACCCTATTGTGTGGAGCTTCGAAGGCAACATCTACGCCGTAGAGACAACTGCGAAAACGTTAAATTTTAATTCAAAGCCTCCACCCCACCGGCGACACCAATTTTTACGTCCTCAAACAGCTTCTCAAGTCTATATCGTAGAGTCCGCTGCGAAGACGTCAAGTTTCAATTTCTCACTTAGTTCAGGTGCTTAATTCCGTATTTTCCCAAACTTAAGCGCAAAAACACGTCCGAATCTCTTCCCCTAAGTTCAGCAGCATGAGACCTCGACGGCGACGTCGTCCACGGGACACCTCCATGTAGCGCTCGCGTTGCAGGAATCGGCGCCGGCTACGACGGCATCAACATGACGCCGTCCGGCCTGGAGGACGTGTCCAGGTACCCGTACCTCTTCGCCGAGTTGTTGACGGACCCCGAGTGGTCCGAGGAGGACATAGCGTCGCTGGCGGGCGAGAACTTCCTCCGGGTGTTCGAGAAGGTCGAGGAGGTGAGGGACAAGTGGCGTTTGGCGGAGGTGCTGCCCCTGGAGGAGCCCGGACCGCGCGTGGACGCCGGCTGCGTGTCGTCTTACTCCTGACCCATGCTGATGCTGGCCGCGTGGTTCGCCGCCTGCCGGTGGGCGCTCGGAGGTTTGCTGGCGGCCGGGTAACCCGCCCCCACCCGAACAAATCAAACCCAGGTTGTGATTACAATGATGATATACACACAATCAGTTTTAAGGGACGATTTTAGGCGAATTTTTATGTCGAAACCCGCCACCCCCGGCTTCGTGAACCCCCCCGAGGCAGAAAATTAGCGAACGACCTTCGCCCCCCTCCCCCGTGCCGGTCGCCGCCGATGGGCCGCGGCGCCCCGCGTAGGCAACCAGCAATGTCGTTTTTTTTTTTTTTTTCTCGTTTCGCATATCGGTAAACTTGAAGTCGTAAGAAAGACCATCGCCTACTACGATTACCAGTGAAACTCTCATCTGCATATAATAATAATGAATAGTCCTTATTACCATTACATGGGCGAAGGCTGCCTTTAAGGCCAGTCACACTTAACCCATTCCTAACTACAACTACAGATAAATTACAAGTATGTATGAAATTACAAAATAGAATGAAACTAACTTTGATTTGGGGCCGCTATTTAAGGAGTTGAACAAGCTTACAGCATTATATGTAAAAGAACATTGAAATTTTTTGGTGATTGGTGATTTAATTGTAAATTATGAGCCTGCGCAAAGGTGACTATATTTTCCAAATCCTTATCTGCCAAATCTGCCGTATAAATCAAAAACAATAATGGACCTAATACTGAACCCTGTGGCACCCCTGATGGAATATCTAGATTAGTTGATAGCCGGTCCCGCAACAGAACTTTTTGACGCCTGACACGTAAATACAGTAAAAATTCTACGACTTTCTCACATTCGTCATCAATATTGCAAATTTGTGTCTTGTTAACATTATATTCAGGTGTCACTTTGGCCTTAATAATGCAGGGTTTCCATGGGAATGCTTCCCTGATTTTTAGGTTATAATTTACATTTTATTTGATTTACCATTTTAATTTTAAAATCTAGACTTTAAGCGGATGAAAATTATGTCTCCATAAACACATCCACGAAACTTTTCTTTTGACAATAAAGAATCGAGACTAAAATTTAAATTCAAACCACCAAGACGAACGCGTTCTCTAACGGCTTACCAGCGGACTGACGTCAGATGGCAGCGCGTTTCAAAGAAGATTTAAATTTTACAATTTTTAGTTGCTTATATTTGTTACATAGGACTGCGAAATTATTTTTTTTGTGAACTGTGGTTCTTTTAATATTATAAACTTACTTTTATAAGCAATATTTTTGAAATTCAATTCAACTCTACGTACGTCTCAATGAGCTTTAAATCTGTATCCTGAATTTCTATACCTTATCATTTTGGTAGTTAAAGTAATTATAGTGAATTAAGTTGTTTTTTTTTAACGAAATTTCGAAAATTTTTATAAATACATAATATAAAATGGAGGTTTATAACTAACCGTTTAATTCCATCAATTTCTGCGTAATAAACGCGAAACCGGGTCTGCGCGAGGCTGGTTGCCTACTTTCGGGCGTCGTCGGTCCGCTCCCCGACGTCACCGGTCTCCGACGTTCCGACCGATACGCACAACGCGGCGCGACATTCACCGACTGAGTTTCGTAAAATAGTTGACTAAAAACGGTGCGACGCGATTTTTTGTAGACCGTTTTTTCGGTAAAACCGCGAAAATCAATTTCCCGCGTCGCATTTTACTCTGAAACTGCCACTTAGACATATTTAGGTAGGTACCCGGAATCCGCTTGAGGGCGCGCCCGCCTCCGGCGGCGGCCCGGAGCCGTATATAGAGGAGAGGATCCGTTAGACTAACTTAAGTGCGAAAACCGCCCGAAAAAAAGGAACTTTCGCACCCACCCCCGTATATAATATTAACAGGTGTTTGTTTTTCGTTCGGCTTATTTCGTAAAACAAAAAAAAATGCGCGCATGTGCAAAGTAGCGTTAAATTGTGATAAAAATATCATCAAGTGAGCTGTGTCAGATTTTCGTCGTCACACACACACGTCTAGTTTAGTTCCGTCCCCATCACTTACTCCATCTATATCTCTCTCTCTCTCTCTCACGCGGTATACTTTAAAGCACTTCCCCGGTGTTCTTAGCGTCTCTCAGTTGATTTTAGATGTTTTAGCGTAGTAGAGTGGAATAACAAATGCGTAGACGTTTTACATGTAGTAGGCGGTGTTTGATTTCCCTTGGCTTCCGGACTGTTATTAGCGTAGGCTTCGCGCCAGCGTTTCCGTTTTCACTGGATAGGAGGGGGTGGGGGGCGCGCGCCGCCGCCCTCCCCCCCGATAGAAATGTGTGGCTTTAAGAAATAGGTACCTTTTATGATTAAAACATGAGGAAGAAAAAAATCCGAGCTATTTACCCATAGATTTATTATTATACCGAAACGCGGGATATTTTTCAATTTTATTAAGAGTTTATATGTTGTTGTGTTTGTACGGTTTAATAATATAGGACGGTATTTATGTAGGACACACATTTGACCAAGCATATTTTGTTAGTGGAGATTCAAATAAAACATTATTTAAAAATGTACATCGCTTGTCACGTTAATCGATACACCCGCTTCCTCCAAAAGGCGCCATCTCGCGGATATTAAGCGCGGGTAGTTGCGCTTCCGAACCATAGATGTCGCACTTCGAAAAAAAATCATTTTTGTTTGATAAAGGCGATTCAAACTGGTCCATTTTAGACGCTCCTATACCTTATCTCAGCAAACACCAAGGGAAAAAAGGTAATACAAAAAGTGTTTGACCCTACGTATATATTTTGTTTAGAGCATATTTATGTGTACAGGGTGTTCCGTTGTGCCGCGACGATAACCAACATTTTTTGTTAAAGGAATGCTATGAATGTTTTGAAAAATTGTAATTACGAAATTTTGAGTTTTTGAGAAAACTGAACTTTTTTATATTTAATACTGGCGAAAATATATTATGCAGGTATCAAAAAACTTTTTTTCTAATTAAAAAAACTCAATTTTTGTATTTAGCACTTTTATTTAAAATGTTAGTTTAGAGGTTATAGCCAATTTTCTGCAACAGCTCTTGTATTTTATTTTAAATCTAACTTAAGCCATATAATATCCTGTTCTAAGTTTTTTTAAACATTGATTACTTGAATTCAATATAAAATCAACAAGCAATGCAGGTAAATAGATACAAGATACAAGACACAAATAGTACACCTATTTTTATACACTTCGTCTTTTATGCAGCCCCATAAAAAAAAGTCCAGGGGTGTCATGTCGGAGCTCGTTGCTGGTTAATCCGTGGTCCAGTACAATTTCCATAACAGACACTATATATGGCGCACTATCTTGTTGAAAAACAATCCCTTACTTAATATCGTCCGACAGATATCAATTAATAGAAATATATAGTCCTCCGACAAATTTAAATATCCCTCACCTTTCAGAACAAAGTCGTAAAATACTATCCTATTATTCGATCACGTATAATTCCACTCCGACCTTGGCTCTTAATTTATTTTACATGATTTTCCTTTGAAATGCGCCAGTAATGAGTATTTTTTCTGTTGGACACATCGGCCGCACTGCACGTTGCCTCATCGTTAAAAGAATATTTTAAAAATGTCACTTTCCCAATAACGGCCAGTTATCACTAGAGTTCAACTTTAATACGTGCAGGGTTAACGATTTCAACTAGGTTTAAACTTTAATACAAATAAGGTTAACGATTCATGTTAGTCACTGAACCAACCCATTGTCTAATACTCATTGACGGCTCCCGACGCGGAACTTCGGACACATCCGGCCTAGTTACCGCCGTACGTGGGCAAAACAGAAAAACCGCGGGGCAGTTATATCACTAAAATAGACTATCTATTCACTAACATCGAAAACAATAAGAATTTGAAAACGTCTTAAATGTTGAAAAAACCGGACTCTGTAAGCAGCGGACAAGAGTCAACCTGCCTTGTGCAATGCTACTCGCAGAAACATCGAGAAAAAGTCTTCTTTGAAAGTCTACTAATGCTGGACTCTGATTATTTCTTATGTAACATTCGTGAAGATCTAAACGCACTTGAACACTGTAAGAAGCCATTTTTCTTGGTAAAAAAGTTGGTCACAACTAAATGTCTAATAAAAACCATGTTTTTCTGTCCAGGCAACAATTTTATTAGTTTATAAAATACTTACAGTTATAGATTAAAAATCTTTTCTTTTTTTTCCTTCTTCTTCTTTTATTTCTATTGGCCAAAACAGCGAGCATCATTCGGCCACAATTATTTTCCCTAGTTATTTCATAAATTCTTGAACAATCGGCATTATCAATAAGTTAATTGCCTCATTAACTATAATTATAAATTTCGGTCTTTTCCTTTTCTCTTATTCTTTGTAATTTTTAGATTTTAGGTTCAGTTTATTGATGTAATTATTGCATGGAATGTTTCTGCAAGTGTTATACTCATTTGTACTGGATACATACTTGTTGGAACGCATGGCTGTAAGGTATTTTCTTTAAATAAATAAATATTTTGTATATATAGGGCGAGGTTTATTTAACAAAATATCACACAAGAAAATCGGGAATTATCAAACTAAGCCTCCTTGACGACGGCCTCGCAAGCAGCCTCCACAGTGGGGTACGAAAACTCGTAGCCCAAAGCCCGCGCGCGCTTGGGAAGCACTTTGGGACCCGCGGTCACCATTTTCGCGCGCTCCGCCCCCAATACCAAATTAAAGACGAACGCGGGCACCGGGATCACGGCCGGCCTCTTCAGCGCCCGGGCGAACGCTCTCGTGAAATCCCCGTTGGTCGTAACCTGGGGGGCCACCGCGTTCAGCACTCCCCGAACGTGCTCGCTTTCCAGCGCGAACGTTATAAGCCCCGCGAGGTCGTGGATGTGTATCCAAGGCATGTACTGCGAGCCGTCCCCCACGGGGCCGCCTAACCCCAAAAAAAACGGCAGATAGAGCTGTTTAATCATGCCGCCGTGTTTGCCGAGGACGACGCCGCTGCGTACGGTCACCGTGCGGCATTTCGACGCGGAAACGGGGTCCAACGCGGCTGCGTTCTCCCAATTCAAGCACAGCTTTGAGAAAAAGTCGAACTGCTCGATCGGGCTGTCTTCGGAGTATTCGACGTCGTCGTCGGGTCTGTACCCGCTTATTCCCGACATCGTGACGAACACTTTGGGTTTGACGGACGCGTTTTCGATTGCTCTCGCGAGCGCTGAAGTCGTGTTCACGCGTGAGCTGAAAACGTTCTGCTTAAAGCCCGGAGTCCATCGACGTCTGAAATCCATCACGTTTTGGCCCGCGAGGTTAACCACGGCGGAGGTGCCACTCGGCAATCCCGTGCTGTTAATCTCGTTCCACGACACGTGGTGGGGCCCCGGCATTCGCGACACCACGTTGACGCCATAGCCCTTGTTCCTCAGCACCTTGCAGAGGTGGTTTCCTACGAATCCCGTGCCACCACCTGCAATATGCGTTCAGTATCGGCCATTTTCGCGACTCCCCGGACCAAACTAACCCACCAGAACATTTCCGGCCATAAGACGTGATGAAGAAAATTCCGCTTGGAGCAATTTATTTACATAATATAACCCCCAAGCGGCTGAAACTGGCTTCCAACTGTCAATTACTCCACGGATCATAGACAAACGCGGATGCGGAGCCATCTGTGAACCGCGAGCATGATCCTTTGAAATTTTTGCTATAGATGGCGCGCATTGTGTCATATAATCTAATGATTCTCTTTTGCGGGATAAAAAAGAAAGATTGTGTACTAGCCTATAGCGGAGAAACGTAGTTTATAAAACGCAGTTAAAAGACCTGGTTTATAAACAGCACGTCTGCTTAATTTCGGACCCGGAGGGTCTATGACAATAGACACAGATGGTTTAAGAAGACAAGCTTGGCTTTTGATACAATTCTTCGACTGCCAATGCCAATCAACGAACGATATATCATCAGCAGATAATTTCTTTTAAAATAACGAATGCGATTTGAATTCAATGTATCGCTAGTGAGCCAAAATCGACTCGGTGCAAGGTTTAACATTCAGTCGGTAGATGGCAGCTTTATGGTATGAAAATTGAGCGTCCCTCATCAAATCAAATTGAAACCGAAAGGACTTACTATAAATCGGCATGATATAACTGAACCCTCGCCTCTTGTAATTGGAAAATTTTGACCATTGACGGACAGATGGCCGCTTCAAGTTTGTATAGCGGCGACACACCATTTGTTATTCCGTGGGTTTAACCCAACAGTTTAAGCCGCCGATTCTGTGGGTGTGCTTAACCTACCAGTTTTTTAAGCCGCCGGGTTCGTCGTTCACTCGCGAAAATGTTGGGCAAGCACGAGAGGGGCCCCCGGAACGTGCAGCTCCCTCCGAGCGTCACGGTGTCCGCGTTCACCGCGGCCCGCGTCAAAGAAATCCAAGCCATGACGAAAGCCCTAAAACAAGACACGGGCACGAAGCTCGTGTTCCAGCGGCTGCCGCGGCACATGAGGCGCCGCGCCATGTCCCACAACGTTAAAAGGCTGCCGCGGAGGCTTCGCGAGATCTACGCGCGGCAAATGAAGAAAGGCGGACTGCCCCCGAAACAGAAAAGGCCTTCGAGGAAGTTCCGGCGCAGGCCGCAGGATCTCGTCGAAGAGTACGCGCGTCGCAAACGCAGAGTATCGTGGCTATGGACTCACATCTGGCACGCTAAAAGGTTCCGCATGGTCGAAAAGTGGGGTTACAAGTTGCCGTGGTGCCCGTGTGATAAATCCTTCAGGGCTTGTTACCGCGCCACCGCCAAACATTGCCTGATTCAGGACGTCTCATATTGTCGATGCGTCCAAGTCAGCGGCGCGCGAGATTTTATCCTCCAGGGGTTGAAAAAAATTACGGACCCCTCGTGCGGGTTGACCCCCGCGGCGAAGTGCTACTGGGGCGGTAAACGGGGGGGCACCGTAACGTTATTTGGGGTTATAGGCAAAGCGATCGGCCCCGTAGAATTCTTGTGGAACTCCGCGATGACCGGTTTGTGGTTATTTGTTCACCCAGCGTATTACGACACCGTTTTGGGGACCCTCGAAGTTTGTTTCCGGGCCCCGGGCGATCTTGAAGAATTGCACCAGGAGCTGAGCGTGTTCAGGTTAACGGGGCCCCTGTCGCACGCGGTACTCCGTAACGCGCTGCAATTGCCCGATTGGAGCGTCGCCGACCCGACGCTACCGGAATGGGTCGAAAAGTGCCCGCGCGAGTACTTAATCGAGCAAAATCGCGCCTGGGGATCGTTGCGGGGCCCCGGCCAGCTGTCCCCAGGCGCCGCGCTCGCTTTGGTCGTGAAAGACCCTCGGTACGGGATTCCGGCCAAGCGTACCAAGTCGCAGGCCGAAACCGGAGGCGACGCGGAAAATTTCCACCCCTGGGCGGAAGATTTAGGTCGGAGCGCGTTGTGGGACGCCTCGACCCGCGCCTACCTGCGCGACAACAAAGTCCCGAACGGGGCGGTGGCCGACGCCAGGGGCAAGCTGTTGACGCCGGGCACGGAAATCGCGAATTCGGGACAACTCGTGCCTGTGGTACTGGTCCAGAGGCCCGGGGTCCGGTCGGGCCCCAATACCGGTGAGTGTGCCCCGCTAGCGGCTCGAACCGTCTCCAGGGTAAAGAGAATTGTAAATTCCCTGGTACATTTTAATTTATTTAAAATGTAGGAAATTGAAGGAGTGGAAAAACAAAGAAAACATCAACTGTTTAGACAATAATGTCGATAAATTCAACATTTTTCTTGATCCAGACAAAAGAAAAGCTATAAGAATAATTCTACTCGACAATAAAATAACAGAACCTTACAAAATTAATCAAACTAATCAAATAACCAAATAAAACGCAGAAAGGCAACAGCAAACCTGAAAGGTCAAACAATTACCGTCTAATAACGTAACGTTAACCTTACTGTAAATGATTTATCTTCGTTTTGGAGTTTCGAGTTATTTTCCCACCATAAGATGAGTGGACACAATAATATATTAAACAGATATTTTCTACAAATACCCAACGTTCTATCTTCCAACTTCCCTACTTGGTACAGATTAGTTGTGTGATTGTTTGTTGTGGGTCTGTAACCATTCCAATTTTTAGGTTACGCGGCCGGGTGGGACATCATTTTGCCGTCGAGTTACGCGCAGGCGTTCTGGCTGGCGTTTATAATGCGGGGCGCGCGGGCGGGCGGGCTCCGCGAAACGCGCTCAATCGACTTCGAAATGTCGCGGTCGGGGCGGCTGCGACCCGACACGCTGGCGGGGGCGGCCGAAGACCGCGACGATTTCGCCGCCGGCAGGGCCAAGTTTTTCCGCTTGCCGCCCAACAAAAGGACGAACTTCAACAAGTACGCGATAGCGTCTCCGCTCGGCTTCCGTTGGGACCTGCTCGTCGACGAGTGGCGGCGTGCAGGAGAGACGGCCGGCGACTTCGCTGTTCTGCGCGACAGAAACGTCTTGCGCGGCGTTCAGGTTCGTATCCTTTTTGTGGTCTGCGATCGCGGGTTGCCAGTCGACGACTGTCACCGATCACTCCAATTGTCGCGAGTCGCCGATAAACGTCAATCTGTTGTCGCGAAAATCTAATCCGCGTTCATCCGCATGGTTTCGACGCGGAACGTAAAAAATGAGTTGCCTCGACCGTCGTTTATCCAATCGATAAATCCGCACGGAAAATATTTCGACGCAATTCGTTCGAATTCGCGGTATTTAAAGGTAAGTTCGTTTTCAGGATTACTTGGACGCGAAGGCGGAACTGCCGTCCCGTTTGGCGAGCCTGTTGATCCCGGTCGAGGTGACGCCGTCGAAAAAGGGCTCGTGCCGCAAATACTCGATCATATGCGTGCCGAAACCGACGGATCACGGCGGAGACCCGGTCGAGCCGGCGTGCCGTGACGTCAACGCGGCGACGCGAACGCGCCTGCGCGCCGAGCACAAAGCGCTGCTCGGTCGGCTCGGCAGGCGTAGGAAACGCGCGAGGCGGGGCGGCAAGGTGAGCACCGGGTTCCGAAAGTCTGGTTCGTAACCTCACTTTTTAGGAAGTGGCGCCGCCCGACGCCGAAGCTCTCGAAAAATACACCGCGGAGATGCGCGGACTGTGGCTCCCCGACGCGACGACGGTGCGCGCGTCGTGCTCGAGGCAGGTCGCCGGTTTCGTCACTCACGGCGACTTTTCCTTCGCGACGGGCGGCGCCAAGGGCGTCGGATACGTCGCGGCGGGCGCGTTGTGCGAACTCGGCGCTCCGCCCCACCGTCGCCGGGTGCTTGTCCGGAACACCAACTCGAGGCTGTACCGCTGGGCCTCGATAAGGGTCATATGCGAATAGAGCGACGTTGCCACATGTATATTTGTAATCGAGAATGGTCTATTGTTTATATAACGCTCACAAGCAGCCTCTTGTTTTGAGCCTGTCGTGTCTTAGAGGGGGGATAATAGATCAACCTTGCCATATCTACGTCACCACTGGCCTTAGGTAATAAAGCCACACGTATATTTGTTTTATTTTTTTACCGAAATTGGTCTTTTATTGATATAACATCCATGCCCGGCCGCCTATGATGCCCAACTTTTTTTACGCTTGTCGTGTTTTAAGAGGGACAAGAAAAGCCAAATTGTCACATTTATATAGAGGTTGATACTCGGTCTCCCTTGGCCGTTATTATTATTATGATTAGTGTCACTTATATATTCGTTCTATTTCTAATCTAGAATGATCTTTTGCAGATGGAAGGTATATTGTAATTTTAATTGAGGATCCTAATTTGTTTAAATGGACGACCATTGTTATTATCTGTCTACAATTTATCCATGCCCGGCCGTCCAACTTTTTTTACGCACCTCTTGTCTTAAGAGGACTGAAAAAGCCACGTTGCCACATCTATATGTTTAACAGTTAATACTTTTAATCGAGAATAGTTTTTTTTGTTTATATAATGCTCATTATTGATATCTAGCTCTTCTCTTAAGCAGCGTTGCCACATCTATATCACCATTGCCACATTTCCGTATTTTTTCTGAAAAAATTGACTAATTTTCATAAGAACGCAAAATCAATCTCTGAAATCTGATTATAATGGGCAACGCGCAACTAGGAGACTACTAATAGTCTGTGCCATAGTTGTTTACATTTTTGGTGGTTATGATTCTCTCCATAAATTTTTCGTGTTTTTGCGAAAAATTTGTTGTTATATACGGGTAAGTCTTGCCTTATGTACATAATGCACATTTTTTACGCTTCTCGTGTCTTAAGAGAGTAACTTTTTTTTAAAGCCTGTCATGTCTTAGAGGGGGATAATAAAGCAATGTTGCCACACTTATATCCGTTTTATTTCTAAAAGATTGGTCTTTTATTTATATAATATGCCTGCCCGGCTGCCCTTGATGCCCAACTTTTTTTGACGCCCTCTCGTCTTAAGAGGGTCTGGAAAAGCCACGTTGCCACATCTATATAGGTCGATACTTGCTCACCATTGGCCATTATTATTATTGTGATTAGTGGAGTGAGGCTAATAAGGTGATATTGTCACATGTATATTCGTTTTATTTTTAATCTAGAATGATTTTTTGCGGACAAAGGGCAATAAAGCAAGGTTGTCACGTATAGATGTTTTGTTTTTAAGATCCTAATTTGTTTATATGAACTACCAGTATGCTACATATAATGCATATCTTTGTTATTATCTGTCCTTGTCTAAAATTGTTATGTCGTGTAAGGGGGTTTTAAGTTTTCTTGGTTATACAACACCCTTATTCCTTCTTTAAATTTATATTGGAGGTACATCACGCGACGTTGCCACATCTGTATTTGTAAACCTAAAATGAGCTGTTGCTTATGTAACTTTAGTCAGTTTCTTTCCTTGTGTGAGTTTGCCTTGCGATAGAGGGGACAATAAAGCGACGTTGCCACAACTAAAATCGTTTTATTTCCAACGGAAAATCACTCTGACGGTATTGCTTAAAACAAGTCCCTAAACCGGGGGGGGGAGCCCAAAAAAAAAATATTACGCTATGTATCTCGGAAACTGTACTAAAAACGGGGTAGGTTGGGGAAAGTTTCCGCACGCCTAGGAAGCGGGATCGCGAATAAATGCCTCGCCCCGACTCACTGCCCGGGCAAATTCTTTCCGACGAACTGTTTGACGTCACGGAGTTCCTCGTCCGAGGACGTGTGCATCAGACCCCGATACGACCTGAACTCGACGTCCTTCAGCAACGTTTTCAGCACCGACGCGGTCATCTGGCCCCACTTGTAGGGCACGATGGGATCGCAGTCACCGTGACACTGCAGGATCTGAAAGCACCATCCTCCCATTCACTACCTCGAGTTCCGATGATGAAACCACCTACCGGTAGGTCGTCGGGACACTTCCTAGCCGCGGGAAAGCTCTTGCGAAGGGGCAGCCAGCAGGACAACGCCACCACACCGGCCAAACGCTGCTGGAACGTAAGGGCCGAGTAGATAGCCAACGCGCCGCCTTGCGAGAAACCGCCGAGCATGATCCTGTCGGCGGGGACGCCGCCCTTCAGCTCCGCGTCGATCAACGCGTGAATCTGGGCGGTCGCCTTTTTGATACCGTCGTCGTCTTCGGGGCCTGACTCGTCCAGCGTCTTCAGATCGAACCAGCTCGGCATCCGGAGCCCCGCGTTCAACGTCACCGGCATCGCCGGCGCCGTCGGGCACACGACTTTCACGTAGGGCGGCCTGATCGCACTTATAGCGCCCGCCCAACCTTGTCTGCGACCGAAAACGAGGAGGGTTTATTTATATTGGCCCAAATGCCTCTACCACATTTTGTCGGAATGTTAGAGGCTACCCTTGCCATTTACTCACCCGGTGTCGCCCAAGCCGTGCAAAAATATAAGCTGAAAAAACGGAAAACATAATCAAAAGGGCACCGTCTCGCGGTTCCCGTACTCACCGTCGCAGTGTGCTTCGCCGATGCGGATATCACAACGGGGGCTGCCATGTTACCGTGTCTAGTGCCACGCAATCGTATTAAACCCGAAAATCACCCAGCTTTCATGCAAAAAGCACGTAAAAATCAAAAGATATCGCTCGCATCACATTTGACAGATGACGGACGTGACGTTCGACGCGGACCACCGACGTTCGCAGACCATAAAAGCCGAACGAGACGATCTGCTGTCCTTATATTCGTTTTTGGTTGTAAAAACAATCCTATTTTCCGAATCAATTCAACGTCAGCGTGCGCGGCGCGCGCCGCCTCCAAAACCGCCCGGTTTAACGGGCTTAATACCAAGGCCTACCACGTCTAATCTCGACCCAAGCGATAAACCCTTGACATATGGACTCTAGACCGCTGTGTTTTCGGTACGAACGGCCACAGTCCGGCCGGTCAGTGCGCGTTTCGTTGCCGGACGTGCCTTATTGAATTTCCCGCGGCCGATTATGTAAGCGACGCGAATCCGGCCAATAAAAAATTAATACACATATTTAGCCGTTTGACGAGTACGGGAGTTTTATCGCCCCGCCATGCGCCGGTGTTCCGCGACCGCGGCCTACTCAGTGTTTCGGCACGTCGGGCGGGTCGAGGTCTGTGGTCGACGCGAGTTTCGGCTGTCAACGATACGAAACAAAAGCGTTCCGGAGACGATGGCGGGCTCGGGGGCATCGCCGTGTCTCGCCATGGATAACCTCAACCCCAACATCAAGGTTATGGAATACGCCGTGAGGGGACCGCTCGTAACTCGGGCAGGCGAGATCGAGAAAGAGTTGGAGCAGGTAAAAGGGATCGATACCCGGGCGCCCCGTTAGTGCATTTAAATTCAGTAAAATATACGACGTGCCCCGCGTTTTGTTTGTCGAAATCGATTGTAAACGGATTAGAATCTGGATCGAGCGATCCGAAAGCACTCAAGGTCGCCGCGGTGCATTATGCAACTAGTCAATTGAGGGCCAGATTTCAGCAGGCGGCGTTGCCGTCTCCTCAAACTGTTTAAACTTTCGCCGAGAGCAATGCAGCCAAGAAACCGACGTGGTTTTGGCGCAGGCAATCCACACATCTGTAAATAATCCATTTCGTTTCACAACGGAGCGCGCGTCGCTCCTAACTCGCGATTTGCCGTCGTTGCGGAAACATCGGCAACGGCGCAACAGCTGGTCCCCGTCGCCTGCCAATTTTCGCTTGCCGGAAGTTTTTCGTTATCGATATTAAAACAAACACTTTAGCATTTAACCACGGACCACGTGTCCTTGTTTCTGTTATCTGTGGAGTGACAGCGCGGAAACGAAGGTGGCTGGTCCGTGGTCGCGGGACGACGAAATGCCGCGATGACGTCATCGCCTGCTTATCGCTCGTGTTCGTGCGTAGGGGGTGAAGAAGCCGTTCACGGAGGTGATCAAGGCGAACATTGGCGACTGCCACGCGATGGGCCAAGTGCCGTTGACCTTCATCAGGCAGGTACTCGCCTTGGTGACGTATCCGAAGCTGCTGGACGACCCGCAGTTTCCGGACGACACCAAGGAGAGAGCGCGCACTCTCTTGAAGGGGTGCAGGGGCGGCTCGGTGGGCTCCTATACCGATTCCCCCGGGATCGAGGTCATTCGCAAGCACGTCGCGCAGTATATCGAGCGCAGGGACGGGATACCGTCCGATTGGCAGAACGTCGTCATCAGCGCAGGTCAGGCCCGCCGGCGCCGGTCTAAACGCTTATTCTAAGGGGGGGTGGGGCTTTGCAGGCGCCAGCGACGCCATCAAAAACATCCTCAAGCTGCTTATTTGCCCGGTTGACGGCAAACCGCCCGGCGTGATGACCCCCATACCCCAATACCCGTTGTATTCGGCGACGCTGGCCGAATTCGGCATGCACCAGATCGGGTACTACCCGAATGAGTCGCGAAACTGGGGCCTCGACGTCGCCGAGCTCGAGCGGTCGGTGTCGGAGGCCCGGAAGGTGTGCGCACCGCGCGCCATCGCCGTCATAAACCCGGGGAACCCCACGGGTCAGGTTTTGTCCCGCGACAACATCGAGGAGATCATCCGGTTCGCGCACAAGGAGAAACTGTTCGTCCTCGCCGACGAGGTCTACCAGGACAATATCTACGCGGACGGCTGCAAGTTTTTCTCGTTCAAGAAGGTGCTGACCGAGATGGGGCCGCCGTACCGCGACATGGAGCTCGCCAGTTTCATGTCGTGTTCGAAAGGGTACCGTTCGAATCGTTATAATGGTCGCGTTCAACGGACGTATCAAAGGGCTCCCGATTCGTAGGGGTGGGGGACTTTTGAGTTTGCAAAGCCGTAGCGGAAACTTCCGCGTTACAAAGCCAACACGTTGTAGGGTGGACGCCATTTTTAGTAGGGGGGTTATTTTGAGCTACATTCGCACTTAATTTTTTTTTATTGAAATTACATCATGTATTTGTTGTTTAGATTGCATTCCTTTCAATATTTTATGACGGTTTTTAAGTAAAAATATTGTATTGGAATTGTACTTCGCCGTAGGGGCAGTAAAAATAATTCTTGAAAACGTCTCGTATTTTACTGGTTGCTGCTCCATAATGATCGTAGCGTCTTGAAACAGACATTTCATGGTTGTTTATATTTTGTTCGGGTTGTGTTGAAACTCCTTCAATGTCAGTTAGTATATTGTGCAGTAGACATGCAGTTTGAACTAAGATACCTGCTTTCTCGGGATTGACTTGCAATTCGGTTTTTAAAAATCTCCACTTAGCAACTAATATACCCCATGCGCATTCAATGCAGCGTTGGGCCCTAGACAGGCAATGTCCCAATGGGAAGGTTTTCTCGAAAACCCCTCGAGTTTTCGACTATCGTATCAAGGTATGTCTATTTTTAAACAAACGGTAATCTTTTCTAAATGCAAATTGCACTCATATGAAATAGATATGCAATTTTAAACTAAACTTAACCGAAGAAATATTGGATAGGAAATGGAGAAACCTGAAAAAAACCTATACAGGCATCAAGAACAATTCAAAACATTTTATTTGTTACAAAAGCATATTTGCTATGTGGTTCCTCTCCTCTTTTCCACCCTCAGCAGGTAGCTGCTCTTCTAGGACCTCTTCTAAACATATCAAATGTCTCGCTGCTCGGAAACGTGCTAGGTGTTATGGCAATTCTAAAATAGAGCTCTTATAATAAGTTTACAAATGTCGGCCTCCGACGTATTGTTTCCTTCATAACTCCTTGTAATACTTTTGATTTTTACTATACTAAAATCTACAAATACTAAATCTCAAAATCAACAACACACAAAGAAAAATAAGAAACCATAACCTCTTCATATGTCAAAAACGGAAACTGACTGAGGATGGCTCTGCTGGTAAGGCGTTGATCTGCCAACTCGAACTTGCCGGAGGTTGTGGGTTCGATTCCCACCGGGAACCTTGGGTGTATTTCTGTTTGTTCGATTTTAACGACTGGCAAAATTTGCCAAATTTACTCGTTGATATATGGAAAAACCTTGGCAGCCGTCTAAGTAAAGATGCGAGCTAATTGTATAATAGAAAAAAAGTGACTTGAGGGCGAACACGAACCGCTACGTATCGGAAGTGCTTTGCTACGTCCGCCGAATGCGACCAATAAAGTTACTTTCGTTTTCTCGGCCACGAAACGTTTTTTTTTTCAAAGAGCGCGAAAGTAACCTCACCTTTTTCGCAAAAGTCGCAAATTTGCGTGCCATCGCCAGGTACATGGGGGAGTGTGGGCTGCGCGGCGGCTACGTTGAGGTCATCAACATGTGCCCCAAAGTCAAGGCGATGTACCTGAAGGCGATCAGCGCGATGCTGTGCCCGACGGTGCTCGGCCAGGTCTGCATGGACACCGTCGTGAACCCGCCGACGAAAGGCGAGCCCAGCTACGAGCTCTACATGAAGGAGAAAACGGCGGTGCTCGATTCGCTCAAGGCGAGGGCGAAAATGGTCGCGGACGCGTTCAACTCGATGGAGGGGTTCAGTTGCAACACCGTGCAGGGGGCGATGTACGCGTTCCCGCGGATTACGCTGCCCCCGAAGGCGGTCGCGGCGGCGGAGAAGGCGGGCAAGGTGCCGGACGTGTTCTACGCGTTCGAGTTACTCGAGAACACGGGCATTTGCATCGTGCCGGGTAGCGGGTTCGGGCAGCAACCGGGCACTTACCACTTCCGCACGACGATACTGCCCCAGCCCGACAAACTCAAGGCGATGCTGCAGAAGTTCGCCCAGTTCCACAAGGACTTTATCAAAAAGTATTCTTAAGGCGACATGAAACGTGTTCGTGTATATAATTGTTTGGATTAAATGTACTACGCATCCTACGAAGTTTTTTTATTGGCCTCCCCGCCCGACCCACTTGCACATACTATCTCCTCGCGGTGGTAATTAAAGATATCAGTCTAAAGGTGCCGCGGCCGATAACGGACGCATTTAGAAGCGACCATGGCGACCAGACACCCCCTCACGATGACCACGTTGAACCCCAACATCAAGAAAATGGCCTACGCGGTGCGCGGCCCCGTCGTCACCAGGGCGTGCGAAATCGAAGACGAGCTGAGAAAGGTGAGCCGAAATTTCGCGGAAAATGGTTTATTGCCATTACCGGTTAATTACTTCGCGTTTATTATCATCACGCTATTAGCGAATGCATTTCGTAACAGCGCCCTCTGTTCAAAAACTTGACGTGGCCGACCGCTTTGCGCGCTATCTCTCGGGAGGCCATCGAACTTATCGCATCGAGCTTGCCGTTAGCGCTAATGGATGACGCGTCGCGCGTTTAAAACTTGCAGGGGCTGAAAAAGCCATTCGACGCGGTGGTGAAGGCGGATATAGGCGACGCGCACGCGATGGGACAGACGCCCATCACGTTTATTCGCCAGGTGCTCGCTTTGGTCAACTACCCGCCGCTGTTAAACGAGCCGTTGTTTCCCGCTGATGCCAAGCAGAGGGCGCGGGCGATTCTGGGCGCTTGCAAGGCCGGTTCCGTGGGGGCGTACACGGAATCGGCGGGTATCGAGCTGATCAGGCGTCACGTGGCCGATTACATCGAAAGGAGGGACGGAATACCGTCGGACTGGCGAAATATCGTCTTGACGACAGGTCGGTGGCCACGATTTTAGCAGTTAATTTTTGTTAGTAGATATCTTTAAAAAATGTTAATATTTTCGATGCAAGAACTTCGAGAGAGATCGATCCAGCGCGCCCCCTCCCCCGTTAACTCATGTATAAATAAAAAAACAATAAATGTCTTTTTTAATTTATTAGAAAAAAAACTTATTATCTTTGTATATAAAAGAACCACGTCAGTTTCGCTTCCCATGAATCGGAGATATTTCCCACGCTTTGAATTTTGACCTTTGTCAATTCTGACAGTCATGTCAGTGAATGTATTCGTGTAAGTATAGCATGCAACACGTTCGGTAAACAGAATTAAATTAGATCAAAAAACTGTTAAGTTTTTCACAGTTGTTTCTACTTTATGACGGCTGTTTCAGCAACACCGTGTTTTTATCAAATTTTTTGATAAAGGTGCGGTGTTGCCGAAACAGCAGTCATAAAGTAATATTTTTTTTTATAATTTAATTCGACCTCGAAAGTTGTTTATAATTGAAAGCACTCTTTCTTCCTCTGGATTAGTACCGGGCAGATAGAGTGCAAAGCTCACCTACGAAAGATATGTTCTTAAACGCCAGTTACTTTTTTTCTACAATTATCAAAAATTTCAAGCTATCGGGCACAAACATTGATTTCATTAGCTTCCAACTTTTCATTGCTTACAAATTCCTTCGTTAAAGATATTTCGGCAAGTAGTTCGCCTTCGGTTATTAATGTTTCACTTTACAATAAAATAGTTTTTATTGCGGCGTTGCCAATGTTTATACGTTTTCATTGTCACTTGCCAGTATCGGTCTGATACGATTCACGTTGTTGTATTTAATTTTTACGGTTTTTGTAAAATATTTCAATAACCAACTCGATGTGACATTTGCAAAAACAATTAAAAACATCGCATTTTACGTCGTGTATACTCACATGTAGTGACGTAATCAAAAATCCGCATTTCTTAGCTATATTGCTACCATTTTTAGATGCGGATTTCAAAATTGACCAACGAAATTCCTGCATCAATTTACGACATCCAGTCACGCTACGACGTAATTGCCTGATTGCTTTGACTGAACTCTAGCTGTTTGATAAAATAGCGGCCGTACTCCTAACCTGTATTTCGCACGCTTTTTTTTCCCACACCATTTGACGATATCCGGACATATTTTGAGAAAACCGTGCAATAAAAACGTTACACTTAAACGGAATATTGTTCGTTGAACGGCATTCGGTCTTATTGCTAACGTCTAGTCCGCCGGTGAACCTGACCCCCGAAGTGAAATCAGCATCGCCGACATCCGTCTTTAGCCGGAGCGTCAGGACCAAAAGTAACGAAAACTAACGGACACTGGGCGAAAGAATTTGAGAACATAAATTTTAAACAGTCATCGCCGTTCCTGAAACGTAAAAGATAAAAAGCATTCGTTCCGGTTTAGTGATTGTGTTCGGCAATTGATGATGAGTTTGCTTGTCTTAGTCTTATGGCTCTTTTTATCTTTGACGGATCGAAGATGTTGAGAGATTGTTGGACAAGTGATAAATCTGGTTTTGGCGTTATATTTCTTTAGAACTTTTGATATCTGGTCAGTGATGTTTTCAATGAAAGGAATTACAACAGTGGCAAGTGTAGGGTTGCTTTCAGCCTCATGAAGTGAAGTGTATTTTTTAATAGAACGCGTAATATCTTTAATGTGGAAATGATTAAAGAGAAGAGTAAGGTAAACGTAATTCTGGGCTCAGTGACTCGGGCTGAGAGAGTTGTTAACCGATGATTTTTGGGCCGGATGGTGATGTGACAATGCATTGAGGCATCGGTCTGTATGCGTACGTTTTCTGTAAACGCAATTACCCAATAGTAGGTCTGATTTTTATTGATAACCATTAGGTGGTGGTGTACCACCTAAAAATATGTATGTCAACTCCAGCAGTTCTCGATTGTCATCTCTAGGATTACAATTGTACTATATTACTATATATTGTGTTATATGTATTCTTTCTTCAACTTTTTCACCTAAGATTTCATCAACTCTGTTATCCTGTAAGACAGTTTTGTAATTAGACTTGTTAATTACAAGGTTGTACACAAAAAGTGGTTCTAAATAGACAGCAATCAGACTGCCGTGCTTTAATATCTGGGGTGCCTCAAGGCTCCATTCTGCGGCAAACTTTATACTGTTGTTGTATGCAATTTATTACTCATTTCCGGAGATAAAATGTTGGAAAGCTGGAAAACATGGTGTCCCTAGAACATTTCACTCCATCTAAATCCAAAAAAATCTATAGCAATGTTCTTTGGTAGACCCGTTTACGTTGATCGATTATCGCAAATGGTTGAAGTAAAAATGTCGAATGTGTGCATTCCTCTGAACACGGAAGCAAAAAACCTTGGGCTTATGCTCGACAGTAAGCTAAGGTTTAACATATGATGGCGACAGGCAAAGATTTCTCCCTAAAAGCCATTTTTAAGACCTTAAATTTTAAAAAGTAATAAATACAATTTTCCAAGGTTATTATATAGTTTACATTAAATAATCTGTTTGAAAAATCAATCGCAATAAAATTATCATTAGCAGTATTCACAGCTGCCGTATCAAAACATGTAAACAAATCTAAAAACAATTTATAAATTAGAATTTGTAGAATACAGAACTTACTTGTAGAATAAATCATATAAGTACCTGTGTAATCGTTGTTTAGTGTCTGTAACCCGTCGGAGAACGATATTTGAGATTCTATATTGATAATATCTTCGTCACGAGTGATGCTTAGAACTTTACATTTACCTACGTTAAGACTCGATTCATTTGAGATACACCAGTCAAAGAGTATATCTACTGATCTCTGCAACGTAACACAATCGGCAATACTGGAAATGGATTTTTAAATTTTTAAGTCATCCGCAAATAACAGGTTCTGCGTATCATTGAGATTTGAAACAACGTCATTAATAAATATTAGAAATAGTAATGGTAGAACCCTGTGGCACCCCTGATGTGAAATATCCACCAGATGTAAGATATGTACGGTGTTGGAGTTGAGCTACAGGGCTCTCATCTTTGGTAAGGATTTTTGTTATATCAATAAGAAACATTTGAGAGGATAAGAGCTAAAAAAATTTTTTGTTTGAAGCACCCTAAGTATAGAGTTTAAAACGCATATCAACGCGCCGGGGTGCAGCTACCCAAAACTAGATGGCGCCAGGAGCTCCGAATTTAATTTAAAATGTTTGATGTTTGATTTTTTTTGCATTTCTGGGTACCACCGCGTATAGGCGGCAGCGAGGCCATCAGGAGCGTTCTGAGGTTGCTTTTGAGCGGCGCCGGGGACGACCCGGTGGGCGTCATGGTGCCGGTGCCCATGTTCCCGCTCTACTCCGTCACATTGACCGAATACGGCATGCACCGAGTCGATTATTATCCCGACGAGGACAACGACTGGGCTTTGGACGTGTCGGAACTTGAACGAGCCGCCCGGGAAGCGCGGAAGATCTGCGCGCTCCGCGCCATCGTCGTCATAAACCCGGGGAACCCCACTGGCCAGGTGCTCACCCGGGGCAACATCGAGGAGATCATCAGGTTCGCGCACCGGGAAAAACTTTTCGTCCTCGCCGACGAGGTCTACCAGCAGAACGTCTACGGCGACGGCGTCCCCTTCGTCTCCTTCAAGAAGGCGCTGTCGGGGATGCCGTGCCGCGACGACGTGCAGATCGCTAGCTTCATGTCGTGCTCGAAGGGGTACGCGGGCGAGTGCGGGGCGCGGGGCGGATACGTGGAGCTGATCAACGTCTCCTCCGAGGTGATGGCCGAGTACTTAAAATCGGTAGTCGTGAATATGTGTCCCGCGGTCTCAGGTCAGGCCTGTCTGGAGGCCATCGTGAACCCGCCCGCGGCTGGCGAGCCTAGCTTCGAGTCGTACCGCGAGGAGAAGGCTCGGGTGCTCGCGTCCTTGGAGGTAAAGTCTGTTCATAGATATAAGAAAGTGACTAACTGATACGAATTAAGGAAAAACCCGGGCAAGCTGTAAGAATGAAATATGGCCGAACAGGTCCGTACTTTGCTTAGAATTTAATTATTTGGGGCTTTGTTAGGAAAAATACTAAACAATATTTATTTATGTTTAAATCTAAAGTAAAATTACAAATTATTTTTAGTACCTACTTAAATTACTTAAAATTATTCACATAATATATCAGTATCACTATCGCCTGTTCTAATTATTATTTGTTCTATATTATTTGCAATACGGATATACGATTGTTCTGCTTTTTATATATGTTTAACAGAATTTGCCCAACTTTGTCGAGGGATGTTAAAAACTTCGGTTTCTATAAGTTTGAGGACATCGGGGCTAACACGGGGAAAAACATTGTTACGACTAATGGCAGATTTCAGTTGGTACCAAACATGTTCACAACTTGCATTGTCCATTACAATGACGGTTTTAAGAGGAATGTTTGAAACTAGTTTGTTTTTAAACCAACTTTCAAATAAATCAGCGGTGCTGTCTTCATGGTAATCCAGAGAAGAATTTTTAATATTTTTCGCAGACAGAGAAAGTCCATTTGGCATCCAACCATCTTTAGAGCCAGCATGCAAAATAGTTATTAGTTTACCTCTTTTTGATGACGCGTTTGTTTACACTTATCAGTTGAGTGAACTCAACCCTTTTCCGTGGTATCATAAGTGTCGAATCAGGTTTCATCCAAGTAAATAATTGGCCTTTGTTGTTCTCTGTAAATCCAATTTTTTTCTAGATATTCCAGTCGCCATTTCCGAATTCCAAAAGATTCCATTAAAACTTGCCTTTTGTCAATTTTTTAAAATCTAAAACCCATTTGTTGAATACACTTCCATAAGGTAGTTCTGCCACATTTAACACCGGTTTCATCTTTTTCAAGTCTCCTAATTAAGATATCTAATGCAGGCACGCTTCACTACACTCAAGAAAATGTCCTCATCGCTACATTTTTTCCTCGCCGAAATTGGATTATTCACAATTTTCCATACAGTTGATGTTCGAATTTTCTTCAATGTGGCCGTTTCTTCTAAAGATACTTGCTTGCTGGCACCAAGTTCAATGAGAGTCAAATAAACATTGCTTAGTCTCAACAGAATAGTGTTTTCTACATTTGGGCGGGAGCATCTCCTAAGATACAATAGACTCGCACATATTTTGCATAATTCGCACACGATTCAACACACGCTGTATTACACCCGAAATAAGAACGATTACTACTAAGTAGTATACATACCAAACCAAAGAATATTAAACACAGGTAGGTATAAAATTATTTTCTATTACGGACCACAATTATACCTGAATTTAAATTCCGAAACTTTAGGTAATAATCTTGTTGCATTGTATGTTAATGACCACCCTTGGATAACCCCATTCACTTTCTTATATCTATGAACAGACCATAACCGCTCCCCCAGGTGCCGAAAATTTTTAATTTGACGGACGATTCGCAGCTCAAGGCCCGCATGGTGACGGACGCGCTCTCCTCCGTCGAAGGCTTCAGCTGCAACTCGATCCGGGGCGCGATGTACGCGTTCCCCCGCCTCCGGCTGCCCCCGAAGGCGGCGGAGGCGGCCGCCGAACGGGGCCTCGAGCCGGACACGTTTTACGCGTTCCGGCTCCTCGAGGAGACGGGGTTGTGCGTCGTGCCCGGCAACAACTTCGGACAGAAACCGGGCACCTACCATTTCAGGATGACGATCCTGCCGTCTCCGGGGGACCTGCACGCGATGCTGCGCCGCCTCGCTAGCTTCCACGCCGAATTCATGCGGACGTATTCGTAGAAATAAAGTTTTCTTGGAGTATTCGTCGTTTTTATTAGTCGCCATGTATAACTTCCGTAGCCTCCCTTAGCCAACGCGTCCGGATTTGGTTTCGCTACTCATCGAGAGATGGCGACATAACGCAACGTATTGTTTCGTCCATATGGCTATGAGAAAATATGATTTTTTTTTTACTCCCGTCTGTAAAATACCTAATTACCCACCACGTCAATTTCGTTTCCCATAAATCCGAGCCACTTCGGACATTTCCGGGATTTTAGCGCACGGGTTTGGGAGCGATCGGATGTTTTCGGAGATATTTCCGACTCTTAGAATTTTGACGTTTGTCAATTCTCGACAGTCATGTCAGTGAATGGATTCGTGTTTAGCGACAATGTAACCAAAAATTATCAGGCCTAGAAAAAGTATAGTATGCAACAGGTTCGGTAAACCTTTTAACTCACTCGTTTATTAAACACTTGCTCTGCTCGTGTCAAATAAACTCGCGATTCAAATGCCGTTTACCGCACTTGTTGCATAATATACTATTTCCATACAGAAGGTGTGGATCTTTTGCGCGTGCGTCGCCCCCAACCAATTGAAATTGGTCTCCTTGTTAACGCTCCACGCCGCACATAAGCTTAAAAGAAATGGCCCTTATCCGACGTCGATATCCATCTTTTTTTCGCGATTTTCGACTGTTTTTTGGACATTGCTATGAATCCCGACAAGTGTCTGAAATTTGAATTTGAAAATTAAAAATCGCGCGTGCAAAAGCATTTTTCAAAAACCGTTTTCGACACTGTTAGCATCACCAGTCAACACTCGCCCTCCTGGCTGTTCGCATAATGGGGAGCGCGAGTCTGGGCCGTAGTTCGGCAACGATCCGTGAGAGGGTGCCACCGTCTACGCACAACAACGACGATCCGTGAGAGGGCGCCACCATCCGCGCACAACGCTCGCTGAAGCCTGTCAGCCGGCGGGCATTCACTTGCTCCGCGTGTGCCTGGCATAAGCAGTTGTTTACGTCAAATAAACCCCTTTTTACCGTTTAATTTCGGTGCAATCATTAAGTGTAACGTGCTAGAGATTCATTATCTATCAGACACCAAAAAAAATCTTGAACCAGACGACGCACAAGTTACGGTTCCATAAACTTTATACAGGGTGCACCGCATTGTGCATGGTGCATTGGTTATAACTGAAACTCTTTCTTTTATATTGCGATATAGCCCATAGAAATAGCAAAAAGTTTTATATTTAAGGTTTTCACCTATTGTACAGGGTGTTCCCGATATTCCGTGCTAAATGAGAAATGTGTCCTAAATTTTCCAGATATCAACTTCAAATTTAGCAGAGAAGTAAAAGTCTGTGTATACATTTAAACGGTAGCAATTGGGTGCAATCAAATTTCTGCAATTATTTTTTAAACATTTTTGTTTTTTTTCTGTAAATTTTAAGCGCGACTCAGGTCTCTACCTGTCACCAATATGGAAATCAGTCATTAAAGATGGTGTTTATCATTTAGCTCCGCCCCCGTCAAACAATATATAAGCGGGTACAGAGTAAAATGCGAGATAGTTTCAGTTAAGCTCTGAATGTCAGCAAGTTCGATTTAATAAAAATCGGCACAGAAGTTTTGTGAAAAGTAGATTTTAAAGTGCTTTTTATGGGACTCCCACTCACAAACTTGCATAAAAAAAATAAAAGTTATTTTCTTTCATTTATTTATTTTTGATAAAATTTATTATTTATAATTCCACATTCCTCGAAAATATTATTTTGTTGGTAATGTGTTACCAACTTTTTTCGGCCTATTTTTCCTGCAAAATTTTCACGGTAATGTGTGAATGTGATAATTTTCCATCTTGAACATGAGAGAAATTTTTATTGCCGGGGTACGTTTTTAATCCATCTTTAATCTTCCGTCGTGTTCGAAACAACATTACAAGTTACAGAGAAGCCTGGCACCAAATAGTCAGCGGTCACCATTTTTTAAAAAGAATTTAGGCCACGGTAACATATTGCCAACAAAAAAAGCTAATGAAATTATTATAAATGAACAATTTTTTTCATCGCTTTCATCTCTTTTTTTTTTTTTTTTGCAAAGTGGCCATCCTCTCAAATCAAGTATTATAAAAGTTCCTTGAAAAGAATAATACTGATGCATCTTACGTCATACTTCATAGTGTAAATACAAAATAAATATTATGCTATTATGTCTATACAACTTCTTATTTTTAGAGTGGTTAGTGCAAAAAGGCTTTGCCCGTACTAGATATTTGTTTGAGGTGCTAATCCGATAGGTATTGGTCGCTAATTTCTTTAACAACGCTTAATGCCTTGTTCGCCTGAAAATTTAATGGGATTTCGACATATTTCGAGAAAATGCATCACCCAAACATCGACGACCTGTCAGCGGCCATCTCGAACGTCAGAATTTGGAATTGGAGTTGCCATTGGTTAAAAACGAAACGTCAAATCTCGCGCGTGCGCATGTCGAATTCAATGAATTTCCTGTACTGTCAGCTGTATGGTTTCGACATTCAGGCGGCTGGGGCTTAAGCGCCGAGGAGGGGGAGCCAAGGGGAAAACGAAACGTCCGAGCGACGAAACAACCTTTATATTTCACATCTTGATAATCTGCAAGACACTCCCGGGGATTATTTACAGGTAAATTAGCATCGGCGGCACGTCGTCGTCGCCACCTCGCTAAAACTAAACAACAACTCGATAAAATTTCAGTAAAAACAGCTATATACAGTCCGGGGCGGTGAGGACTCGCACTTCCTCCGGCAGATGGCACTCGAAACAGTCCCCCCAGGTCCCTCGCTCCGCGTCGCCCTCCTCCACCGCCCGGCGTGAATAAATAAAATGGACGCGCGCGCATCAGCAGTCCTCTTCGACGAGCTTCTGCGTGTCCTTGCCGGAGTCGTAACGCGCGGGCTCGAGCTCCCGGTGCCGGACCTTCGGCGACGTCTTCTGCGTCACGCTCGACGGCGCGAGCACCGCGCTGCTCGGCTCCGCCTTCGCCGCCTCTCCGGGCACCTCGTAGACGGCGCCGCCTCCGCCGTTGCCCAACGCGTCCGGGTTGTTTTGCACGTGGTCGTACATGGGGTTGTGGAAGTCGCGACTCTTCCGTCCGACGGGGTCGAGGCTGTACGCGACGTCGAGCGGCTCGGGCGCCGTCCCCGTCGGCGGCCCGAATTCCACGTTGCTCCCCTGACGGAAGGACACGCTCTGGCTGCCCGCGAGGCCCCCCAGACCTTTCCCGCTGCGAAAAGACGGAGTAAAAGTCGCGCCTCGACGGCGACGGCGTCCACTTACAAAGGCCGCTTCCTGATGAAGAACCAGACGCCCGTCGCGGCGCCCAGGATCAACAGTATCACGACGACGGGGACGACGACGGCGGTGGCGGCGGCGCCGGGTCCGTCGGTGCCTTGGGCGGCCCTCGCTTCGCAGTACCGCCCTTCGTAGTGCTCGGGACAGTCGCACTCGAGACCGTCCAGGTCGCTCTCCCTGCAGACGCCGCCGTTCTCGCAGCGGCAGACCTGGGGCAGGGCGCGCGGCGGCTCCGTCGGCGCGTCGCACACGATCTCCGCCTTGCTCTTGTGCGACGGCGTCGCCTGCGAGTCGGGACACGCGCAACGGTGCCCGTTCGGCACCGCCAGGCACAGGTGGGAGCACTGGTTCGACGCGCAGGGATTGGGCAGCGAGGTGTTGTACCGGGACTCGTGGAGAACTGCAGAGAAAACCGTTATCGCCGGGTCTACGTGTTCCGACGCGACGTCGTACCTTTGACGCCGGACGGGTTCAGCAGGTCCCGCTGCACGGTGACCTGGACCCCCCTGCCGAACTTGTCCTGCCTGACGATCTCGCCGGTATCCTTGGTGATCCAGAAGAGGTGATTCTCGAACACGTCGAGCGACACGGGATGCTTCAGGTTCTCGCCGCGCAGGACGATTTTCCGGTTGGAACCGTCGTACCGCATCGTCTCGATGGTGTTGAGCTTGGTGTCGGCCCAGAACAGGGCGTGACCCATGGCGTAGTCGACCGTCAGACCGGCGGGATGCCTGATCTCGTCGGTGATCAACGGTCGACGTTTCGACCCGTCCATCCACGACACCTCGATCTTGGGGGCGGAGCCGGAATCGGCCCAGAACATCCTGCCGATCTGCGGGTCGACGACCAACGACGTCGGACTCTCCAAGCCGACGTTCACCAACGCCCTGCGGTACCGGCCGTCCGTTTTCGCCACCATAACTCTCCCCTTGGGTTTCGACCCCGCCCTCTCGGTCTCGGTCCAGTAGAGGTTCTCCGCGAGCCAGTCGCACGCGATGGCGGTCGGTTTCGAGCTGCCCTTGGTCTCCAGGTCCTGCGCGTATCCCGCCTTGACTTGGCCGTCGAGGGCGTCCACCAAGTAACTCCTCTTGATCGTCTTGTCGTAGCTGTCCGCCCAGAACACCATCTGGGTCAACGGGTTGTAGTCGAGAGCCTCGATCCGCTTTTCGTCGCTGACGACGCTCGTCTCGTCGTCTCCCTTGAGGGCGAGGGCGCGGATCTCGGGTCCGTTGGCGAATATAAGCCGAGCGTCTTCTTTCACCGCCTTGCAGACGCCCGACAGGCCGTCGGAGAGGGCGAAGCCGTCGCGACACGAGCACGCGTACGTGCCGTTCAGGTTGGCGCAGAGCTGGGAGCACCGGTGGGTGCCGGTCGCGCACTCGTCGATATCGAGACACACCTTGCGGTTGTCCTTGGAGATGATGAAGCCGGAGAAGCAGGCGCAGATGTAACCGCCGCCGGTGAGGTTGGTGCAGGTGTGTTCGCAGCCGCCGCGGGTCGAATCCGAGCAGACGTTGTTGTGGTGGCAGCCGAGCTCGTCGCTGCTGTCGCCGCAGTCGTCGGCGAAGTCGCACACGCGCTTGCGGTCCACGCAGCGGGAGTTGGCGCACTTGAACTCGGCGACGGCGTCGCAGGGTTTCGTCTTGGTCGCGCACAGGGTCATGTTGTTCTCGTCGGTGCCGTCACCGCAGTTGTCGACGCCGTCGCACAGCTGGTACCTGGGGATGCACCTGCGGTTGCCGCACTGGTACCGCTTGAGCGAGTCGCAGTTGAAGTTGTCGCAGAGCGACGGCGACTCGTCGCTGCCGTCGCGGCAGTCGTCGGCGCCGTCGCACAGGTCCGCCTGGTCTATGCACAGGTGATTGTCGCATTGGAACCGCGATTCGGGGCAGTACCGTCCGCCCGGGTACTTGGGCGGGCAGTCGCGCTCGTCGGACATGTCGAGGCAGTCGCGGTCGCCGTCGCAGCGCAGGTAAGCGGCGACACAGTGACCGGAATCGCATTGGAAGGAATCTACGAAAACGTAATCATGCTCATTTTGTCGTTCCAAAGCCTACGGTTCCTTCGTTTGATGAAAGTGAGAGTCTATGGTCGAAATATAAAAAATCCAAATCTATCGCCGACTATATTGGTTATAAAGAAATAAGGAATGTTGTTACAAGAAAAGTCGGACGGCATATTTCTCTTACAGTTTCCATTCTGGGAATTCTAATCAGATATGGAAAACTTTAAATATGTTTAGAATTTGTAATCGACCGATTTCGGAAATACCACCTAACTTAAAAAATCCCAGTGATATTAACTATTATTTTACTTCTGTTTTTAGCAATATTAACAAATCGCAAGTTCAACTCGAATAAATCATTTGCATTTAAACTCGCAACTATTGACTCAATTAAAGCCTTTATATACCCGCTAGAATGCTTTTGAATGAATTTAACAAAAAGTACCATTCTGGGAAACTAAGAATCAGTTTAGAGGTGCCAAATTAACGTCATGGGCGCCAATTTAACAAACTGCATACCATTCTGACGAGTTAAGTATCAATTTAACGGTTTAAGAAACCGTGTGCCAATGACTAAATGCCAATTTAACAAACTGAGCGGCTTTGTAGAGAGTTGAGAGTTGGAATTTAACAAAAAGTACCATTCCGGTAAACTAAGAACTTAATAAACTGTGTACCATTCTGAAGACTTAGGTACCAAGGTGCCAAGTTAAAGTAGCGTGTGCCAATTTAAGAAACCGCGTGCCATTTTAAAGAGTTAATAGTAAATTTAACCAATTAAATGCGAATTTAACAAACTGAGCGTCTTTGTAGGGAGTTGAGAGTTGGAATTTAACAAAAAGTACCATTCCGGTAAACTAAGAATTTAATAAACTGTGTACCACTCTGAAGAATTAGGTACCAAGGTGCCAAGTTAAAGTAGCGTGTGCCAATTTAAGAAACCGCGTGCCATTTTAAAGAGTTAATAGTAAATTTAACCAATTAAATGCCAATTTAACAAACTGAGCGTCTTTGTAGGGTGTTGAGAGTTGGAATTTAACAAAAAGTACCATTCCGGGAAACTAAGAATTTAACAAACTGTGTACCATTCTGGCGAATTAAGTACCAAGGTGCCAAGTTAACGCAGCAGGTGCCGATTTAAGGAACCGCGTGCCGTTTTAAACAGTCGCTAGTGAATTTAAGCAACTAGTTATCAATTGAGCGGGAGTTCAATTTATCACTCACCCGGTTTACACTGAAAGCCGCTGCAGCCGCGCTCGTCGCTGCCGTCGCCGCAGTCGTCCTCGTGGTCGCAGCGCCACCTCGACGACACGCACTTGCCGTTGCCGCATCGGAACTCCGACTCGGAGCATTCCCTGTACGCGCCCTTGCACATCTCCTCGAGCTCGTCGCTGCCGTCGCCGCAGTCGTCCGCGAAGTCGCACCGCCACTGTCGCGGCACGCACCTGTTGTTCGCGCACCGGAAGTCGGTGTCGCGGTCGCACGCGGGGCAGTTCTCCGGCAGCTCGTCCGAATTGTCGCGGCAGTCGTCTTTGCCGTCGCAAAACAACCAACGCGGTATGCAACGGTAATTGGCCCGGCCGGGACACCTCTGCCACCCGGTGGTGCAGTTCTTCTGACGGCACATGTACGCCGGCTCGTCGGAATCGTCGCCGCAGTCGTTGTCGAAGTCGCACGTCCACAGCGTCGGGATGCAGCGGCCGTTTTTGCACGCGAACTCCGTCTCCGGATCGCACGCGCGATTGTGACACACCTGGGGGTCTTCGTCGCTGCGGTCCTTGCAATCGGCCTCGCCGTCGCACCTCCAGCTGTTCAAGATGCAGCGCCCGTTCGAACGGCACTTGGTCTCGAGTTCGGGACACTCGCGGTCGCAGCCGGCCTCGTCGCTACCGTCGCCGCAGTCGTCGGCGCCGTCGCAGATCGTCGCCGACGGTGTACAGTTGTTGTTCGCGCACTGGAACGTCCCGTTACGACACTGACGGGGCGGACACGTGTTCGGCTCATCGGAACCGTCGCCGCAGTCCTTCTCGCCGTCGCACTTCCAGAACCACGGGATGCACTTGTCGTCCGCGCCGCCGCACCGCCATTGCCCGTCGGTGCAATTGGCCACGCACGTCTTGCGGTCGTTGGCGAGGTAGAACTGGTTCGGACACGCGCATCGGTACGTCGTGCGACCCTCCTCGTCGCCGAGGGGCGGGGCCAGCAGGCACAGGTGGGAGCAGCCGCCGTTGTCGTCGCCGCACGGGTTCGGGTACGGAGGTTGCCGCAGCGGGTGCACCACGTGGATGTCGTACGGTTTGTGGGTGGTGTTGCGCAGCACCCGCAGCTCCGAACCGTCGAATTTGTTGGCCGCGCTGACCGCCTTCAGGTTCCAGTCGGTCCAGTACACGCGGTCGTCGAAGAGGGTGAGCGCGAACACGTGGGGCACCGCGTTACCGGAGAGCACCACGTGCCGGTGACGGCCCTCGAGGTCGGTGAAGGCGACGTAGTCCAGGTGCGCGTCCGCGAAGTAGAGGCGGTCGGTGAAGAAGTCCAACGCGAGGGCGTTGGGCCACGCGATGTCGTCGTTCCAGGTGAGGATCCGGGTGAAGTTCGACCCGTCCATGCCGAGTTTGCCGACGTAGGCCTGCAGGTGCCAAGAGGTGAAGTAGAGGTAACCGGTACCCGGGTGCGCGACTATCGCGCGCGGATCCGCGATGCTCGTCTTGAGGGTCTTGCGGCTGGTGCCGTCCAGCTCCGCGACGTCGAGGTTCTTCGAGTGGCGGTCGAGCCAGTAGAGTTTCCGGCCGACCCAGTCGACGGTGATGCCCTCCAAGCCGTGCGAGTCGTGGCGGACGACGGGCTCGCGCTCGCCCGTCCCTATCGTCGACCTGAAGATGGTCTTGGCGCCTACGTCGCAGAAGTACATCTTCTGGGCGGCGTAGTCGAAGTCGAGCGCGACGACGTTCAGCAGGTCCTGGTGCACGAGGTTGTAGACGGTCGCGTCGACCGACATGTTGCGGATGTAGTACTTGTTGGTGAAGACGAGCCACGGGCGGGTGTTGTCCTTGCGCTTGCAGGTGTGCTCGTCGGGTTCGCGCTCGTAGTACTGCTCGTCGCACTTGCAATAGTACCCGCCGGGAGTGTTGGAGCAGTGCTGAGAGCAGACGCCGGGCGTCTCGACGCACTCGTCGACGTCCGCGCACGCTTTGCCGTCGGCGAGGAGCCTGCGGGATATCGCGATGTAGACGGTATTATACCCAGATAGCACACAATATCCCCAGTCCCCAGGAATAGACTGTCAAATACATCCCAGGGATATCCTGTGAATGGATAGCTTGCGGATTTACCATACACGATATACCACAGATATCCTCTAAATAGATGGCCCTTGCGCCATAATGGGACCATTGGAATAGCAACCTAACAAGTTAAATTTTGAACAGCTCAGAAGGAAAATACTCAGTTTTTTTAGGTTTGTGGTGTTTTGGGAGACATTTTATTGGCGAAGTTTTTAAGCACATCTACATCAACTTGTTTTTAGTTTTTCTGGATACGAACGAGACAAGAGACAGAAAATACGGATACGCCCGAACAAAGTAAAAGAATTACAACTAAGTAAAAAAATTACAACGCGTTTGACAACGCCGTTCTGCTGCAACCAATGACGCAACTACTCGCGCTCGTGCCGCGCCGGACTCGCTCGGGTCTCGTCGGCTTCTCCTCCGTCTCGTCGTCCGCCATCTTTTCAGCCTTATTTTTTTGGCGGCGACTATTTTAATCAGTTTTTTAGTTATTTTTTGTGGTATTATTATTACTGTAATATTATTATGTAAGTGAAACTTTATGGTAATATATAACATAAGATTTTTAGCGACATCATGCCTTGTTTTTTAATATTTTGCTAGGTCAATGAGATAGCAAGAACACGCGGCGGCAGCAGTTATGAGTTTGGTTGTTGGGATAACTTATGGAAAAAACTAGGAAAATTTTTAGGTTGACAAGCATAATTGCATGAAAATAGGCCTTTACTGTCAAACTGAAAAGTCATATTTGTTCTAGTTTTTTTTTTGCACGCCCGATAGTAAATACTCTCTCTACCTACTTTAATGAGGTTTGTATTTAATGAAATGAAATACATAAATGTACACCTACATCATTGTGGAGATTAGCATCTAAGAACACTTTCATGAGAGTACTATCAGCGTCAAATCAAGCCTTTACTTAAAAGGCGGATGTAGGATTTTTTTAAATCTGCTTTTTAAACATATAAGATACCAGTCTCGTTCTTTTTTTTAATAAATTCCAGATATATGCGAAGGCAAACACGTCACAAACATCAAAAGAATGTGAGAATTCGATAGCTGCTTGGCCGAAAAAAGATACATTCATCAAAGAATGACAGGAGAAACCTGTCAAATATTAGTTATCCTTTTAGAGTGTTGTTCAAGATATAGTATCTTACTCTATTTTTAGGATCTTTTAGCTTAGCAGCTTGTTCTATATTTTTGATACATTATATACCTACAATTTTTTCAAATCTAAAATAGAAATAAATGAATAGGTTAATTCCATCACACGCGAGTACCAAGTACTGGGATAGAATTTTTGTAGTCGTACAACCAATTGAACTACTGGACATTACCATTCCAGTATTTATCGTAGACTGTTGGAAATAACCTAATAATTAATTAATTCATTAATTATATCGTCACAATCGGATATACTAACGACGTCTCAACTAGTATCACTGGATATCCCCAATATGTCCTAACAAACATCCTACGGATATATCTGATCATTTCATGCAAAAAGTACCTTTTTCTGCACTCCACGAAAAAGTAGTAAAATCTGTTGCAATTTATAGAAGACGCTAAAGAAAATAATATAAATAACTTCGGGAAAGAACTAATTAACGTGGTGTGCTTTGCGACGTAGAGGGCGCCGGTCGCGATATTACACCTACTTGTAGCCGCGGTTGCATTCGCAGTAGTAGCCGGTGGGCGTGTCGACGCACTTGTGGCCGCACTGGTGGATCTCGACCTTGGCGCATTCGTCGATGTTGCAGTGCGCGGGCTCGTCGGACTCGTCGCCGCAGTCGGGCACCTTGTTGCACACCAGGTGGTAGTCGATGCATTGGCCGTTGAGGCAGCGGAATTGGCCCGGGTCGGGACACGTGGCGTTGTCCTTGGTGCAGCCGACCTCGTCGGAACGGTCGCCGCAGTCGTCTTCGCCGTCGCAACGGTACTGGCCGCGCACGCACTTGAAGTTCTGGCACGTGAACTCGTTGGAAGCGCACGTCTTGTAACGCGCGTTGCACTCTTTGCCCTCGTCGGTGCCGTCGCCGCAGTCATTGTCGTGATCGCAGAGCCAACCCTACGGCGTGGCACGTTAAAATTGAACAAGAGATGCGCACGTGGTCGCCGTACCTTGTTGATGCACCGGCCGTTGCCGCAGGTGAACTGATCTTCGCCGCAGGGCTGCGGCGAAGCGCACCGGTGGAGGGTCGCGTTCTCGTCGGCGCCGTCGATGCAATCCGGGTCGCCGTCGCAGAGCCACTTCCGCGGGATGCACTGCGCCCTGCCCCACGCTTTGTTCGCCTCGCACGTGAACTCGGTCTCCTCGTCGCACTTACGGTCGTCTACGGACACGCGTAGATTCGAAATATCAAAATTTCGATATTACCGTTCACATGTATCACAGTAACTTTTATCGCAACAGATCATCTAATGCAGCAGTAACATTTATTGTAACATAAGCTAAGTAGTTTCAGTGCTGTTCCTGATTTTTATGGCTTTTATTGCAGTCATCAGTAGCAATTATTGCAATTAACCTTTACTGTCACATTAATTAATATTAATTGCATTTATTGGAACGTTTACTACGAATGTTCGGCACTTTCGTAATTTATTTTAATAATTTATATTAAAATGCGTTGCAAACAAACTCTATTTTCTCAATGTTTACTATAACATTTATTGTAATCGTAGCGAATTCCGTAATGTTAATTGCATCTATTGTAACATTCACCACGAATGTTCTGCACTTCGGTAACATTAAATGAATGTTGCTAACAAACCCTATTTTGGCAACCTTTATTGCAATCATTCAGTGCATCAGTAAAAATGTATTGCAATTAGTCTTTATTCTATTAACGTCCACTGCAACATTTATTGAAATCTTTCATATTTTTATAGAGTGTAATATTTATTGCAGTCGTAGCGCATTCCACAAAGTTTTTAATTCCATTTGTTGTAACATTTACCACGAATGTTCTGCGCTTTAGTAACTATCAACTTGTCAACGTTTACTATGATGTTTGTAGTAATCGTTCAGTGCCGCAGTAGCAATTATTACAATTGGACCTTATTCTATTAACCTTTACCGTAACATTTATTGGAATTTTTCCGTATTTTTGTAACTTTTACTGTCACATTGATCGCAGTCGTAGCGCATTCCATAACGTTTTTGGTAATATTAATTACATTTATACTAACATTTATCACCAATGTGCTACACTTCAGTAGCATTTATTATAAAGTACGTTGCAAACAATTTTTATTATCGCAATTAATCCTTGTTCTATTAACGCTTACTGTAACACTAATTAGAATTGTTCAGTATTTTACTGCCACATTCATTGCAGTTGTTCCGCAATTTTCGTCTGGTTTGCAAAAGTTCCGAGCATTTTCGTGACATCTATTGTTACAATTTATTGCAACGATTTGCAGCAATAATAATTGCTAACGCTTCGTGTTTTCGTAACGTTTACCGTAACATTTACCACGAATATTCTGCGCTCCGGTAATATTTATTCTAACATACATTATTACATTTACATTTATTACTATTTTGTTATTATTTGTAACATTTACCGGGAATGTTAAACGCTTGAGTAACATTTATTGTAACGTAAGTTGCAATAAACCGGTAGCAACTTTTATTGTAACAATTATTGCCATCGTTCCGCGATTCATATAACATTCGTATAATATTTTCTGTAATATTTACTGCAATTCTTCCGTATTTCCTAATTGGCGTAATTGCAATAGTTTAGGGTTTTCGTAAAATTTAGTGCAACATGCGATGCCTATTTTAGCACCGCTTACTATTACACTTATTACAACCGTTCAACGCCTCACCAGCGTTTACTGTAACAATTATTGCAATCGTTGCATCAGTAACATCCATTGCAATTGCAAAGTTCACTGTAATATTGTAACTATGACTATTACATTTATTGCACTCGTTCCTCATTTCGTAACCGTTGCCATGCCATTAATTGCAATAGCTTCGTGTTTTCGTAACACTTAGTGTAACATTTGACCCGTATTTTAGCAACGTTTTTATTTCGACCGTTCAGCGCTTCATTAACATCTACTGTAACAATTATTGCACATGGAACGATTCAGTAACATTCATTCCAATAAAGTTTACTGTAATATTTATCCCAATTCTTGGGTATTTTTGAAACTTTTACTGTTATATTTATTACAGTTACTACGTATTTTCGTAAGTATTGGTGTATGGTTGATTGTAATCGTTCCATGTTTATCGTAACATTTTATTGTAACGTTTACCGCCAAAAACTTACTGCATTCGTGACGGGCGTCCTCGTCGCTGTTGTCCAGACAGTCGTTGTCGCCGTCGCAGATGTAGATGCGAGGCACGCAGTTGCCGTTGTCGCAGGTGAAGAGGTCGCCGAAGCAGGTGCGGCCGTCGCTTTTGCAGTATTCCGGCGGCTCGTCGGCGCCGTCGCCGCAGTCGTCGTCGCCGTCGCAGTACCAGGTCGCCGGTATGCATCGATGGTTCGAGCATCGGAAACTGTTCTGCGGGCAGGTCCTCTGCGCGCAATGAAGCGGGTTCTCGTCGCTGTTGTCGCCGCAATCGTTGTCCCCGTCACACAGCCAATAAGGTTCGACGCAGATGTTCGTGTTCTCGCACTTGAGGTGTTTGGGGGGACACGTGGTGTTGTGGGGGCAACGCTCGTGAGTCTCGTCGGAGGTGACGTTGTCCTTACAGTCGTTGACGCCGTTACAGACCTGGACCATCGGGATGCAGCGTCGGTTCGCGCACGTAAACTCGCCCGTCGCGCACGGCGGGTACGAACAACCCTCCTCGTCGCTGCCGTCCTTGCAGTCGTTCTCGTGGTCGCACTTCCATGACTTGAAGATGCAACGGCCGTTGTTGCACCGGAACTCGTTCGGCGAGCACGAATGGTACGCTGCGAGTGCAATAAACGTTACGTAACACTTACCCAATGCTTTCGCAATGTCGTCGCTGCGCGAGGCGACTACTCCGCGCTACGCAGTCCATAAAGCATTACGTCGATTTTTTCAAATATCTCGAGCAGCGTATGTCATAGACGAAAATCGAAAATAGAGAAATTTTACAAAAATTTAAATTTTATAGAGCCTGCGTCTTCTCGTTTAAGAATTTTTTAGGTCGCGTAAACCGTTTTTCAAAAATCATTTTTTTTAGACCCTTGCAAACGCGATTTTTAATTTTTTTTTAAATACTTGCCGACCCCACACCAATTTCGATAGGTTCCGTCGGGGAACTAATGTCTATATTTGTGCCAATTTTGAAATCGACAGCTACAAATTGCGGGCGCTGGTCTTATTTCGTACCGACGTACGAAAAACAATCGAAAATCGCAAAAAAGGTGAGTCATAACTTCCATTGTCTTTATTTTTAACTTTACACAACGTTTCGGACAGTGGTATCACTACCCGTTATCAAGTGTAAACTAAATACAGACGCTATATTCCGGATAACATTAGAACCACCAACCACCAACTCCACATCACACCAAACCACCACATCTTTATGGACTGCCAAAAATCCATAAAGATAATATACCACTCAGACCGATCACCAGTTCAAGAGATTCTGCAACCAGCAGCTTAAGTAGATTTCTCCTTCAAATCGTCCAGCCACTTGTAGGTAAAACTTCTTCATTTGTAAAAAACTCAGGGCACTTGGTAGAGATTCTAAAAAACGTGAAACTAGATCCTTCAGACAAGTTTATTAGCTTTGAAGTTGAGTATCTATATACCAACGTGCCCTTGAAGGAGTCGTTAAGTATTGTCGAGGCTAGACTAAGGAATGATATAACCCTATCAGAGAGAACTTCGCTGCCACTTGAGGGAGTGTTGGAGCTTCTGAGGTGCCGTCTGCATAATTCTTACTTTAAAGTCAAAGATAAGGTTTACACACAAAATGATGGCCTGTCGATGGGTTCTTCTCTCTCTCTCCAGTGATAGCGAACATATACATGGAGTGGTTCGAAACTCATGCCATAAACACTGCAATTATTAAACCTAAGATCTGGCTTCGATATGTTGACGATACCTTCATTATCAATTAAATTTACTATTGAGAAAGAAAAGAACGGCTGCCTACCGTCTCTAGACGTCCTAGTAAGTAGAAATAATGGTTCTATTAACACGTCTGTATATAGGGAACCTACCCACACACTACAGTATCTAACTTTTGAGTCTAACCATTCTGAAGCAACCAAACTAGGAATAATTAAAACACTGTGCAAAAGAGCAGTCACAATATGTAGCGACCAAGCATCTCTTGATGCAGAATTGAATAATATTAAAAAGGATTTGCTTCAGAACGGTTACTCCGAAAAATCTAAACAAAATAGATACTCTTTCTCTCTTGACGATCCCATGCGTGGAAGGAATATCAGAAAAAATTAGGCGAATAGCTAAACCATATCAAGTTAAAACTGTATTTAAATCTGGATCAACATTAAGAAGTGTACTCACAAAAACAAAGCCCGAAACGTCGACTCAAGAGTGTATCTACCAGATACCCTGCGAATGCGGAGAGTCATATATTGGCGAAACCAAACGACCTCTCAAAATAAGAGTTGAAGAAGATAAGAAACACACGATGAAGGGTGAAACGCAAAAATCAGTTATCGCAGAACATGTGTGGACCAAACACAACATCCAATGGTCCAGAGCGCGGGTTGTTCACAGGGAGCGGCATTGGAGAAACAATGAAAATATCTTCAGCAATCCAAGCGTGGATATACCAACAATTTAGCAACCCCTAATGAGGCGATTGGCGAAGAAGTTCGACATCCTTTTAGTATTTCTACTCGATCAGTGTCTACCACATTCAGGATAGGTGCCCCCCTCGCGGGCGATTGCAAGTTTTTGAGGTTATGTTGTTACAAAACCCCTTTTGTTTATCTACTTGGACGCCATTGTTCGGTCGCGGCGCACTGACTTAAGTAGTTCGGAAGTTATTCGCGTGAAGCGTCGACGGGGCACGGATAAAAAGACCAAAAAAAGGTACCAATTGCCGTACGCGTATACCTTCGAAAAATTCGATCACATCGATTGTCGCACACTCACCGCAGTAGTTGACGTCCTCGTCGCTGCCGTCGCCGCAGTCGTCCTCGCCGTCGCACGCCCACATCTTCGACACGCACTTGCCGTTCGCGCAGTAAAACTTGCTCGCGTCGCAGCTGAGCGTCTTCGCGACGCACATGCGTCCGTCGTTGACCAGCTTCGTCGCGTCGTCGCACCTGCACTCGACCGTGGCGTTCGGCGCCGGGTGGCAGCTCTGCGCGCAGCCTCCGTTATTTACCGCGCAGGGATTCGCGTCGCAACGTTGCCGAGTGGCCGCGTACACTTGGATATCTCTCGGACTGTCCTCGAGCCTCTTCACCATCTCGACCATGCCGGCGCCGGTGTGTTTCTCCGCGCGGTAGACGCCGCGCAGTTGCAGGTCCGTCCAGTACATGTAGTCGCCGTAAACGGTTATCGAGAAGGGGTAAATGGTGGCCGTTACGAGGACCTCGCGTTTCTGACCGTCGAGATCGGAGCGTTCGATCTTTTCGCGGACCGCGTCGGTCCAGTAGAGCATCTGCTCGTCGAAGTCGATCGCCAAACCGCTGGGCTGCGCGAGGTCCTTGTCGACGACGACGCGTTTCAACGAGCCGGCCATCGTGGTGCGCAGTATCTTGCCCGACGTGCCGAACTTGCCCCAGTCGGTGTAGAAGAGGGTGCCGTTGCAAGGGTCGACGACGATGGCGCGCGGACGTTCGACCCTGGTGATCATCACGAGCTCGGTGCCGTCGAGGTTCATCGCGTAGATGCTCCGGTTCGACGAGTCGGTCCAATAGATTTTGCGCTGGGTCCAGTCGTAAGCGACGCCTTCCGGGTTCACGCCCTTGTTTTTGATGTTAACGATCGATTTGGAGTCGGGCGCCGCGGCGGGCATGCTCGCTATACGGGCCCACGGTCTGATTTGGGTGAAGATGAGACGGCGGTTCTTGTAGTCGAAGTCGATGCCGACGACGTTGGTGAGGTTGCCGACGGGGGCGAACGGGACGTCGGTGGAACGGGGGTCGAGGCTCACGGCCCTCACCTCCGTGCGGGTCGAGAACACGAGGTACTCGTTCACGGACTCGCACTTGCGACCTGCGGTTATCGGAATCGGTATCGGAATCTTAACGTTTATACATTTCATTCCGCAAAGTTTATTTAACTTTTATAGAAACGATAATTATAACGTTTACCAAAATTTATTGTTGTTTTTTTCGCAACGTCCATTTAACTTTTATTGTAGAATTGTAGTAACGTTTATTTAACTTTCACAGACACAGTACGTGTAGCATTTACCGTAACGCTTATACAATATTTACTTATTGTAACATTGTCGCAAAGTTTAATTAACCTTTATAGAAACGTGTAAGGTGGCAATTTTCTTAAAGTTCATTTAGCGTTTATCCATTATATAATAGCGTATGTATAATATAGGCCTTAATTTTTATTTAAAATTTATTTTAGTATTTTTCGTAACTTCCATTTAACTTTTATTGTTTTTTTTTTGTATTTATGTAACTTTGAGTAAAAGGTTTATTGTAACTTGATCGTAACGCTTATTTAGTTTTTTTTGGTCGTAAAATTAATTTAACCTATATATCGAGACGTTTATTGTGGCGTTTAACGGAAGATTTATCGTAAAATTTACGAAAAATTCATACGTCAGTCGGAAATACTCACCGTCGCTGGAGACGTTGCCGGTGGCGCACCCGCACGCGTACGCGGGCTTCTTGTTCGAGGTCACGACCTCCGCGGGATAAGCGAAACACAATTGTTCGCAGCCGCCGTTGCCGAACCTGCCGCAGGGGTTCGACTCGTCGGCGGGCTGCGTCGTCACGTCGAAGATGGCGATGTCGCGCAATTTTTCCAGATTGGTGCGCACCCGCGTCGGCACCGACACGTTTCCGGGCACCTTGGACGCCTTAAACACCGCCCGCAGGTTCCTATCGACCCAGTAGACGTCGCCCTTGTAGACGGCGACGCCCATCGGGTTGGGCAGGTTGCGTCGCACCACCTGGCGGTTGCCGCCGTTGTAAGAGATCCTCTGGATCGTATCCAGCTTCGAGTCGACCCAGTACACGTCGTGGGTGATCGCGTCGACGGTCAGGTCTCGCGGGTTACTGATTCCCGACGTCACGAGCGGCGTCCAACCGGTACCGTCGAGGTAGGCGCGCCCGATTCTCGGGTACTGTCCGTAATCGATCCAGTAGAGGATCCTCTTGATGGGGTTGACGGCAAGCTCGCGCGGCGCGTCCGTCGTCGTCTTCACCAGCACCTTGCGGTGCGAGCCGTCGAGTCGCGCCACCTCCAGGTAGTTCTCGTGAGGGAACACGTTGGTAAAGTAGAGATTGCCCGCGATCCAGTCCACGGTCAACCCTCTCACTCCGTTGCTCCCGATACCCTCCTTGACCACTTGTTGGAGGTCGGTACCGTTGGGTCGCACCCTGAACACGCCGTTCCAGAATCCGCGGTTGAACTCGGCCCAGTAGATCCAGTTTTCCGCGTAGTGCACCTCCACGTGGAGGATGTGATGGCCGAGGCCGGATATCGGCACCATCGCCTCCGAGCTGTCCTTGAGGCTGTAGCCGCGCGCCACGTCCAGCTGCGTCACGACGGCGAAAGTGATATACGGCGAGCAGCCGTTGGCGTCGTTGCGCCTGTAGCCGACGCCGCAGGCGCACGACCGCGACCTGCCCTCCCCCGGGATGCAGATCTGGTCGCAGCCGCCGTTGCCGACGGCGCACGGGTGGTCGACGAACGGTCGTTTCCGGAATATGGTGAAGGTCTTCAAGTCGGGCTCGTTCTCGAGGAGGGTCTTCGGGTTACCACCCGACGGCAGCGCCACCTGGACGAGCTTCTCGTAGTGCGGGTCTAGGTAGTAGAGGCGCGAGCCCATCACCGCCAAGGCCTTGGGCAGCGAGATGTAGTTCGCCTCCGACAAGATGGTCGTCCGCTTGCCGCCGAAGGCGTCCATGCTCTGCACCAGCGGCGGGAATTGCGTGCTGAAGTAAACCGTCTTGGTTTCGACGTCGACGGCGATGGCTTCGGGACGGTCGACGTCGTCGACGAGCACCACCGCCCCCGACCCGTCCATGTTCACCTTGCCAACCTTCTGCGGCACCCCGTAGCCGCCCTCGTCGGTCCAGAAGAGTTTACCGTCGGCGGGGTCCAAAGCGATGGCCCGGGGCTTCGCCACCGACGTGTGGTTCCCATCGTTGGCGAGGATCACGGCGCGGTACCGGATCTTACCGTCCACCCGCACCACCTCGAAGTTGCCCGCAATGCGATTCGCCACGAAGAGGTTGCGACCGAGCCAGTCGAACGCGATGGAAGACGGGGCGCCGACCATGCCGGTGTCCGCGCCCAACACGCGGGTCTTGTTGCCTCCGCCGAGCGGCGTCGACCACAACGTGCACTGCAATGGAAAAATCGACCTAGAGGACCGACCTCGGCGGCGACGACGTCCACGCTTACGTTATCCTCGTCGTCGGTTTTCGCCTCCAACCAATACACGGTGTCCGTCTTTTTGTCGTACTCGATCTGCTTGCCGTTTTCGACGCCGACGACGGGCGTGACCGAGCCGACGGAGACGTCGCCCGGCGTCAAGGCGAGGTCCACGATCTGGGTGCCCTTCATCAGCATGATGAAAGGCGCGTCGTCCTCGGCGCACCGGCCTTCGGGCGTAAGCTTGAAGCCGGCCCGGCACCTGCACGCGTAACCGGCGGAGGCGCCGGGAGAGGCGAGGCAGATGTGCTCGCACGGCGCGCGCGCGCACGGGTTCTCCGTTACCGGCTGCAGCGACGGATGGTGCACGTGGATGCTGAGCGGCTGCGAGATCAGGTGCGACACCACCGTTTGATTGTTACCGCGGAACTTGTGCGCCGACAGCACCCGGTTCAGTTGGCGATCGGTCCAGTAGAGGGTGTCCTCGAAGACGGTCAGCGAGTGTGGATGGAGGAGGTAATGACTGCCGGCGAGCACATTCTGCCTGCCGGTACCGTCGTAGTTGCAAAAGTCGATAAAGTCGAGTTTCGAATCGGCGAAGTACACCCGGTCGGTGGTGGTGTCCAAGGTTAGGCCGTTCGGCCAGTAGATCTTCGTGTTGACGATGACGGAACGTTCGGTGCCGTCCATGCCGACCCTCTCGATGCGCGGGTTCTCGCCCCAGTCGGTCCAGAAGAGCCAGCGGGCGCCCGGTTTGGGATCGAGGCACATGCCTCTCGGCTGCGTGATGTTCTCTTTGACGAGGACGATGCGGTCGAGGCCGTTCTCTTTCGCCACCTCGATCGTGTTGAGCTTCGAGTCGAGCCAGTAGATGTTGCCGCCGATCCAGTCGTAGGCGAGGCCCTCGACGAGGTCGAGGCCGGTGGAGATGATGTCCACCGGCGCGCCGTTCCTGTCCAGCTTCGAGATCTTTTTCAGTTTCATGTCCGACCAGAAGATGGTGCCGGTGTGCATGTTGGACGCCGTCGCTACCACGTTCTCCACGATTATGGGCACCCTCTCGAGGCCCTGGTCGCGCAGGTCGGCCACCAAGATCGAGTGTCGGTTCGAGATGATCAAAAACGCCGACGAGTGATCTGCGAAAGGGTTCGGTGTAAAGAGGCGCGAGTGTCGACGTCGCGGCGCTTACTGAAAGCCTTGCAGGTGCGCTTGTCCGGCTCGAGGATGTAGCCCGGCACGCAGCCGCAGAAGTACGAGCCCTTGGTGTTGGTGCAGGTCTGGGAGCACGCTCCCGGCGGGTCGCACTCGTCGTAGTCCTCGCAGGCGAGGCCGTCCGAGGACAGCTGCTCGCCGACGGGACAGAAGCAGATCGTGGACTCGGGCGTCTGCTTGCAGTTGTGCGCGCACATCCCTTTCAGCTTCGCGCACTGGTCGAAATCGCAACCCGGACCTTCGTCGGAGCCGTTGGGACAGTCGGGTACTCCGTCGCACACTCGGGTGACGTTCACGCAGCGTTCGGACACCCCGGGACACTGCCACTGTCCCGACGGACACTTGAAGGGCTTCTTGCACGCGTGCGCGGCGCTCTCGTCGGAACCGTCCTCGCAGTCCACCTTGCCGTCGCAGATGTACGCCTTGAAGATGCACTCGGTGCTGTTGCACGCGTAGAAATTGGCCGGGCAGACGATGTTGCCGCAGGAAGCCTCGTCGGAGCGGTCGTCGCAGTCCGGGGTGCCGTCGCAGTGCCAAGACTTGGGGATGCAGATGCCGGACGCCTGGCACTGGAACTGCTTCTCCGCGTTGCACTGGTCGGGCGGGATCAGCGCTGAAAAACCACCTCGAGTATACCCGGGGGACTTCTCCGAGAGCGGCGCGCTTACGGCACCCGAGCTCGTCGCTGCCGTCGTTGCAGTCGGGGATGCCGTCGCACTTGTAACCCTCCTGCACGCACTGCCTGAGGTCGGCGCACTTAAACTGGTTCGCCTTGCAGGTGATGGGCGGACAGTCCTGCTCGTCCTGCTTGTCGAAGCAGTCGTCGTCGCCGTCGCACACCCAGTTCTGCGGGATGCAGTGGCCGGTGCGCGGGCACGTGAACTGGTAATACGCGCACGTCTTCTCCGCGCACGAGTCGCCCTCGTCGCTGCCGTCGCCGCAGTCGTTCTCCGAGTCGCACTTCCAGCTGTTGGGCACGCAGCGCCCGTTATCGCAGCGGAACTGCGTGCCGCTGCAGGTGACGTTCACGCAGCCGGTCTCGTCGCTGTAGTCGCCGCAGTCGTTCTCGGCGTCGCACTTGAACGTCGTCGGGATGCACCGGCCCGACTTGCACTGGAACTCGTTGCCGCCGCACGTCGGCTCTGCAGAAGACGCCCGCGTCGTCGTCACCGCATCCGAGCCACCCGCGATACTTACTGGTGCAGTTCTGCTCCTCGTCGCTGTTATCCAGGCAGTCGTCGTCGCCGTCGCACACCCAGGACTTGGGGATGCATCTCTGGTTGGCGCACGTAAAGTCCCAGCTATTCGGGCACGCTTGCACCGGCGGTTCTCGGTTGGGGTCGGCGCGGCACGACTTGCCGTCGTCGTCGAGGCGCTCGCCGTACGGGCAGCCGCATTTGGACGCGAGACCGGCGACGCCGTCGCCGCGGGGCACCGCGAAGCACAACTTCCGACACCCGCCGTTGTCGACGTAGCAGGGATGCGTAACGTCTTTGCGTTGCTCCGCGCGGCTGTAGATCTTGACGCCGTAGAGGCGGTTCGTTTGGGGTTCGCGCACCAGGATCTCTTCCCCGTCACCGGTCAGCTTGTGCAGCTTGACGATGGCGTCCAGGCGCCAATCGGTGATGTACATGTGATCGCGGTAGATGACGATGCTGAACGGGTGCCGGATCAGTCTCGAGTTGACGGTTTTCACGTCGCCGCCGTCCATGTTGGAGTGCTGCACGTGGTCGAGGAGCGCGTCGCACCAGTACAACCGGTCGGTGTCGAAGTCGATCGACAGCCCGTTCGGCCAGCCCAAGGTTAGGTTCTTGAACACCGTGAGGTTGGTGCCGTCGGTGAACGCCCTCGAGATGTTGGCCGGCCGGTCCCACTCCGAGAAGAAGACGAAACCTTTGTTGGGATGCACGACGATCGCCCTGGGCCGTTTCAGGTTCTTCAGCAGCGTCCTGCGGTAAGTCACATTCCTGGTGGACAACACGTTCAGGGTGCCCTTCCTGCTGTCGATGTAGTAGAGGTTCTTGGCGGCCCAATCGGCGGCCAAGCCTTCGACGCCCTCGTTCTGAGACGCGAGCACTATCTCCTTGGAGGAGCCGTCGCGGCGCACCCTGTAGATGACGTCCTGGAGCACGTCCGAGTAGTAGATGTGCTCGTCGTCGGCGTCGAAGTCCAAGCCGACAAAGCGGGCCCTGCGCGACACCACCGGCAAGATGGCGTCGTTGAAACCGTCGACTACGGGGTCCAGGACCTTGCCTTTGATGAACCTCTGCTGCGAGTACATGAGGAAGTCGTCGACGAGGTCGCAGTCGTTGGGGGCGGTCCGGCTCGGCCGGTAACCGATGCTGCACGCGCACCGGTACCCGAGACCGACGGTGGCGCGCGTCACGACGCACATGTGCTGGCAGCCGCCGTTGTTGGTGCCGCACGGGTTGGGGGCGGGGCGTTGGATCAACGGGTGGACCGCCTTGATCGCCTTCGGGTCCCTGATGTCCTTCATGCGGTAGACGGACTGGATGCTACCGGTTTCGAACTTATCGACGGAGAGGACGCCCTGCTTGGTGCCGTCGGTCCAGTACACGCGGTTCTCGAACACGGCGAGCCGCGACGGACTCGGCACCTGCTGCCCGCGTATCACCAGGAAACGTTTCCGGCCGTCGTAGTCGACGGTCTCGATATAGTCGAGGAGCGAGTCGCACCAGTAGACGCGTCGCGCCACCAGGTCCAAGGCGACGCCGGACGCTTTGTAAGCCGCCTCGGACACCACGGACACCGTGTTGGTGCCGTCCATGTCCGCTCGGAGCACCTGGGAACTGTCCGCCACGAACATGTAGCCAACGGTGGGGTCGAGCGCGATATCCGCCGGATTCGTCAGGTTCGAGCTCAACACTATGGCGTGGCGACGTTGCGGCTGCGCGGAGTATAAGTCGAAGATGTCGATTTTCTGGCCGATCGAGTCGGCCACGTAGAGCTTCTCGCCGACCCAGTCGACGGCGACGGCGACCGGCATCCACGTGCCGGGAAGCACGATGTCGTCGGAGAAACTGCCGAACGCGGAGTACCCTTTGAGTTGCTGCGCGTGGATCTGAAACGAGGCCCCGCCCGCACGTCACTCCGGAGACTATCCGCTAGGGGGGCGTTCCCACTCACCCTTTTAGTTTTCGTGTCCGACCAGAACAGGACGTTGCGGTTGTGGTGGAAGTCGAGGCCACTCGCGCCCGTCGTGTTCACCACCACCTTCACGTTGCTGCCGGACGGGTTCATCATGAATATCGACTTTTCGTGTGCGAAGTAGAGCGTGGCGGGGTCGTCGGCCGCGCATCTGCCCGCGGACTGCTTCGACGGCCGGTAACCGGGTGCGCACGAGCAGGTATAGCTGCCGTTCGTGTTGGCGCAGAGCTGGTCGCAGAAGCCCCACTCCTCGCACTCGTTGCGGTCCGAGCAGGTCCTGTTGTCGCCCGCCAACACTTTACCGTCCGGACACGCGCAGGAACCACCTAGAAGAGCGTTACTCAAGCCAAAAAAAACCTGGGGCGCTCGCCATTACCCGTCAACGAGGCTTGGCATTTGTACTCGCAGCCAAGCGACGGACACGACAGCTTCGAGCATGCGGCTTCCTCGTCGGCGTTGTCCGCGCAGTCCGACTTGCCGTCGCACAGTTTCGACTTGGGTATGCACTTGTAGCCGCCCTGGGCGGAGCCCTTCGGGCAGAGGAACTTGTTATCGGGACACGCGATCGCAGTGCAGTTCTCCTCGTCGGTACCGTCGGAACAGTCCCGGTAGCCGTCGCAGCGGAACGCCCCCGGTATGCACAACGCGTTGGAACACCTAGTTATTTATTTATTTGTGCAGATACACTGTTCAACAGGAACTACATTAATATGTTAGATGCGGTCAACTTTATTAGTAAAGGACAGGACAGGACTTGGAAGATGATCAGCCACACTCTTATCGTCATGTAGGATAAAGCAGTTTCAAATAACAATGAGGAGTTGTAAGATTTTGTGGTGATAGATCAGGATTTGCCTACAACAACAGACTTGACAGAGGAAGCCATATTACAACTAGCAAGAAAGGGTGAGGAAGAGCTCCAAGAGCAAGAAGAAGATGAAGAAGTCGATCTGGGACCACAAAAAAACATTCAACAAGCCTCGTATTCAGTTAAACTGCCAGAGAAATTTTTTGAAAAATAATACATTTGCGTATTCGAGTGCCTATAATGAAAACTCTTTTGTACGTGACGTTAAAACATTTTCTTTAAGGAACGAGCGTTTTGTTGTCCTTTTGAATTTGTCCCTTATGTCTCTGTTCTGTAGTTCCTGTTGAACAGTATTTAAAACATTAAATTCCTAAGTAGACGTTAAAATATGTATACAAAATAATTAAATATGCGTATTGTTATTTTTCAAGTGCCTCTTTATAATGAAAATAAAAAGCAAAAATGCAAAATGAAGAACTTCCATATTATCGCTATTACTAAACGTAAGACTTGAACAAGAGTTAGCAGCATTTAGCACTTAAAATGACAGTAAGACCATCTAATAATTTATCATTGTGGAACATCCTGTCTGAAATGTTAGTCGAGCCCTTTTTATTACTGATAAAACGCCAAAATTTATTTGGCTCATTTTTCTTCTCGACTCGACAGACAGTGCATACGATTTATAATAATTATTACGATCTTAATTAATTTTGTCCCTTAGTAGCTCAAATTCATTGACAGCATCGAGATTGTTCTTAACCTTAACCCATTTTGTCCCAGTATTACTACTAAAGGACATAAGACCGTAGAAATCGCTAATTTGTAATAAGGGCAATGTGAATTTTTCAAAGAAACTTCCACAGGGTACTGTAATGCTTTTTACAAAATGTCTGGATTCCTCCTGCGTCGGTTTTTGCTTAGTCGAAATTGCTGACGTTTCGCCAATCAACCTGTTGGCTTCTTCAGAGCTTGACTGAAACTGGACAGTGGTGCGCTCACGCACCATAAAATATTCTGTGTTTTTTGTATCAAATCATGTTCTATTTAGTTGTTTTCTGTCGAATTTGAACTTTCTTTTGTATACTTATGTATAAATTATATGTTACATCTTATGTGCCCCAAAACATTATTTAATGTTTTTTCCCAGTGGTTCGTTTGCGCACCAGTATTTTTTGTACGTTTCCAGTTTTTTTTTTTGACACATGTAATGTACGGTTAAGTGCAACCAAATAAACAATTTCAAAGCAAAAAAGTATTTTTTCTTTGCTTGGGATAATATGGGTTAAACAATTTTCAATATTTAGGTTTTAAGCCTGGGCGTATTACCTGAACTGGACGCCGTGGCAGACGGGGAAGTTGCAACCCAATTCGTCGGAATTGTCGCCGCAGTCGTTCTTGTGGTCGCACTTCAGGGCGGAGTCGAGGCACTTGAGGCCGTTGGCGCACCGGAACTGATCGAGACGGCACGACACCCCCGGACAGCTCTGCTCGTCCTTGCCGGAGCGACAGTCGAGATAGCCGTCGCACTTTTTCTCTTTGGGGATGCAGGGGTCGGAGGGCTTCGGGCCGCAGTGAAAATCGTCCGGTTGACATTTCCGATACGCTGCGCGAAAAACCCGACGTGAAAATCAAAGACGGCAATCGGCGGGGTGTACTCACTGCACTCGGACTCGTCGGAACCGTCGATGCAGTCGACGTTCATGTCGCATCGGTAGTGGGGCGGTATGCAGTAGGTCTTGTTGAATATGTACTGGCGGCACGTGAGCTGCCCCGGCTCGCAATCGGGGGGCGCTGAAATCAGACGTTATGGAACACAGTGGGGCGGGGGCGCCGCCTCCGACACTCACCGCACTGCTGGAACTCGTCCTCGCCCTTGTCGCAGTCTTTCTGGTAGTTGCACACCCACAGCGACGGTATGCACTTGCCCTCCGGGCACCGGAAGAAGCCCTGAGGGCAGACGGCCCCTCCCGGATCGCCTGAAAGTTTGCCATTTTCATCGGGATACGATAACGATTGGTAATTAGCGGCGCCTAATGATTTATAAGAGAAATATGTTCCAGACAACCGTTTTTCAATTAGGATGAGAAGGTTCGGTTCGAGATTCTCTGATTTTAATATATCTGAAACGACGTTGAGAGTTTCAGGAATAGGAGCTTTGGTAAAGAGAGATTCTACGTCGAAACTAACCAAAATATCTTGTGTATCTAATGTGTTTACGCCCCTCATTTAACTCCGCTCCCTCAAACAATATTTAAGCAGGTACACAGTAAAATGCGAACCAGTTTCAGTCAAGCTCTGAAGAAGCCAACAGGATAATTGGCGAAACCAGGATTTTTGTAAAAAGTAACCTGCAAGTTTTTATATATGCTTTTTATATTTGCCATAGCAGTTGAAATATCTAACTTCTGCATACCCAGTGCCCCGGGAGAGACTTCGAGAGAACGTCGTTACAGATTCCTGTAATTTTTTTTTGGTTAGTTGGTAATCTGCAATTTCGTCATCCCAGGAGACGGTGGATGCACAAGTAAGGTATACATACTACTTAATTGACTTTGAATATTGAAAAAGTGTTATAACTGTAGCGATCTATCTGTTGCAAGGTTGGCTCTTAGACTTGGAAATTAGAAATTATTTGCAAAGTAAAAATAAATAATAATAAATAAAATTGGTCTGCTGGGGTTCCCCAGAGTTCCTTGCTCATTGTTTTATTTTTCTGTGATACAGGAACTTGTTTTGTTTTGTCAACGTGTTAACTCTAGTGCGAGTAACATTTGGGAAAGGTAACGAAATTTGGGAAAACTACTGAGGGCTTTGAGCAGCCAGTTTCGTCCATTACGTTATATGGCGGTATGGTGAGAAGTGTTCTGTACGTTTCTAAAAATCGAACTTTGGCTTTTGGTGTTTCCGAATTCGCTAAATATTCAGCGAGCTTCATGCAAATGGCGACCGACTTCAAAGGGTTGGCCCGCTTCAAAGCGCCGAGTTTTGACGCGCCTATGCAAAGCAGCTCCGCCCCGCAAAGGCCTTTGCGACCGAAGAATCATCGGCCATTTTTAAATATATTTTTGAACATTTTAGAAAATTTATTTTAATCTTGTCCCGGTTAACGTACATTTGATTTAATTCAAAAAAATACGAATAGAATACAAAACCTAGAAAATTTCAAAAAAGAAAAACAACTTAAATCGTGGAATCCAAAACTCAATGGCGTACTAAGGTCAATAAGCTTTCTTCGATACGCTGTCTAAAGATAAACGTCGTTTTTGTTAACTTATCAACTTTCTGGGTAATGTGCTTCTTATTTTTGGATGGAATTTCAATTGAATTTCGAAGAACTCCAAAAAAATTCAAAAAATAAATTTCGAAGAATTCCCAGGATTTCTAAGGAATTCCGAAGAATTCCCAGGATTTCTAAGGAATTCCGAAGAATTTCCAGAAATTAATAGGAACTTCGAAGAATTCCACCACGATGATATCTGCCTAAAGCATAGAATCCAGAAATCACTGGCGTACTTGAATTTTTGTTATAAAGTTTTGCGATACAAGCCAAAACGTAATGGAAGATCATACGTATTTTTAAAAACTCGATTAGGCTTTTCTTCGATACGATTTTGAAGATACACTTCGCTTTTGTTAATTTCTTAACTTTCTGTTTAATGTGCTACATCTTAACTACACTTCATTTATTTTTGGATAAGCTAATAAACGATGGATTGATTGAAAGCCTAACATAGAATTTCATTGGAATTGCAAAGAATCTCGAAAAATTCCCAGGGCTTCTAACAAATTGCGAAGAATTCCCAGGTACTCCAACAAATTTTTATGAATTCCCAGGATTTATAGGGAATTCCGAATAATTCCCAGACAATCAACGGAATTTCGAAGAATTCCACCGTCTAAATCATAAAATGCAGAACTCAGTGGCGCACTTCATTTATTTTTGAATAAGGTAATATCAATTGTTTGATTGACTTAACCTCGGACAAGGAATTCACAGGAATTCCAAGGCATTTCAAAGATTTCCCAACGCACTCCGAAAAATTTCGATAGGTTCCCAGGATTTCTAGGGAATTCCGAATAATTCCCAGACACCCAACGTTATTTCAAAGAATTCCCAGAAATTAAAAGGAATTTCGTTTTTTTTCCATTTGTCAACTTTCTGTTTAACGTGCTACATCTTATATTACCCAAATTTATTTTTGAATATTGAATTTTAATGGAATTCCGAAGAATTCCAAAGAATTTCGGAGGAATTGCGAAGAATTTCCAAGCACTCCAAGGAATTTCGAAGAGTTCCCAGGAAACAAAATAGAATTTTCGAAGAATTCCCAGGATTTCTAAGGAATTTCGTAAATTATAAGGATTTATAAGCAATTCCGAAGAAGGAATTAGTGCGCCCGCTGTCAGCGGGAGAAAAACGCAGGAAAACTTCTTCGGCATAGAAAGTGGCAGTAATTTTGAGCGTATCTGTTATAAGGTTGTCTATTGCGAATATTTTTCGTGGAAACGTCGCTAATTAAACACCTTGCCAATTATAATGGGCTCCGCCTTCCGCTTTTACGTTGAATAATTAATCGTCGACAATTACGTCCGAATATGGGTCGCGGCAGCATTTCTTCGGCACTACTTTGTTTTTCTTACGCGAGTTAATTGGACGCCAGATTGTGGCGCGTAATTAAATCGCAAGGGTACACACAGAAACCGTTCGGTTTGCGAAATTTCGAACATTTAATGTTAAACTAATTAATGGAAAACTCAAAGTTCTTTGATTTACTTAATCAATTGAGGAAAAAAATCATTACTTTTGTTTCCAGCGCACATTTTTAACGCCCCCGTGTGGTACAGAACGAACATTTCAGCCCTCGACGAATTCAAATATGGAAACAATGGAAAATTAATCTCTGAAAAACCTAACCTCATCTTTAGCGGTTTTCGAGAAATTAATTTTCCCCCTTTTTCCTGTTAAAAACATAGCTCCCCTATTTGAGAGTCATACCATAAGCGAATATACAGGGTTCAAAATAAGTAACAACACTAAAAAAAACTAATTGTCAGTGTTAATGTATAAAATATTCTTTTTATTAATAGTTTCTCGTTTTCAAACATATTTTTCAGTAACACGTCATTATTTAAAAAAATATATTTTCGTCCTGTTTTTTCGAAATTAAATAAAGAGTTGATGAGTTGATTTAGTTGATTTACAATCACCTAATGCTACAAATAAAGTAAAAAAATGAACAAAATTGAATTTTGAGCTTAATTTTCAAAACAACTTTATACTAATATGTATTTCTGAAAAGCTTAAATGATTTCCAATTAATATAAAAAATAATCTACAGAATGTTTCCACTTATAAAATATATAGGTTAAAACAATCAAAAAAGCAAACTACGCCACTGGATTCCACGGGAATAACCCTTAAGAACGTTGTTTTAAACTTTTCGATAACTTAAAAGACAACGCAGATACGAGGGTGGTTTTCAAATATATTTTTCTGTATTTTCATACATTGCCATTATTATAGAAAATTGATTAAAATGAAATAAACACAGAAAGAACAACTGGATAGGTAATTAAAAAAAAACTGGCAACCTCGTAAGTATTTGACATATTCGCTTTTTTGTTTTTAATGGATGGGTCATAGCAACCTATCTAGTTGACAGTACAATAAAATAATATTTATGATATTAATAAAATATGGTTATTCAAAAAATATGTTTAGATGTATCTTATTTTTAGTTGATTTAAGTCTACTGCTACAAATAAAGTTAAAAAATGAACAAAATTGAATTTTCAGCTTAATTTTCAAAATAACTTTATACTAATACGCATTTCCGGAAAGCTTAAATGATTTCCAGTTAATGTAAAAAATTGTATGAAAAATAATGTACGGTGTGTTTTCTTCATAACTAAGAAACGGAAAGTAAAAAACAAACAAACTACGCCAACTGGATTCCACGGGAATAATCCTTAAGCACTCAAAAGAGAACGTAGATACGAGGGTGGTCAAGATGCGACAGTTTGGTTGGGACTTTCTTTCCCGAAATACTACATATAGGCGGGCGACGTCCGCCACTGGCGCTGTAACTGTCCGCGTCGCAAACCGATTCGAAAAAGTCGAACGGGGGCAGCGCGGAGCGGCGAGTACCTGCCGGTACCATTTCCCGCGACGCCTCCGGCGCTGCGACGTTGCCGGCTTGTCGAGGTTCCCCTCGACGGAAAAAATGCGTGGCGTCGGAGGTCCGCGCGCCCCCGGGCGATCGTGATAGATCGATAAACATTATTATTTAACAATTTAACAAAGTTGGCGGCCTTGGGCGGCGAAAACAATCGATGCCGTTGCCGGAACGACGAACGTCCCAAGTAAATAACTAACTGAGGGCGACGCGATGACGTTTTAACACTTTTAACGGTTTTTTGTTCGTAACAGAAGAAGAATTAGGTTATGTGACGGGGCGACGAGGAAACGCGTAATGGCGAATAATGGCGGTTTCCTCGGATGCGGGCATCGACACAAAAAAAAGAAGAAGAACTCGGTTACGAAGCAATCTGCGATCTCTTGAGGAAACGAAAGGAAAAAGTATGAAATGTCCTCAAGTTAACGTAGAATGTTCCATCATACCACTCTAACGAGTAAGTGAATCGTTTTATTGTATTTTTTATATCGCTTGCCTCTTTAAAATGTAATAAAATCAACTAAATGTTATTTTCTTGATATTTTTTTGATACGAGCCAAAGTTGTATTTTTCACGTTGTATATATTGCCTGAATTTATTATTTTAAATAAACTTATTTGGACATTTTAGAACATAGATTATAAAAAAAATACGAACCACAGAATACAATGTTACTGCGTGATGTAGTCGGCTACGAAAAAATTGATGATTACAAGAAAGTATTTCTTAGTAACTACATGTCAAAGTAGTAATGATATATCATAAACATAACATACTTGAAGAACAAAAATTCTTATGTAATTACGCAGCGTTTTTTAAGTCGACTTTGATACAATGGCAGAGTTCATCCTAACCTAAAATATATTTGCATTGTCGCTCTTCATATTTCTCTCGCTATTCTTTGCTTTGGCGAGTTAAATATTTCTTCCGCTTATTAAAGGTTTTTTTCTATTCCCCCAGGAGGGTGATGGTCCCTTCGAGTCCCTTTTAATTAAGGCATCCTCGCAAGGAAGTCAGTCACCATTCAAAGAGGAAATGGCCGAATGATCCTGGCATACGTGGCCAATAGCAGTCAAAGAAAAGTGATCAACTATTGAACCAGGTGACGATTTTTTAAGTGACTGATACTTTGTTATTAATATTGTATATATTAATAATGATACTATGTATTTTGTACTAATTTAATTAAGTACATGTTTCAAGAATTGGTCGGCGAAAAAGATTGAAAACATACTTATTTCCCGCTTGTTAGTGTAGGTAGATAAAATCCTAGGATAAGGGTCTGTTCGGGAGTGTGTTCTATAAGGGCCCGCGGTTTTGGCGTAATAAACAGTAGGCAAAGTTGTATCGGAGCTCCTCTTCTTTAAATATTTTTAGGTTTTGTGGTGAATACGGTGATGGGTACTTCGAATGACTTTTAATATAATCATTTTAATCGAGAAATTAAAGTGACGTTTCTACAGACCGCAGAAAGAAAATATTCACGTTGCGCCTCATGCGACACCGGTTTAGGAAATCAAAAAAATATACAGGGTCTATTTTAAAAAGAAAACTTCATACGAAAACATGTCCTAAACGTCTTAATTTTTGAGATAGAGAATACCACCTTAGATTCAATTCAATGATGCGTTTCACAGATAGCTGTTGGGCACGACTACCAGGATCATTCGCCCATTGACCACCTTAGATATTTTAATGAAATTTGGCCCACACGTCAAGAGGCATTTTGGTTATTCTATTTGGCAGGCATTGATGCTACGCCACTGATTTTTTTAAAATAAAAATTATTTTTACAATCCAAAATCGTTTCTAAAGGAAGGGAGTTTTTAAAGCTTTTTTTTTTGAACTGAGGTCGCTTTTAACTTGATGAAAATCCAATTAACAAAATAAATAAGAACAAAAAGTTCAGATTTTCACGAAATTACACATTTTCCCATGACAATTTTTTCCACGACAGCGTGTCTTTATCAAATGTAATATTTACAATAAAATGACCATAAAACCTTAATTAATGTTGTTGTGAGAATTTAAGTTCAAATCTAATTGAACGTTAAGCAATACATTTGAATATCTCATTTTGTTAATCTCCATGGCTTCCAATAAATTTCATTTTCTACTTTTTGTGGCTGAATGTAAAATATCGTTAATGCGTTTCTTGAAGGATCTACCCGTTTGTCCAATATAAGTTTTAGGACAAGATCCGCAATTCAACCTGTAGACACCGGATCTTTGGGATTTTGGACTTTTCGATTTATTATTTTTTAAGATTTTAAACGAAAATTTGCAATAAAAAGTTCTTTTGAATTAATCAACAAAATTAAAGATATCAAAATCCCTTCAAACGCAGCACTATTTTCTTTTGATGTACAAAACTTATTTCCCAGCATTCCACCTATGGATGTGATAGATTAGATTTCACCCTCACTCGGAAACAGGTGAACCCATTGGTGAAACAAGATTTATTAGATTGCATAATAGCATCTTTAGACCAAAATGAATGAATTTGAATTTAATAGGCAGATTTACATCTCTAATGAAGGTTTGATTATGGGAAACCCACTTAGTCCTTTGTTAGCCGAGATTTTTATGGATAATTTGGAACATCTCTTAAGTAAAAGTTTTCTATGGTGGTATAGGTACGTGGATTATGTCTTAGCTTGCTTTGTTGGAACGGACAAACAATTGAATTCTTTTTTAAATTACATTAACGTATTACATAATCATATAAAATTTACTATCGAGATTGAACAGGATAACTATTAATTTTTTAGACTGAACTATCACGAAAACGCAAAACAAATTAGAGTTTTCCATTTACCATAAACCTTCACACAAGGACACAATCATAGATAACAGCTCAACTCACCCTTATACACACATTTGCATTGCATTTCACTCTTTTATACACCGACTTCTTAATACGTCACTCCCAACACAAAATTACATAAAAAAACTTAAAATCACTAAGCAAATTGCACTGAAAAACGGCTACAATCCGTCCAGCGATGAAATTATAAATAAAAAACAAATCCAGACAACAGTAAACTATTTATCCGAAACCTAATACAGAACACGAACAATTTAAAGCAATTACATACATAGGAGAACCCAGTGAAAAAGTTTCAAAACATTTGTCAAAATGTGGTTTAAAAATAGCTTTCCGAACTGACAACACAGTAGGAAAATTTTTAAAAAACAATAAAACGAAGTGTCCAAAAAATTTATATTTGACAAACAGGTAGATCCTTCAAGAAACACATTAACGAACATAAAAGAGCGTCTAGATTCTAATTATGCTACGAAACAACTTGCTGCTACAAACCAAAATAGACCATCCAAAATATATGTAGAGAGTTTTGCGCAAAAGCTTTTTATATAAAAATATATGGTTTTTAATAATAAACTCAAATTAGTTTCAAAAACTGCAAAATGCATCTGCATATATTGGAAATAGTACTAAATGTTAACAAAAATTGAAGTTGTTGAATTTTTTTAAATTTGCGATGCTCATATGTTTTTATTGATACACCTCAGAAGAAAGTAGCCAAAGAAAACACGCAACTTTCGTGCAAACATTTTTTGCCATTGCCCTGTTACTAACCTCTGTCGATATGTATCAAAATATAAATGAAATCCTTGTTCACAAGACATTTTTTAATTCACAACCGTTTTACTACTTTATAATTTTCTGATTTTCTGATTAATAAAAATTTCGTGAAAATCTGAACTTTTAGTTCATATTTATTAAGTTTTTAAAGCCTTTTTAAAACAGAAAAGAAAAAAAATCAAATTCTACTCCCTGTCGCTAACGAACGAACTATAGGCGTCGCGGCGCCAAATTCGAGCGTCACGACTTTACCGGCGGACTCGTCATTTACGACCGGACCGCGGGGACCTAGTTTTCTCTAAACGTACCGTCGACACCGCGATGGTGGTAGGCGCTGTTGGTACGTTGACCTTTCCTTCAGGTAGATACAGTTATTTACATGTCCGGAGCGGCGACACGCGCTATACAGGGCGTCCCCGAAAATTAAAATGGCGAAAGACTCTGCGGCGACACATAGCAGTAGTATATGGTACCGCGCGTTCGATTTATCTTGACAACATTTTAATTGGCTGAAACTTTTTTGTTTTTAGAGATATCAAGGTGAACAAAAAAACAAAATGTAGGGTTAGTAGCCAAGTGACGTATAAGACGAAACACCATCAATTTTCTGACATATAAGCCTGCATCGTATTTTTTTAAACGGAACACCCTGTATATTATATATGTGTCTAATAAAATATCCTATTCCGATTACAACGATGTAACACACTTCGTATTTTAGTCCACTCCTTTCGTCGTCCACTTCTTTTGTCGTGACACAACAAGAATAATTATTTACAAACTAAAATAGAACAAAAACTATATAAATTATGTACCGATAAGGGTTATACATGGAACGTATCATGAATTTTCTTGGAGGTGCTTCACCCTTACGGCGCCACTCCATTGATTCTTTTTTCGATAGAGGATCATAATAGAGAACCATAGTTTCATCTCCCGTCACAATAGTTTCTATCACAGGCTTCGGTTCCGACCCAAAGAATTCCAAAAAAGACCGCGCACACTCGACACGGCGTTGTTTTTGAATAGCCAAATGGTTTTTAGGAACCCATCTTGCACTAACCATACCTAAATAATCATGCAGGATTCGACGAACACTTGTATCAGAAAGCTTAGTAATTTCTGAGATTTCCTTGACCTTTAAACGTCGATCACTCAATACCACCGCTTCCACAATCGCAACAATATCTTCAGTTGCCCATTCCATCACTACAGAATACTAAGGAGAACTTTGGCCGTACACATCATCCAGCTTTTCTTTAATAATTTTTTTGGCGCTAACCTCGTAACTGATGATAGGACGCATCTGAAAATGTAACCTTAAAACTGGCCGAGGACCTCGTGGGTACGTTACGCCCCAATCGAAATTTTATTCCTCAAGAGATAAAGAATGCCAAATTAGCAAGAGGCGAAATCATTGCCAAGGAATCTCCAGAGGGTGTAACGAACATGCCATTTGGGAACGGGAACTGTGGTTACCAAAAATAGGCAAAAAATTGAAAAAATAAAACCCAAATGTATCGTCGATTATGACGGGGTCAAGTCTTCAGTCGATGTTAGTGACCAGTTGGCGTCCTATTATAAGCTCTTAGAAGATGTAATAAATGAAATAATTTGGAGTACTGGACTGGTAAACGCACACTTTTTATACAATCTCAATTCAGTAAACATAACAACCTTTAGACAAAGTGTGGTTTCGTCGCTACTAGAAGTACCAACTTTCCCTGATGACCAAACTGCCCAAACTACAAGTAGGAGAATTAAGGCAAATGTAACGCACCCATGAACAGGAAAAAAGAGCTAGATGTTCTATCTGCTACCAGTTGCATGGCAAAAAAGGAAAAATAGTCGATGGGGTAAAAAAAACGGCTTCTCGGGTTATCACTGCTTGTGATCAATGCGAAGAGTGTCCTCATTTTTGTAAGATTTGTTTTAACAAAAATCAGTAAGAATGTTGATCAGTTGTTTTATTTTGATATTCTTTAAGAATTTTTAGATTTTTGAATAATAATAATAATGTTTTTTTTTTAATTATAAGTGTTTTTATGTAATAAATTACATAAAACTACTTCGCATATTAGTTTTTTTTTCATTTTCGCTATTAACCCATGGTACTGACCAAAAATGTTAATAAGTAGAGTTGGTGCGCCCTAGAGATACACCACGAATACATGTGGCCTGTCGTGACAGTGCTAGGTGTATCGCTAGCGATATTTCAGAACAGGTTCGAAGGGAACTTAGGAAATAAAGGCAAAACATGGCGGAATAAACATTTAAAAAGCGCCAAGGGGAGACGGTTCCCCGGAATGCCAGGGTCCTCGTAACAAATTACTAACCGTGGCGGCTGAAATGGATTTCTCTGCAGATATCGTCGCAATTTAGGCGAATTTTGCGACATAAACGGAGTTGTTAAACCTGTGTCTATCTTCGCCATCGAGTAGTTACTAGCGCTACAGTGTGAGCCAACGTTCTATAAGCAATGATACTTACTGGTTGTGGATTATCTTAAACGTCCAGGAAAATCTATAAAACAGGAATAAATAAACATGTACAGCACTTCCTTATATTAACATTTATTAGAAAAATATTGATCAAGAAAATAAAATAAAAAACAATTTTTATTTCAACTTACCGTTACTGTTGGTTGTTAAGAATTCCCCGTACTCCTCTGTGTTCTCACTGCAGAAAAAACATTCAAAACAATAACAACAGGCAAACAACCGCTTGCGTCAAAGTCACAAATTCCAACCAGATCAGCTCAGCCGAGCAAATAACTTTGTTTTTACTTACCTTCGATAGACTATGCGAAATATCCACAAAATTATATACGAAGCGGTTGAAAATACAGTCCTTTTACACAAATATTCTATTGCAAAAACAAACAAATTAAAATGACTCTCTATGCTTTCTCCTCACGAGAAGCGAAATCGGAAGAAGAATTCCCTTAAACTTCTTCAAATACATTGAGGTTATGTGGCGAGTATACAAGTGGGTACGGCCGTATCGTGCTGCGTCCGTCTTACGTCTTACGTACATCACGTAAATAGCGTGCTGGCGGTTTGCGAGAGAACGAAAAACTCTGCGGATTGAATTTTAGAATTTTGCGGATTCGATCGTGATCTAGCAATATGCTAGAGGAAGAGAAAGTTCAGCGTATGGAACGCGAGCTATCGAGCGTACGGTACAGTTTAGGCATACATTAGACGGGGAACTTTTAACGTTCCTTCGATTTAATAGTAAATTATATTAAAATCGAAGTCTTTCTTCGTGGTTTGGGTGGAATAAGCTTCTCACTTGGGCTTCGCGTTCCAAATTTGACCTGCCAGAGAAGGTTATTTACTTGGTATTAATCTTGGTAAAACAGGTCATTATATGTTAAGATTTTTCTTAAAATTCATTGTTGTTGCTCTTTGTCGATTGTTGTATTGGTCTTCCACGTCCATTTATCGCTGTCTGCATTATCTACCGACTTTTAGTATACTCCGACTCGCGAACTATCGCATTGGTAAAAGAGATTAGTAAAAGGGCCATTTTAAAAGTGACAATTTTGAAGCAAGCAAGTGAGGTTATGATGACCTTCGGCGACGTATAACGCTTAATTTGCACAAACGAAGGGATAATTAACGCTAAAAGGATTGGAAAAAGACCAAACGAGGCACTAGATAACGGTTAAGTTCTATACGACGCCACTCGCTATTAAAAAAAAATGACGCATCCGCGGAAAATTCCGAATTTTGCGTGGAAAATGATGTATTAGTTTAATGGGCCACGGATGGCGGAAATCGTCTCCGCCCACGGACCATTCTTCTTCTTTTTCTCAACACACGGCGGACAAACGTATTGAAAACATTTGCCCTTCGTTATACCGCATTTCGGATAGTATTAACACCCTGTAACATTTCGAATCTAGAATAACGCACCTAGAAAGTGCAATTGGCCGCGATTACCCATTATTGTTCGCCGACAATGAGCGCGGGAAAAAGAAACTGAAAATCGACGCGGAAATTTCCGTCTCACGTTTCGAAAGAAAAATATCGCCGTACCAGGTCGTCTCGTCGCCGGCCGAACGTTTAAATAGGCCTTAATAAGGAAGTCCAGTTTTTGTCCGGCGAAGCGGAGAAGCGATCTTGGCCGTCAATTAACCGCAGGTACGTAGGGCGGCGCGTTTTCGAGGTTATGTTACAAACGGGCAAACAAAAAGCGAATCAACTTAATTCCATTCTAAAACTCGCGAAAAGCGTTAATGAGTCTTTCTTGTGCTAAGAAAAATCCGAAAAAAAAAATATTTCGACTAGTATTTATTTTTATTCCCTTCGACCAAAGTCAACTGCGATGAACCAATCGTTTGTACTTCTTTGAATGTTTTGAGTGTTTTTATGTACATATAAGGGGTGTTTTCCAATTAATTGTCGATAATTAAGGGGACTATTTTTGGGCCATTTTTAAAAAAAATAAAATATATTTTTATATCTGCAATACCACTTTTTTAACATCTTGATCTTCTTCTATCCGTTAGTGTGACAGCATTATTAAAATACTTTAAAAAAATAAACTCCGAGGTATATTTTTGAAATCTTTATAATTATTTCTTACTGTTGTAGTGGTCTGGGTCTGTAAGAATTCTGTCGTCAAGGCGGTTGTTTGACAGATGTCAGTTTTAAATGAGGAGTTGACAGGTATGCATTTTATGTATGTGTACGCTTTTCTAATAGAGTAAGCGAACATTTTATTTAAAAGGAGCGCATCGGACTGTAAGAACAACAGAAATTCAAGAACCAGTTTTCAATTCTATAGAAAAATTGGAAATAATCTGAATATCTCGCGTGTCTTGATTCGGAAAATTTTGCACGATTTTCTATTGTCCCATATCATATTCAGCAAGTTGGGAAATGATATGTATGTATATGTATATGCATTATAACTGTGAAAGTAAAAAGAGTAGTCTTTTATTTTTTTTTCTGAAGGACACTTAAGGATAAAAACGAATTTCCCTGCATGCTGTCATATTAACGATATGGTTATGGCCATGCAGAAAAGAGGATTTTATTTTTTTTAACATCGGTTTGAAACAAATCAAGAAATAACATTTCTTTAGAAATGATTGGGGGTTGTAAAAATAATTTTTATTTTAAAAGAAATCAGTGGCGTAGCATCAATATCTGCCAAAATAGCTAGGTGAAATTCTGTACGCCCGCCACTGGTGTATTTTTTAAAAATTGCAGTACACTAAATAATGCCTTTTGATATATAGTCCGTGTGTGCCAAATTTCATTAAAATATCCAAAGTGGCTTTAGAGATATTAAAAAAATACATTTTATTTTGAATACAGTTAAGATGTATCTTAAAAGTGACGACGTTTAGAATATATGTGCATATGAAGTTTTCTTTTTAAAACGGTATTCAATTAGAAAACACCCTGTATAAAAAATGCCCCTTTGATTTAAATACATTTATTAAATTCAAATAAAATCAGTTTTGGAGTTTTTAGGTTAGGAAAAAAAGCGTTAACAATACTTCCAGTGTTATTTTTGAAACTCCCTGTACGTTCCATCAGGATCCCTTCAAATCTGCGAAATATATCAGCAAAACCCGAAAGAAGTCTACTTTGGTTCTTCAGTAGAATCTAAAAATGAAATGATATACGGGGGACGCCATTTGCACTAAGCAAAGTATAGTGCTGAATTTGTTATTTTATTTATGCCGTTTGCTTATACAGGACGTCCAAGTTGTTTTAGAAAAAAAAGCTAAATCCAAAAGTTATTAATTAATTAATAAATTATTTTGAGAAATATAGCGTGATTCAGAAATATGAGGGAACCTAAACTTTTATTTTTTTATGGAACACGCTGTATATTATTGAGTTATTATGCGCAATCGCCCCAGTGTAGCGAGGATTTTGGTTTATAAATTTTTTTTTCTGTGAAAAAATCTAATGCGAAATTTTTGGAAATTCAGTTAAGTCCCTAAGTGGTTCAATATATTTGGTAAAACAATATTTAACTTATAATTATGCATGCAGAGTTTTACCAAATAGTAAAAGTTAGTAAAACGTATGTATGCACATTTTTTGAGTCGCAATAACCCAAGAAGCCCAACTAACCAAAGTATTATAAGCAATGATGTTTTCAAAGGCAACGTCAGTTGGCCATGCAAATCCAAGTTTGCCATGCAAATCTAGGTCGGCCATGCAAAAGTAAATAAATCAATTTAATTAAATAAATAACCAATGTGAAACTTAATCAAACAGTTCGGGTGTTTTGCGGCTTTGTTTTTTAAGTGTTCTTTCGGGAACTATTGGCAATATCAATATCGCATTTTTGATATTATCCACACTGTTAATAATTTTATTTTATATATTTTTTATGGAAAACCAGCCATATATCCGCAAACACTCGGTATGGGTGATCGAGTATAAAAAGGAGTATCTATGAATGAAGTAACGTACAGGGTGTTCGATTTAAATATACGTATTTATACGTTTTTTTTAGTCTCATAACCAACTTTTACTGGCCGCGTCAACGGCCGCCATTATTTATAAACAACTTCCCGACACGTCGACACACTTTCTACGGGGTAGGTGACGTGGCAACGCCGCCCGCGCCACCCCCGACGTTTGGCAAACGTCGCCGTCGCTCACCTGAACCCGGCGTGAGCCTCGTCGTGTCCGCCCCCATCCCGAATGTCCACCAGGCACTCACTGTCAAAACTACGGCCGTACAGGTCCGTGAGAAAAACCACCCCATCTCGCCGCCCCTGTCCGATAAACGTCTAAACGCGCAACCTCATAACACACAAAACAACGGGAACATTCCCGCGGCCAACCGGATCGCGTACGACGTGGCGTTGGTATGAGAAAAAAAAAACAAACGTGGCCGCCCTCGATAGCCGCCTGCGATCTCGCTACGTCCGAAGCTGAACTGAATGGAGAGCGACGCGAGCAGAAGAACCCACGGAAGTCTTTGTAGGCGCGCGCCGCAGGTATGAGCCGCGTGGCCGGCCTCCGAGAACGGGTACGACCCCAGGTACGAGATCTCCCTGCGACGGGGAAATCCCGACCGATCAGGCAACGTCGCGCCGGTTCTAGAAAGCGGGACACTTTCCTACGCGAAAACGCGTCGCAGGTAGTTCCTAAGCGTCGGATTAGGACGTTTGCTCGTAATGGGCCGCTTAATTTCCCATTCGGGCCGGTACCTGGGAGTACCACCGTGCCTACAGGGCGCCGCATCGTCCGGCGCGGTACCGTCGCGTCTAATGGTACCTTGGGCGGGGGGGAGCGTGACCCGCGCCCGGAGACTGGCACCGCGTGGTACCGAAGGACACCGCGGGTCCGTTCACGAGGTGGTACCGAGACGCGGTAGCGCGCCGAAAAACTACAGTATGGTGCTTTCGCGAATAAACGATAAAGTCTGTTCGTAAGGAAAGACCCGGGCAAGCTGTAAGAATGAAATATGGCCGAACAGGTCCGTACTTCGGTTAGAATTTAATTATTTGGGGTTTTGTTAGGAAAGATAGTAAACAATATTTATTTATGTATGTATGTATTTATGTTTAAATCTAAAATAAAATTACAAATTATATTTATTACGTACTTAAATTACTTAAAATTATTCACATAATATATCAGTATCACTATCGCTATCATCGCCTGTTCTTATTATTATTTGTTCTATATTATTTGCAATATGGATATATGATTGTTCTGCTTTTTCTATATGTTTAACAGAATTTGCCCAACTTTGGGAAGGGATGTTAAAAACTTCGGTTTCTATAAGTTGAGGGCATTTGAGTTAACACGGGGAAAACATTGTTACGACGAATGGCAGATTTCAGTTGGTGCCAAAACATGGTCAATGGGATTAAATATACAGTGGTAAGGTCGAAGCCTTAAAACTGTATGCCCTAGATTTTTTGCATAATTATCACAGACGTATTCCTTTTGTAGGTTCAAGCTTTGTAGAACCTCAATTAATTGCTTTTTGGTATAATCTTCGTGAAAATAAATGTCGTTATTATACATGTAGTTTTGGATTGTTGCTTTTGTGTCACATGAGGAAGGGGTTTTGGTCAACTGTCTACTGTGATAAATTGCATTGTCCATTAGAATGGCGCTATTAGGAGGAATGTTTGGAACTAGTTTGTTTTTAAACCAACTTTCAAATAAATCGGCGGTGGTGTCCATGGTAATCCAAAGAAGAATCTTTAACATTTTTCGCAGACAAAGAAAGTCCATTTGGAATCCAACCATCTTTAGAGACAGCATGCAAAATATTTATTCTTTTACCTCTTTTTGATGGCGCGTTTTTTTTACACTTATCAGTTGAGTCAACCCGGCGTATCATAAGCGTCGAACCAGGTGTCATCCAAGTAAATAATTGGCCTTTGTTGTTCTCTGTAAATCCTATGTTTTTCTAGATATTCCAGTCGCCATTTCCGAATTCTAAAAGATTCCATTGAAACTTGCCTTTTGTCATTTTTTAAAAATCTAAAACCCATGTGTTGAACACACTTCCATAAGGTAGTTCTACCACATTTAACACCGGTTTCATCTTTTTCAAGTCTCCTAATTAATATAATATCTAATGTAGGTACGCTTTGTTCCTCGTATAACTGGTAAATTTTACGCCGTATATCTTGATCACTTTCATCTACACTCGAGAAAATGTCAGCATTCACAATTTTCCATATAGTTGATTTTGGAATTTTTGTCAATGTGGCCGTTTCTTCTAAAGATGCTTACTTGCTGGCACCACGTTCAATGAGAGTCAAATTAACATTGTTTATAACTTCCTTAGTCTCAATAGAATAGTGTTTTCTACATTTGGGCGGGAGCATCTCCTGAGATACACTAGACTCGCACATATTTTGCATAATTCGCACACGATTCAACACACGCTGTATTATACACGAAATAAGAATGATTACTAATAAACTTAAACTTAACCAAACCAAAGAATATTAAAAACAGGTAGGTATAAAATTATTTTCTATTACGGACCACAATTTTACCTGAATTTAAATTCCGAAACTTTAGGTAATAATCTTGTTGCGTTGTATGTTAATGACCATCCTTGGATAATCCCATTCAAAAGCAGTTGGTCCGTTTCGTATATCTATGAACAGACCATACCGCCTGCACACGTAAATCTAAGCTAGAACGTTCACCAAAAACGACTACTATGCGAGAGGAGGGTCCCACTTTTACGTGAATGACATTACACATGATACCACACTTCAAGCCTGTTTTTGAAATTAGATAAATTCAATTGAATCGTACTAGTAACAATTAATGTGTACTTATGGCATGCCATGTAAAATTAACGCGGATAAAACTGTATGACGAGAATTGTTGGGTTAAGATGATAACGTCGCTAATGGGCGGGTGTCCTTAGAGCGCTTGCCCACATTACCGAAAAGCAGAGAAGAAAATATTAGGGTTTAACCAAAGTTTGTTATATAACTTGAACATAACCTGGCCGAATTGCCTTATGAAGCAGCAGCGAAACAAAGCGCAATTAAAAAAAAATAACGAAGTATGTATGGCCGAATGTAGCCGCGGCCAAAGAATTAAATAAGAAGAAAAAGAACCAAAATATATGATGAACTTTAGTTTTCGGTAAGTAACGATTCTTATTCTGTCAAGTCGCGTAATACCTGTTTTCAAAAATAGCTACAAATAAAATATAGATCCGTCGATTGCACTGTAACTGTACAGATTGTGACTATATCGACTATATGACTTTAAATTGCTATTTTTGACACAAAGATAGTCTTCAACTAGCAATACAAGTGATCCAATAAAAACATGTTCTTGCATTGCTTGGAATTGACTTTTGGTATTTATTTTTCATATTATATCCGGATATATAAGTTGTGCAAAAGTGATAGCCCATTGAACGTCCAAATTTGACATATTAAAACCGACCAAAACTGACTTCACTGTTCTGCCGCTAGGAAACAGTTGATTCAATTCAACTCAGAGTACTGCAGTTTGCCCATTTCCCGCTACTCTGCTCTCGCCAAATTTTAATATCGCTTTTCAAAAATGAATTTGTGTTTTAAAATATATGGGCGATTTTACCACTCTTTTGAAAAAAATATTGCGAATAAGGCAGATTCTCGTGCGATTTATCGGTTTCAAAGAGAAAACAAAAAACACAAAATACATCTGACCCAATAAACTTTATGCGGCACATTTCACACTCATCAAAAATATTTTTTATAACTGCTATGTTAATTAATTATATTCAATGTGCCTAAGTAAAAATTCCGCCCTTTATCGGAGCCAGCTGATTCCCCCAGGCACTAGAGGGCGCTGCGAGAGTTGCTGGTCTATCTCCTGCTTATATCTATCATCTGTGGTTCAAAGAAATGTTAACATTTCTATCATTACTTTTAATATAGTATGGAATTTTGAACAAGCTATAAATCTAGTTTGAAATTTTTGTGTGGCAACCGTGAGTGTTAGCGAGCCGATTTAATATATGTAGAACAATATAAATTTGTGTTTTGTAATATGCAGGTATTCCGACCCTGCGCCGCATCCCTTTCTATCTGCGAAAGCACTATACTGTCGCGTAAAGCAGACGCGGCAACGTCGCTCTCAGCGAGTTACGGCCGATTCGATTTTTCGTGACGCGCGGAAGTCTCCCACTTCGTTGTTTTACGCGGAGCAGAAAGCTGCCTTGGCCGTCTTCGACGCAGGATTTTCCCGCCCGCGGAAAAGGACGAAACCTTTCGCGTGAGAACCGGCATTTCGCTCGATCCGATATTTACGACGATCTTAGCTTAATCATCGTGGGAAATGTCGCGCGCTTACGATTCGTCGCCGAGCGTATGCAACCCGGCATACGGCACGGCCTGTGGCACTTTCAGTAACTAAACTATGGTGCCACGTTTGCTGTGGGTGGCTTCGAGTGCTTAGTTTCTGACGGGAACTGCCCGATTCTCCCGGTTATGTTAGTTTAATAAACTTTTTTTATTTCGTTTACTTAACACGCAGATTAATTTGACTCTCACGCCGGAGAATATCTGAAAATTTTCTGCGATTGCCGGGAAATGGGCGAACGACCAAAGCAATCTTGCCCAGCTGCGAGCGATTAGGGTTTTCTCTCTGTAAACTGTGGTGCCATGTCCAACCAACCAAGATATGACGGATCGTCTTTTAAGTCGACCTGTGAGTGTTAAGGAAATTTATTTTCTTTGAGACTTGTTTTTTAAAATAATTTTAGTATTTTAGTATAATAGAATCTTAGTAGTTATTGCAAAGAGGAAAAGCATGGTTACGACTGGGGCAGAAATCAAACGAATGTTATGGCATTTGGATTAACGATAATGCATTTCTAATATTTCATTGTCCTTTGTCCATTGTCGCTAGAAGAGGATCATTAATTAACAAACACAAGACGTTCTCAAATTTACAAAATATTAATAAAGGCAAATATAAATATAAATAAATTTTACTTGTATTATTTTTGAAACGCCTTTTTCTCTAAGACCGGAAAATGGAAGTGTTAGGTAATCTTGAAAATCAAATACTTATATTTAAAACAAAAAAATGTTAGGAATCCCGCGAAATCAAGCTCCGCGTGACGTCAGTGACGTGACTCATTGGTTCCGCCTACATGCGCAATGTCATATCTTTGTTGTATCATGGTGTGGTACATATTTTAAAAATTTATTTTAATGTCCTGTTATTTGGTTTTTGCAATTTTAAAATTCAATCATTTCTCTGTGGCGATCGATAGCGAAACCGGCCGTTTCTGGCGACGGTGGCGCCGCCGCTGTTGACAGCCGCCGAAAATTGTTTTGGGCCGCTCCTCCCGACTTAACCTTTTTTTTTTCCGCAAATTTTCACGCAAATCCGCCTCCCCGCCGACCGGAATGCGCGCCCAAAACAGTTTTTAAGCCGGCGCCCGACGATGATCTTTTTCAAGCCCGCGTGGATCAACCACGAAGGTGGGTCCGAGTTTTTCGTGGGATACGAGGGATACCGTTTCTTCGTGTGTTCGCAGACAACAAACCGATCTTTTCGGTCGACGTGCACCCGAAAGGCAACAGATTCGCGACCGGCGGCCAGGGAGGCTCAGGAGGGAGGATAGTGATATGGAACGTGAACCCGGTGGTCGACGAGGCGGCCGAGTCCGACCCGAAAGTGCCAAAGATGCTTTGCCAGATGGACAACCATCTGGCGTGCGTGAACGTGGTGCGGTGGAGCCACGGGGGGCACTACCTCGCCTCCGGTAGCGACGACAAACTCGTGATGATCTGGAGGCTGACGAACGAGGGCAGCTCGTCTATATTCGGCAGCGGCAAGGTGAACGTCGAGACGTGGAAGTGCGTGCACACGCTCAACTCGCACACGGGCGACGTGCTCGACCTCGCGTGGGCCCCGCACGACGGCTGGCTCGCCTCCGGCAGCGTCGACAACACCGTCATCGTGTGGAACTCTCACAACTTCCCCGAGAAGGTCGCCATGTTGAAAAACCACACGGGCATGGTCAAGGTAGGAAGGATGGAGTCGCCGACGAGGTTTTTTTAAGCTTTTCGCTCAGGGAGTGACGTGGGACCCCGTCGGTAAATACCTCGCCAGTCAGTCGGATGACAAGTCCCTCCGGATATGGAGGACGTCCGATTGGACGCAGCAGGAGACGGTCACCGATCCTTTCCAGGAGTGCTCCGCCACCACCCACGTTCTGAGGTGCTCGTGGTCGCCCGACGGGCAGTATTTGGTGTCGGCCCACGCGATGAACGGCGGGGGCCCCACCGCCCAAATCATCGAACGGGAGGGCTGGAAACAGGACAAGGACTTTGTGGGGCACCGGAAGGCGGTCACCTGCGTCGTAAGTAAACCCCCGGCGTTTTTTAAACAACCCCCGGAGAAGTGACCAACGTATCAAGCTGGGAGATACGAGATACCGAAATTGCTTCGAAATATACTGAACCTGGAAATGTATAGTTTCCAGGATACAGCCGGTCAAACTTTCAAAAATATCTTGCTTTGTTTCTTTAGTCTGGTTAGGAATTTCAATATTTGGCAATTTCGAAGGGTTAATATAACTTAACGAATTTTAAATGGCATAACCAATTTTTTTATTATTTTTTTTATTTTTGAAAATTGTGTCTAAGAGGCTGTGACCATCACAAATACTATTTACCGGGTCACCTGATCGTGGAAAAAATTGTAAATCAAACTTTTCTTTACTTGTCTAATGGCAAATAGCATTTAATGTAAGTTTTTAGGGTAACCTAGATTTTTCAAATAGCACCCTGGTGGAAACAAAAACTTTTTAAAGCCGTTACTTTTTTTGCAACGTTTTGACACGAAAATTATCATAATCCGTTAAAAAATAAGCTCACAGGAAGGAAAAAACCAGATAAGTCAATACATTTTTATAAAAACAAAATTTGACCCAGGTGGCTTTGCTTCTATTCATCATCAAGTCGGCATGATTGAAAGTTCTTACAGTTTGTACATTTTTATCTGATAATCGATTTTGTCGTGTTGTTGATTTGGATATCGCGGAAAACAATAATCAATTTACAAATGTAGAAACAGTTAATATATTTGTGTCAAAATGTTGCAAAAAAGGTACCGGTTTTAGAATATTTTTGTTCCCAATATGGTGCTATGTTGGTCACAGCCTCCTAGACATAATTTTCACAAATTAAATAAAAAATTTAAAAAACAATGAAAATCGCTACCCCAAGCCATTTAAAAATTATAGCGTATATATTGTTGCAAAAATTCTCGGACGTATGCTCTGGAAACATATGTTATTATCTGTCAACTATCGTGATTATTTATTGTAATTTTCTTGTTGCTTTCGCAAAATCGATGATCGATTATTTTGTCCGTTCTCCGTTTCTCTGTAACATTGACATTTTCTACGTGCGGCCATCTTTTTTTTTAATTTTCGGCTGGTTTTTGGACATCGCTATGAAACACGATAAGTGTCCGAAATTTGGAGCAATCGACTTCAAATTTCGCACATATTTGCAGCCTAGTCCTGCGACCGGACCTATTGAAATTGGGGGGGGGGGGGATCGGGAAGTATTTAAAAAAAAATAAAAATTGCGATTAGAAGGCTTCAAGGAAAAAGCTATTTTTCGAAAAATAAAATAAATCCTTATTCTTCATAATTTTCAAAAATGTACGGGGAATTCGCAAAAAACTTAAAATTGTGGTCCCCTAGAAGTGATAATTGACAATAACTAGAAGACTGCGCTACAGATGATAGCTTCTTTTACATGGTCATATAGCCTTTATGGATAGCTAAAACTTTTGTATTTAAGGTTTTCAGCTATCGTACAGGGTGTTCAATTTATTCCGTGATATATTAAGAAATGTAGCAAGTGTCTTAAATTTGAAGCTATCGACTTCAAATTTGGCAGAGAGGTAGAAGTGGTAGAAGAGGTAGAAGTGTTGCGCGAGATATCTCAATAAAAATATTATCGCAAATCGCTACTACTGGCATAAAGTTTCATCTTTATCAAAGTTTGCTGTAATGTAATTTGTGGGTTTTCTGGAACGTTCCCCGGGGGCGCCTCAACTCGAACATTTTCAAAAAATCGTCTGTCTGCATTTGTTTTAACAAAGACTTTGACTTTTGAGAACTAATCAAAACTAAAGATCTGCATCGTAAATTAAATAACTTAAGACATTTCAAATGGGTTTATTCTGAGGAAGAAAAACGCCAAATAATAAAGTTATATTATTCAAACAGTAATATTCCACATAACCTCCATTATTTTCTATACATTGGACAATACTTCCTTTCAAATTCTTATTAATACACGAGGTGATAAAATCAGGGTTTTCTTGTAAAATGAATATTAAGTTTTTCTGTCATCACTTTTAAATTTTCATGTCTATTATAATAAATATTATTTTTTAAGCATCCCTACAAAAAAAAAGTCACAAGGATTCGAATCGGTGCTGTTGGCAGGCCATTTGATTGTTCCTTGCCTATCTATCCAAAGTCTATTTATGTTATCGGTAACTGGTTAGACATCTTCATGCCAAAATAAATTTACATGATTCCTAGCTGGTACATTTTCTAACAACTGTTCTATTTCTGCCGCAAGAAAATTTAAATATCGTTGGCCGTTCTAGGATGCTTCGTGTATAATTGATCCGACCGCCATATTGTTCAACATACCATACCATTAGCTGTGCAAGCATAGATAATATGGTTGCTACCAAGGCAGACTTGACCATTTTCAGGCAATTAAACTGAAAGATCTCAAAAACGGCTAAAAGAAATGTCAATAAACTAAATGTTTTTGAAAAAGATCTACGATAGCGACCGATATATAGGGCAAGGGGGTGGGGCCGAGCAATGCGATAGGTTTGGCCCACGTTGCGCGTCGTTTCAGCGCTTCAACTCGAACATTTTCAAAAAATCGTCGCCCGACAGCCCCAAAAAGGCGACCCAGTATTGCTGTTGCGCGATCGGATCCCGCGATCGCTCGATCAGCGTGTGGCTGACGTCCCTGAAACGGCCCCTGGTGGTCATCAAGGACCTGTTCGACGACAGCGTGCTCGACATATCGTGGAGCAGCGGCGGCCTGTTCCTGCTCGCGTGCTCGTGGGACGGCACCGTCGCCTGCGTCACCTTCGACGCGAACGAGATCGGCGCCGCCCTCACGCTAGACGAAAAGAACGCCCTCTACGAGCGCGTGTACCACAAGTCCCTGCAGGGCGGCTGGGGCGTCAACTTTGGCGGCACCCAGATCGTCGAGGACCCCGAACTTTTGTCCGCCATCGAGGAAATGAACGTCAAGTCGGCGCCGGCGACGCCCGAGGTCGTCGAACCGCCCCGCGCCCCCGACGACGCCTCCAATCCCAACCAGAACGTCCTGGTGCCGGTCAACAAGCAGGTGGAGACGCGGTTGCCGTCCGGGAAGCGCCGCATCACTCCCATGCTGCTGACGACCGCCCCGACCGCCACGTCCGACGTCGACCCCAACGCGTTGCAGTAAGTCGCGGCGTGCGAGTCTTAGGGGGGGCGGTGCTCACCGCAACTGGGCGTTTCAGGGTCAGCGCGGACTCGACGACCTTCAGCAAATCGTCACCGACGAAATCGCAGATCGTGATCGAGAAGAGGACGGAGCCAGAGTGTCCGAAAAAGTCGTCTCCGTGAGTTTATCGCGAGTGGGCCGGGCCGTGCGTGTTTGACGCGGTTGTTTCAGGCGCGCGACCACCCAGACGGACCACGTGGTCAGCAGGCCGCCCAGCTCGGAGATAACGCAGCTGATGTGCTCGGAGGTGCCGGGCGACGAGCCGGTCACCAATCTAATCGGAGTCCTCGACCCTACCAAGCTGCCGGTGGGCGTGGCCGTCACGAAACAGGCCGGCGCGTTCAAAATTCAGGTAAACGTCGCGCGTTCGACGTGCCGGCGTCTGACGCGTCGTTTCAGGTGACCAACGGCTGCCACAAGATGGCGGGCGGCGCGTCCTTGTCGAAGATAGAGGTGGGCGGACCCGCCGAGCCCGCGTGGGATACCTATCTGGGCTCTCCGGTGCGAATAATCGGGTCCAATCGGACGACGATAGTCGCGTGCTGCGAGGACCTCACCCTCAACTGTTACGACCTCGCGACGGGGGCCCGCCCCCTGCCCCCTCTCCTCGTCGAGGACTTGGTCTCCGCCCTCAGCCTGTCCGATTCCGGGCTGCTGCTCGTATTAACGAAAACCGGGCTGTTGCACATGTGGGACCTGCGAAAGGGGCGGAGCGTCCTGAGCCGCGCGTCCGTACGCAGCTTGCTCGCCGGCAAAGGTAAGAACGGGGGCGGGGGCGGGGTTCCGCGAAGCGCCATTCGTCTTCAGTTTCAGTGAAAAGCTGTTTTTTAACCGCGTCGGACCAGCCCATCGTGACCCTGAGCGACGGACGCGCCTACTCTTACTCCATGGACCTGCAGACCTGGTGAGTAGGCGACGCCGCGGGGAACTTCGCCTCCACTCTCGCGTATTCCGCAGGGTGCAGCTGTCCAACCCCCTCGACCCGGTCATAAGGTCGGGGAGCGCGATGGTGCGCAAGGTGCCCGGCAATCTTCCCCTCGCGTCGCTCCAGCGGATGATGCCGTCGTACCGTCCCGCCGACTCCGCCCTCCCGTCGGGAGTGACCCTCAGCTTCCTCGAGTCTCAGATCGCCGCCACCGGCATACTGAAGTCGGTGATCGAGTACAAGCACTGGCTACTTGCCACCGTCAACCATCTGCTCGATCGGGGTGAGGGGGTTCTTCTTTTTTTTTAATGTCTTCTTCTTTTACGGGGCGGCTTACAGGACCGGAGTGCCGGTTGCGGCTCATCCTGGACGATTTGATGGGCCCCGCCCACGGCCGCGCGAAGAAGAGGCGGTTGGAGGCGGACGTGATGGGGATCCCAAGGCGGGGCCTACTCAAGGAGATCCTCGCCGTGATCAAGACGAAACTGCCGTGGCAAAGGCTGTACCGCGAGTACAGCGAACAGCTCAAAGAACTGTGATCGCGTTCTCTGCCATATTAGCGCTAGGCGACACTTTGTACATTTTTTTTTTAATTTTCTACACGCCCCGCGCGGGCGACCACTTGCGATTGTACCCATTTTTGGTAATAAAAACTCAATTCGTATGGCCGTTTGAATTCTGTGCCTTTAGTACCGCCTCTTGGAAAGAAGAAGAGCGGTAAGAATGTATTCTGTATTTTCTTTGATGTACAGGGAACTAAAATGTGATGGCAATGACAATGGGGGTTTTACTTTAAAAGCGAAGAAGATAAGAAGTTTTCTTTGACTAAAACTACCACTACTTTTACGTCAAATGCCAGTTTGAAACAATAATTCACATATACGTAGAGTAGAATAACATCTTAAATAATAAGATATCCAGCTTGGGAAACCGTATTTACATACACCTCATAGAATCCGTGTACATCCACGTAAGATGAACACTATTTCCCAAACTTATAGGCGCTACATCTCTATCACTTCAGATAACGAATATACGTGACAATATTTTCTTTAAACGACACTAATTTCGACCGATTTCTATAAATTTTTTGGAACCGGGCAGGAGCAACGTCCGCCATGTGCAATGGTTCAATCGAAAGTCTGATCATATCCTGAAACGTAGAAACGAAAAGAAGAAGACGACAACGTAGAGGTTAACTTAAAATAAAACGTCATATTCTAATAAAAAATCGTCTATTAAACAACACTAGGCGCTCTAAACGTCCTTGTTTTGCGATTCGCTCGCGTTACGCCGAGCTCTTTCTTCTTCCACATAGCGATCGAGGTCCGTCAGAGGTTTGTAATAGGCGTGCACAAGTTGCGCTCCCGCAAACATGCTAACGAGGGACGCCGCTACCAAGCGGAGATACGCGCCCCAGGAAACGCCCGCCGGCATCTCTCAACGCCCCAGCAGTTCCTTGTCGACGATCTCTCTCGCTCGGCTCCGCTTGAAAGTACGATCTGAAAGCAAGCGCTAGAGCAGCCACCGCAAAGGCATGCGATACTCACAAAAATTAGTCTCTCCCACATGCCAGTTGATCATGGAAAACTCCAACGCGGCGCCCAGCACGAAAAACAAAGGCATAAACCTGTAGAGACCGAAGCGCTCCTTACCGGGCCATTTATCGAGCAACCTATGGATTCGTTTGCGGTACATGAGATTAGTAAGACGTCCGCTTGCATAATAGTCAGCTTCTCCTTCTTAACTTCTCTTAGGCAAAATGGTAGGATCGTTCGGCCAGCTTGAAAAATGTTTCAATTTAAATCTCAATTAGTGTAACGATTCCCGTTACACTAATTGCTACCCATTTGCTATCACTTGTTAGACAAAATACTTTCGAACCGATATTAGGAAAAACACGGCTCTCGAGGGTGTAGGATTCTGTGGTTGATTGTACCTGACAGCTAGAGGCTCAATAGACGCGCCAGAAAATAAACGAGCAAACGTTTCATAAGTTTTTTATTTTATAAACCACTGATTAACAGAATTAACCAACTCAAGAACGATTTCATCTTTTATGCCGAAAGTAGAATGGATTTATGTCTCGTTATTCTAGCCCACTACGGCAGAAGAAGAAGTAGGTTATGTTAACAAGGAAACATTTATTTTCGTTACACAACAGCGAAAAAATAAATAAACGTGTTGGTTTATAGTCAGGAGTTTATTATTTCGAGCATTTGCCTGAATTCGGCGTCGGTCTGGGTCTCGGTGTGCGCCACGCCTTTGAAGCCGGCTGTGTCGGCGGTCGACATCGAAGTCTGGCTTTGGACGGACCGCAGCACATCGTCGAACGCGGTCTGCGTGTGGGTGTCGTTGAAGCCCGTCAAGCCGCTGAGGATTTCGTCGCACGTCTGCGTGTACATGTTGGAGTAATAATCGCAATTGAACAGGTCGTCGCCCAACATAAAGTCAGTCTGGGTCTCAGTGTGGCAGTTGAAAAAGTTGCTGAGACTGTCGCCGAGCAAATCGGACGTGTCGGTGTGAATGGAATCGCGAGCGGTCGTCGAGATAGAGTATATATCGTCTTCGTCGACGGTCTGCGTGGCCGACGAGTTTTTCTGTGTGTCTCTCATGGTAAACTCAAAGTCCTCCAGTCGGAACGAGGTGTTGCAACCGCTCTCGCACGACTTGACGACTTCGGTCTGGGTGACGGCGCTTTTCTGACCGATCGCGTCGTCCGCGTCGCTTCTTCGCCACAGACCAAAAAACTCGCCCACCGTCTGGGTTTCCACCGACAGCTGGACGCTTTTGCAGCCTGTCTGCGTTTGCTGCGAGTTTTGCGTCATTTTGCTGGCCAACGCGCGCTTACCGGGCAACGTATGACTATCGCGGACGCTACTCGATCCCCTTTCGCCCAAAACTTTCGCCTTGAAAGTCGACTTTTCCGGCACGGCATGTTTCTTACGTCTGCCGTGGGTTTTCAACGTGTCGTAACACGCGTAAGACGCGGTGCAGTCGCCGCACGTAAACGACAAGCCGCAAAATTCGAGGTGCGCCTTCATTAGGGGGGCCGACGGGAATTTTTTTCGGCAAGAGGGGCACTCGAACGCCCTCGCGGCGTGCACCTTGAGGTAGTGTTGCCTCAGCAGTTTCATGCTCTTGAAGTGCTTCAGCGCGCTCCACGAGCACGCCCGCTCGGGGCAAAAGTAATGCTTTTCGGCGGCCCCGCGCTCTAGCTCCGTCCTCTTGTGAGTTTTCGTCAGGTGAAGGTTCAGATTCGACTCGGACGAGAATATCTGGTTGCAGCCTCGCTCGGGGCACTCGATCCTGTTGTTTATCTGGCACTGCTCCGCCGTCGGGTAGATTTTTAAGGGGCCCGTCATTTTTTCAGTTTCGTGGTTCTTATTCTTCTTCTTCACTTCTGATGGCCAAGTTTATCAGGATTATTCGGTCAGTATCGTTTGGAGGTTAGGTTCGCTGACGTTTTTCTTCTTTACTTATAAGTAGAGTGCCCACTTAATTGAGAATGAATCATTATAGCTCGCCATTCCATTTAGCAAGAGTGGTGGGGAATCAAGGTACTGTGAATGCGGGGAAGTTTGTACAGTTTGTTGTACTTAAAATTTTAGTTTTATTCTTGTTTATTATAAAAAACATCCAATGCGTCCACAACATCTATCACAGAATACCAAGGTTAATTTGGTTAGTTTTAATTTCGCCATACCAAAAAAGTCATTTCGATGGCCGTATGTTGAGGCAGTGGTGTGATGATAAATTAATATTAACATTAATAGTGCTGCTGCGGGAAGTCTAAATTGAGTATTGTTATAATTATTCTATAGTATTGAGTTACGACATCGATTGGTAGATTTGCTTATGTGTTGAATTGCATATTGAATGAAATATCTATTTTCACACAGGTATTTAGTTTAAACAAATTAATGTATTACTGGCACAACCCAATACGTATTTTGATAAAATTATGATTCAATCAAAAGCAGAACACAGCTAAATATTACACTAACTAGAACAGAAAACATACAGACACAACAATAATTCAAATTAAAATGACTCTGAATCGGTCGTTCGGACTTAGTGACGACTATTGCCGCTTATGTTGACATAAAAAAGTATTGAAATGAACGATTGATTGAAATGATTCGGTCCTTTTCGAAATCGGTTACTGATAGATTCGGTCCTCGTAAAATGAACGAGTGACACACGGATGGAATGTCATTCTAATTCTTCCTTTCATTTATTGGATATATTTGCTGAGATCACTGCTATAAATCAACATTTTTCTTCTTCTTTATTATCCTTCTTCCGGATGGGAAAGAGGCCATGGCATATTAAGTGAATATTCTGGGAACTCCTACTTTTTCTTTCTTCTATGGTGTTTTCTCGAATCTCGACGGGACTATTTCGCGCATGCGTCATGCCCTGTTTGAGTCGAGAAAACCGCCGCAGGTTTCTTTTTCCTTTCTTATATTTTTTTTTTATTTATGCTTGTGTATATTATTATTTACTTATCCATTTCGTCTTTCTCATCTATATATTTATTCTTTATAGATTTAACGTTTTAGATTAATTTTATTGTAATTTAGAAAGGAAATTATAATTTTATTGGGTTCTTCGAGACTGGTGATTATAGGACAAAAAATATATATATGTAGTTAGGGTAGACTCGTTCGTTAACCACAGACGGTTTGCTCGTCTATACCTCTGTGTTCTGTGGTCTGTGCTGCGGTGACGTCATCGACTACTATGCGGACGGATCGTGCGCTCTGTGGTCCGCGTAGAAATGACGTCACAGCCTGCGTTCCGCGATGACGCACTTCGTCCTCGTATTGAAATGAAGCGAACGGCAACTTTTCAAAGAACTTTATTTACAAACAATCTACCCAATAAAGAGGTGATCGAGTGAACGCCGAATCTGTTACCGGACGAAGCGTGAGCTGAAATCGTACAAAACGCGCAAACGAAAGACATTCCAGAGACTAGCGGTGCGAGTTTGCGCGTGCGCCATATACGTAAAAAAAAAACCGTGGGCGGCGGGAGGTTAGAGGAATCGTACCCGACGGCGTCACAAATAAAACAAACGCACGTCCAAATAAAAAACACAACGTTTATGTAAATATTTACAGAGTGGTCCCGCGCCGACGGCCCGCCCCCGTGCGCGTCGTAAAAAATAATAAATACCGTCGTCCGATGGGGGCGCCGCGCGCGAGCGCTCCGGCCCTAGCGGTGCCGGGGCTTCGCCCCGACGGGCCCCCCGCTTCGTCATACGTACTCGAGCGGGGTCTTTTTACCGCGGCACCTCTTCTCCAGCAGCCGCTCGAACAGCTTCTTCAGCTCCGAGAACACCCACACGGACGACGTGAGCGCCGTGAGGAAGGCCATGTCTGGAAAAGATGAAGGGGTGACGGCATTTACAGAGATTTTAAATCAATGGACTGAGTTTTTGACGCAGTTCGAATGGGATAAGTTATTTGCTAACAGAACCCTTGAGGACATGGTCATATCGATATTTACGTTCCCTTAAAGAAGTTTTCGGTTAAGAAGTTTCCAGTTTGGTTTTCCCCAGAGCTTTAAGATTAAGAAGAAATCACATAAACAATATCTTGGGACCGGGTTATATACAGACTATAAGAGATTTTCAGACATAAGAGCTAAATGCAAATTTTTAAAAGTGCAGTGTTACCGGGGCGGAGTTCTTTTCTTACTAGGTCAGCTGCACTAGCGAATCGCTTTTCTGACCGACTCGACTGCTTCCAGAGTGAGAAACAACTTAAAGACTGTCAGTAAAACTATTCCGCTTTTCTTCGCAATAGTATTGTATAACCTTGTGGTCGTGCCTCGCCAAGTGTCCTTACTGGAAAACCAATGTTCATTGTTTGTTCAACTTTGTTTTATTTTATTTTGTTGTTTACTATTTCGTTTATGTGAATCCTAATTTATATCGCGGGGTTGGCCCGTTGATAAATAAATAAATAAGACGTGAAAGCCCCGCCCCCCCACCGGCCCGACCTCGCGCCACTCACCCCAAGCGGTCAGCGCTTCCGTCTGGAACACGCTCTGCAGAGGGGGCACGTAGACGACGAGGAGCTGCCCGAGGACGGAGAGGCCGACGGCGACGAGGAAAAACGTGTTGGAGAACAGGCCTATCTGGAACACGCCCTTGGTCTGCGACCTGTAGGAGAGGGCGTTCCACATGTCGAAGAAGACGAAACAGGTGAAGGTCATCGTGGTGTCGCGGGCCGTGATCCCTTCCGAGCTCATCTCGCGGTTGAACACCCACAGGGTGCCGGCGACGATGAAGGTGGCCGACAGCAGCACGTTGACGATCAGCTTCCTGGTGATCATCGGCTCCTTGGTGTTGCGCGACTTCTGCTTGACGATGTCCTCGCTGACCGGCTCGACGCCCAAGCTTTGGGCCGGCGGCCCGTCCATGATGATGTTGATCCAGAGGATCTGCATGGCGTTGAGGGGCGTCGGGATGTCCATCAGGGTGGCGAGGGCGATGAGGGCGAGGGCCGCGATCGACGTGGACAGCTGGAAGCCGACGAAGTTGCGGATGTTGTGGAATATGCTTTTGCCCTCCTCGATCGCGGCGATGATGGTGTAAAAGTCGTCGTCGACGAGGATCATGTCCGCGGCCTCCTTGCACACGTCGGTGCCGTTCTTGCCCATCGCGATCCCGATGTCGGCCTTCTTCAGGGCGACGCCGTCGTTGACGCCGTCGCCGGTCATGCCGACGATGTAGCCGTTACGCTGCAACGCCTTGACGATCGACAGCTTGTTCTTCGGCGACACCCTGTAGAAGACGGTCGCGTGGGGCACCGCGGCGTCCAGCTCCGGCTCGCTGAACGCGTCCAGCTGCTCGCCGGACAGCACGTTCGCCTGCGACGTCTGCAGACCGATCATTTGGGCTGCGAAAAAAAAAAAACGACTTCGGGGGGCGAGGTCTAGGGGCGGAGGAGGACGCTTACGGTACCTATGGCGACGGCGGTGTCGACTGCGTCGCCCGTGACCATCTTGACCTGCACGCCGGCCTCGCTCAGCATATTGATCGCTTCGCGGACCATGGGACGGGGCGGGTCGCAGATGCCCACGATGCCCATGTAGACGAGTTCGGTGAGAAGGGCGGGGCCTTTGGCGAGGGCGATCACCCGTAAGCCTTTGCGGCCGATCTCGTGCGCCTCCGCGACGAACTCGGCCCGTTTCTGCTCCGTTATGGGCTGGACGGTGCCTGGAAAGCCCCCGATACGTTTGAACTACCCGTACGGCTCCGCGAATTCGGAAAATTAGAAACCGCTCGACGTCCTACGATCGTCCAGGTAATTGACATGTTACAATACATTTAGACTATTATTGCAGTACACTGTATATTTGAACTACTCGTATGGCGACGCTCCCACGGCTCCGATTGGAAATCCTTTTCTCAGACTGTCTATCCTGCTAAAGCGTTCGAAATCGATGAAAACCCGGTAGCGATACATGTGAACTTCAGGTTTGTCAGCATTTGAACTACGCGCGACGAAGATCCTCAGAAATTTAAAAAAAAAATTTTTTCGACGGCCGAAATCGATTAAAGGTGTTTCGCGATTCAAAAGAACAGAAAAAAGATTTCCTGGGCTCGAAATCGTTGAAAACCGGGCTGCGGTACAGTTGAACTACTCGCAAATACGAGCGATCCTAGTTCCCGACAATTAAAAAAAAACTTTTTTCTGGGTTTCGTAGCGGTCGAAATCGTTCAAAATCCGGCGACGGTACGTTTGAACTACTCGCAAATACATGCGATCCCAGTTTTCGACAATTTGAGAACAAACCAAAAACTTTTTCCCGGGTGTTCTTGTAGTCGAAATCGTTGAAAATCCGGCAGCGGTACAGTAAAAGTACTCGCAAACACGCGCGATACTAGTTCCCGACAATTTGAAAAAAAAAATAGAAAACTTGCCCGGCTTTCGTGGACGTCAAATTCGTTCAAAATCCGAGGAGGGTACAGTTGAACTACTTGCAAACGCGCGCGATCCTAGTTCCCGACAATTTGAAAAAATAAAAAAAAACTTTTTCCCGAGGTGGTACATTTGAACTACTCGTACGACCGCCCTTCCGGCGTTCTCAGCAATTAAAAAATTAAAGTGCCGACGTATGCTGACTTTCCCGGATACTCCAAACTTTGCGCCGGTACATTCGAACTACTCGCATAGTCGCGCTCCCACCCCGTTCCGATTCGAAAAATCGTCGAATCGTCCGTCTCACGACGGCGGTACATTCGAACTACCGCGGCGCCGACTCTCACCGTTGACGCTGTAAGCGGTACACTTGGGCAGGATCCTCTCCATCGCGCCCTTGGTGAAGTACACCTCCCGCTTGTCGGGATCGTACTTGGGCACGCAGCGCACGGTCATCGTCTTCTGTTCAGAGCTGAACGGGTACTCCTGGAGACGGACGTAACGGTCCGCGACGTTGTACATGCCGTGTTTCATGGCGGCGGCAAGTAGAGCGCCCTCCGTCGGCTGCCCCATCAGGACCTCGTTGGCGATGACGGCGTTGTTGGCGACGGCGCCGACCTCGAGCAGTTTGGCGACGCTCTCCCGGGCCGCCTCCGGATCGTCGCACTTGTGAAGGAGCACCTGACCGTGGTCGTTGTAGCCCGCCCCCGTCAGCTCGGCTATGTAGCCGTCGGAGGTGACGAGGACGGTGGCGGTCATCTCGTTGCGCGTGATCGTACCCGTCTTGTCCGAGCAGATGACGTTCACGCAGCCGAGCGTCTCGACCGTCGGCAGTTTTTTCACGATCGCCTTGCGTTTCGCCATCCGCATCACGCCCAAAGCGAGCGTCACCGTGACGACGATCGGTAACCCTGGAAACGGACGAATTCGGACGTTTGTTACTTTCGCAAAATGAATTAAATTTTTTTTGCGAAAGTATACGTGCTAGTTACTTTCGCAAAAATCGATGAAATCGAATTTTCCAAAAGTATACGCGCTTGGCAACGGTTGGTCCACTGAAAATTTTTCAAAAAGTACAGGGTGCGCCGCAAATTCGAAAAAACTGAAAAATGTACTATTGAAAATTGGCCATAACTGAAAGACGGTGCTTCGGATGTCAGTTCGTTTTACATGGCGATATAGCCTCCACAAAGAGCTAAAACTTTTGTATTTAAGGTTTTCACCTATTGTACAGGGAGTTCAAGATATTAAGAGATAAATTCAAAAATTAACAGGCGTTTTAAATTTGCGGCTCTCGACTTCAGATTTGGCAGAAGGGTGGAAGCCGACACCCGCATTTCGTCTGTTGAAAAAGGACTAAGTGAAATCTCGCAAAGTACTTTTCAAAAAAATTTAAAAATTTTTTTGGTATATTTTGACTTCCAGAAAAAAATTATTTTCTCGAAAACTATCAACCCGGTCGGGAAAATTTGTGAACCATGAAATGCGGGAGATCCGGCACAATAACTTTTATTCCAGGCATTTTTTCCGTTATATACAAGGTTTTTCAATTATAAACAAAAATATGAAAGGCCCCGAAATCAAAATCGTGAAACAAATTGTTCAGCGTTATAGGCCATCGGGAGCAACAATTTTTTTATTCATGGTTTTCGTCTATCACATCTTCTGTTCGAGATATTTGAAAAAATCCAAATGAAAATGGCCATTTCTCGACCTCAATCTAGACGCGATGACGTCATTTACTATTACCACGTACTGCATGGTTTCAGAAAACAAGTATTTTCTTGAAAATCACCGACTCTAATTTATCTTCGTCCCGCAGATTTTCTTATAACGCCGTGGTGATTTTTAATAGTATACCCGATTCGGTAAAATCAAATTTAATTAAAATTATTTAAAAAATATTTCAGGTTGAAACTGCTAACTTTTAAAAAAATTGTATTATAACAATATTATACTACATTTAATTTATCGATGTATTTATAAATTCCTATTTAGTTTTCGATTTGAACATTTAAGAGGTTAAGTGGAGTGGCTTTTGCTAGACCGCGCCCCTTCTCTACCGTATATTTGTATATACAACGATAAAGGCAATATATTATTACATATTACAAATATGAAGCGGCAGGAAATTCTACTAAAAAACCAAGAAAGCCAAATTTTGAAGATTTGGATAGGGCAACGTTGCAGTGGTTCCAACAGCAGTCTTAAAAATGTACCACTCCCTGGGCCTATCGTAAAACTAAAAGCAGAAAAGATTACAAGGCTTCGGAAGGATGGTTGGGAAAGCCCGTGATGTCGACAGAAACGTCACTAACGATTGGCTGGAGCATCCGTGGCCAAAACTAGCAGATAAGTACCCTGTTGACGACATTTTTAATGCTGACCAAACTGGCATTTTTTACTAAGTGACTCTTAAATTTCGAAGCAAAAAGTGTGTGGGTGGAAAACTTTCTAAAGAACGTATAACAGTGTTAGTAGCTGTCAATATGCGTGAGAGAAAGAAGAAAGCTAGTCGTGATTGGAAAATCAACTAACCCGCGATGTTTTAAGAACATCACTAATAAACAGTCTTGAAAAACATGTTAATGGAAATGATCGAGTCCGAAGAGAAATTTTCCATTAATATGCTAGATGCAGTCAACTTTATTAGTAAAGCTTGGAAAGAGGTGACAGCAGAAACAATTCAACACCCCTGATAGGACTTGGAAAATGATCAACCACTAAGCGGGTAGATAAAGCAGTCTCGAACAACAATTTCGTTTACAAGTGAGGAGTTACAACAGCAGATGCCCCTCTCGAAGTACGAGATGCGATTGGCATACTAAAAAAAATTCAAAAGAAAACGACCGATTATTTGGAACATTAAATGAAGTTCTTAAATATTTATATAAAATAAAGTGCCTATAACTATTTGTAACGAAAAAAAAAACAGCCCCTCCAATTTCGCTATATAGAGTTTCGACTCGTGGACTTACGACTTTGCGAAAGTTCAATAGTGGTGCGCGGGATTGCGAAAGCAATCTTGTCGCCCCCACCCCCTTGAATCTGTTATTGCGAAAGTTCCATAGTGGTGCCAGTCGCCTCGCGCAGCGACTGGATTACCAAAGCAACCTCTTACCTTCGGGTATCGCCGCGACGGCGAGACTGACCCCGATCTGGAACATCTCGAGGAGCACCTTGCCCTGCCACCACCCGATCAGCATGATGACGGCGATGATCGCGAACGAGTACATGGACAGCTGCGCCCCCAGGCTATCCATCGACTTTTGTAGCGGCGTTTTCGGCGCCTTCTCCTCGAGCATCATCTTGAACACGGAGCCGAACTCGCTGTTCGTCCCCGTGCTCACCACGATACCCTTGCCGTTACCCGAACGTACCAGCGTGCCCATGAACGCGATGTTGGTGTTGGAGGAGTGAGCCCCGTTCGGCCTGAGCACCGAGTCGGTGTTTTTCCGAGACGGTTCCGTCTCGCCGGTGAAGGAGCTCTCGTCAATCAGCAGGTCGACGGCGTCGAAGAGGCGCAGGTCGGCGGGCACCCGGTCCCCTATCTCCAAGATAACTATGTCGCCCGGGACCAGCTCCCGCGCGAGGAACGAATCGGGCGTGCCCTCCCGCAAACAGTGACACGACGGCGGCACCAGCTTCGTCAACTCCTGCAGCGACTTCTCCGAGCGGTATTCCTGGACGAACGCGACCGTCACCACGATCACTATCGCGATGGTGATGCTGACCGCGTCGTCGAGCTGCTTCATCGCGCCGGACACTACCGCGGACGCGAGCAGCAGCAGGATGAGCGGGTTCTGGAACTGCTCGAGATATTTCTTCCACGGCGGGTCCTCCACCGACACCTTGAACTCGTTATAGCTGCGAAAACGAAACGGTGTAGGTTCAATTTTTCAATGAAACATCCGCAGGCTACTGCAAGAATTTTCACAAAACTTCTCGACCCCCCATGACTCTAAAATTCCTCGTCTCTACGGACCCCCAAAGATCCACAAAGCAGGATAACCCCTTCGACCTATTGTCAACACCATAGCTTCCTCCATCTCAAAACATTAGAATGTGTTAATGTTATTTTATTTTTTATAAAAATCAGCTACTGGTGAGGAGAAGACTCAAGATATTCTTGCAGACGGATCATATCGTCAAATTAAAAAAGATCCTACGTCATTCACCAAAATTAAAGTGCCTTCTGGTGTTCCGCAAAGATCACACCTGGGACCCCTTACTCAATGTCTTCTTCTTAAGTTTCTTGGTTTCTGCCTTGAGCAATTTGCCAGCTCGTTAGGTGTGAAGCAGCTTGTCTGGCCTGTGCCGTACTAACTTCACTTTGATTGCATTGCAGGATTACTCGGAATTGGAAATCTCTCTTCAACTTACAACTTTCTCACCATTCTTTATAATCTACCGCACTCAAAGAATTAAAAGACTGTCAGTGAATAGTATTGGGCGTTGTAATGTTATCTTTACATTACTCTAAAGCCTTTGATCGGCCTGACCATAAGCTTATGTGCGTCAAATTGAGCTACTACGGCTTCGATGATGTTTCGACTCGTTTTTTTGATAACTACTTAGCTAACAGATATCAGAGAGTGTAAGTTCTGAATTTCTCCCTGTCTCATCAGGTGTACCGCAAGGTTCCGTCCTTGGACCTATATTATCTTTAATTTATATTTCTGATATTTATACATCTGTCGAATATTTGAATTTTCATTGATTTGCTGTTGACACTAAACTAACCACGAGAGACAGACAAACTAATAATGAGAGCGTTGAGCTCGGTAGACACGATGCAATTTTTCTTTTTATAAACTTATAGGTTTAAGCCGTAATCACGAAAGATTGCTCTTGAAATATACGATTATAAAAAAATAGAACTCCCTACATTTTTAGGTACACTTAAATAGCTACGAAGAATGTTTGGGTAATATGCTTTCGCGTACAAGTATTACAGGAAATATAAGAAAACAATTAAGCTACAAGTTGAATTTTTACTACAACAAGCATAGGAAATACCCAATATCTGTGCTTGTTGAACACTTTGATGTTTCTTAAAACTTCTCAAAGTTTTTACAATGGAGGTCAAACCTATGAGTTTATTTTTTTTATTATTATTTCTTTTTTTACAAGCAAAACAAAAATACACGTAGAAATTGCATCGTATCTACAGGGCTTAAAGATCTGCAATCCATCACTGCCTTTCCACACCTTCACTCCTTTTTTGCCCGGGACAGGATTTCGACATATTTTGAGAAAATAGTGCCGTAAAAAATTCAAACATGGACGATCTGTGAGCGGCCATGTTGTTAGATGAAAGCCGCAAGGTCTTATGGGTCCTACGTCACAACTTGCCATTAGAGCTCCCGTGGAACAACTTCAGGTTAGTAAAGAAGAAGAAGACTACAGGAAGGACCACAGAAGAGCAAAAACGTTGCTCAGAGGATGACAATGATTTTGGAGCCAACAGTACTAGAGCGGCTTTCGTTCCAATCGGGTAGGCGAAAAAAGAAAAAGAGTTCTCTATGCGGCGACCGATAAAAACGTTTGTTGATCATTTTAATTCACCTGTCATAAAAATAACAAATATTTAGATTTAGTAAGAAATACGGTTGAGAAATAATGCAATTCAAATATATAATTGATAACAATTTTTATTCTATCACAAATAAAACGAATGTTAAAACTGGTTGCAAATATTTAAGTTGGGAAGCAAACAAATTACCCACAGAAGAAGTGGAACGTACGGGCTTTTTATTTCTATATACGAGGTGACTTCGAAAAGTAACGTGACTTTTTGCATCAGCCACCATAGCCACGTTTTGTTCATACAATTATGGCAAGTCATAAATACAATATGTATATAAAAAATGAGACGATGAAAAATTATATAAAGAATGTATAAATTACCGTGTATAATACATAAAAGCAGGCCAGTGTAAATAACAAAGAACAAGACGTTTATATAAATAAACAAAAGGAAGGACCATCAACAAAGTTATAGAAAGTCATTGCACAGTCACGCCGTTCACAGACGCTTCAATGGACCGAGTAAAAAAAGTGCCTTTTAAGAAAGGTTAAGATGTTTTTTTTTATGTTTGTCTGTCCGTTCTCCGTTCTCGTCTTTTGGTTGTTCCTGAATAACTTTCGAACCGTTGGAGCTACAAAATTGACATCTGCCTCCTTTTTAACCCTCCACGAGGCACATAAGCTTATAAGAAATCGCATCTTCTTTTCGCGATTTTCGACGGTTTTTTGGACCTTGTATATAAGTGTCCGAAATTTGAAGCAGTCGACTTCATGTTTGGCACATAAATGCAGTTTTGCCCCGTGACGGAACCTATTGAAAATGGGGGGGCTGAGGGGTCGGGAAGTATTAAAAAAAAAAAATCTTGACTAAGATCATTGCGGATAAAATCTGCTCAACAATGCCAACAAGCGAGGAACAACAAGGATTCCGAAGAAACCGCCCCACTACCGATGCATTATTCATACTCAGGCAACTGGCTGAAAAATCTTTCCAGCCTATCAATGCTTTATAGATTTAACAAAAGCCTTTGATAGAGTCCAACTAAAAGACATTATCACCATCTTGGAAAGCAGTAATGTCTCGAAAGAACTCACAGAACTTATCAAAGACTTAAACACAAATATGCCATATGGAAAAACAAACATTTGAGTGCAGAATGTAAGTCAAGAATATACAAAACCTGCGTACGACCAGTGATGACATATGGTGCGAAAACCAGAGCTGAAACATCAGTAACAAAGAGAATCCTACGAACTACTGAAATGAAGACCTTAAGAATGATAACTGGATACACATTGAGGGACAGACAGAGAAATGTAGACATAAGAGAAAAGTGCCAAACAAATGACGTTGTCAGATGGATAAGGCAGCGAAGAAGAGAATGGAACCAGCGTGTCAGTAGAATGGGCCCCGACAGAATAGGGACAGAATTGTTATTTCTAGTTAAATAGTCATGGTAAGAGGAGTTCTGACTGAAGCTGTCTATGCTTTTGTGTATTTCTTATAATTGATAATAAATATACAGCCAAGGAAGTGGCATAATTTCCAACTTCTTAAAAATTGGTCGACAATGCCCGAGATAACCTGCACCGGCAATCAAACGAACAACTTTCTTTTGCAGTTTAAATGCCTTGTCTGCTGTGCCAAAATTACAGAGAACTATTCCGTAAGTTAGATAAGAGTGAAGAGTCCTTTAAGTTTACGAATTACTAAAAATATTAGAGGCAAGTTTTTTACACAATAGGGGCCCAATCGTTACTCCCAAGTGCCTAACATTCTTATTATTAGTTGAGTAAACAAGACGTTGTGGCTTATCTGCGTTTAGTTTAAAGTTATTGTTGGTGAACCAAAGATCCGCCATCCGCTCAACATTATCAAACCAAATCGGGAATCACAAATGCATTTTGTTTTTTGAAAAAATCGTGATAATTGATTTTTCAAAAGTGTCTCGAAGACCTTACGAAATATGGGAACTATTGATATGGGTCGAAGAGTTTGTGTTACCTTTTTTTAAATATTGGAACCAGCTTAAAATTAATGTCATGCAATTACACAGTCTGAAACATCGTCTTCCGCCATCCAGTGCAAGAAGAAAGATTAAGTTACATTTGGGATTTTATTCAAAAACTCATTAAATTCATTGGGTGACTTTTTCCTGCTTCCAAAACTCAAGAATCACATGAGACGAAGGAGGTTTGGAAGGGACACCATTAATTTTGATAAATAAATAAATACTTTTTGATAAGACTTACTTTTTGAGGGCAGAATAACTATAACCATTATTTATTTCTATCGCCATAATAAATTAATGTTCATTCGTCGAAAATAAGCAAAATAATTAGTGAAAAGTACTCTAGGTGGGTTACCCGGAAAATTGCCTGCGTTGCGTGGCCTCCTGCCAGGTGAGACCTTTGAGCACGTCGACTTCCAGCCTCTGCGCGACCTCCTCGTAGGACAGGCTGCTGGCCTCGCTGGCCGCCAGCCACATGGGCGTCGTCGCGGCATCCTAAAAAAGAAGAGGACTCACGGAATGCTACGCGGCCGCCCCATATTGCGGAAGCCGCCGAGCGAGACCGCGCGGCTATTGTAAACTAATTCGCGTCGGATCGTTATTGTTTCGGTTTCATTACCGTTCCGGTCAAGTCGCGCCCCATCGATTATCGATTCAAACGGGAAAAACCTCGAAACGCGTCCGACAGATCGAGACGGCCGCGCCGCGACCACGGACCACAGAACGGAGAGAGAGAGAAAACGAGAGACACGGTTCTGTTTAAATTGGTCCGAGCAACAAAACGCTCCTTAAAGCGCGCGTATCTTCATTATGTAATTTAGCGAGAAAACGTTTCCTGTCGCGGACTTTTTATTGCTAGTTAAGGCCAATAAAAAAAAACGGCGGCGGCGGCGAGTCGCTGGTATCGAAAAAAAAGGGGCCGCGGAATCGAATTGACCCGCTTAGATATGGGCGCCCCGCGGCGGTCTCGTTAACCAAAAAAAATATATATTTGAATATTGAAATCGGCGAGCGGTCGAAGTAGGCCGCGACCGCGCGTGACGTCACCTGTTGCGTTCGGAGCGAATTTGAGGCGGTGGTTTTACCTGGGGCGGTTTGTCGCGGGCAGCGCAGGGCCAGCACTTGCACTTTCCCTTGCACATGTCCGGCGCGCCGAAAATCGTCTCGAGAGAACGGGCAGCGAAAAAAAAATATCTCATCAAACCGAGAGCATATCGTGACGCGCGCGTGGATCTACGTTTGAGCGTTACCGCTTGACTGACGCGACCGCGCGAGCAGATCTGCCAATTAAACAATAGGCGAATTTACCCATCACTGGCTAAGCCTTTTTTTTTCGTCGCCCCCCACCCCCCCAGCTCGCGCGCAATCAGCCTCTAAACGGTTGGACGAGCCGCGGCGCGTACAGGGCGGTCAGTTTAAACGCGAACAATATTTAAAATCGAATGTACGACCGTTAAACGGAACCTAACCTCACAATTGTCTCAACGAAGAGTCGGGACAGTTTACAACTATCGGTTCAGTAATTAATTGTTATTTGAGTGCAAAAAGTAATCTAGAGAAGAAAAACAACAAGAACAATTATATTTTGATGCTGTAAAAGGCATTCAAAGACCCCGAGTCGCTCCATTTAATAAGATCTGTCCAGAGATATAAGAAAGTGACTAACTGATACGGGCAAGCTGTAAGAATGAAATATGGCCGAACGGATCACTACTTTGCTTAGAATTTAACTATTTGGGGTTTTGTTAGGAAATAAACTATTTATTTATATACGTGTGTATTTATGTTTAAATCTAAAATAAAATTACAAATTATTTTTATTACCTATTTAAATTTAAATTCCGAAACTTTAGGTAATAATCTTGTTGCATTGTATGTTAATGACCACCCTTCGATAATCCCATTCAAAAGCAATTGGCCACTTTCTTATATCTATGAACAGACCATCCCTAAACCAAACCTAACCTCTAAATTGTGCCCGACCGTGATTTTTCAAACCTTGAATTATTCAGTCGGTGCAAAGAGTCCCTCGGCGCGTTCAATATTCTGAGGCCCACGAGTGCGGGTGCAGCAATTAATCATTATCTCAAAATTGTGCCTAGTCCGGATTTTCCAGATGCGATTTATCCAAAAAACCACTTCGAATTATTCGGCCGGTACAGAGAGTTCCTCGAACGGTTTACCAGGGAACCACTTTTAACGACTAATTAAGGATTATTTGGGTGCAAAAAGTAACCGAGAGAAAAGAAAACGACCATCGAGGTACGACAACAAATTTATTGCAACTAAGAGGCAATTTTCAACACAAATGCAGACCTCTTTAGCGACTTAAAGGACGCTGTAGGCGACATCGAAACATCCAAAGCCTCCCGATTCGCTCCATTTCATATTTAAACCAAACCTATCCGCAAAATTGTTTTAAAAGTGTGCGCCGCTGTCCCAGCTGGGATTTTTCCCTAAACCACCTCGAATTATCGAGTTTGTAAGAAGAAAAAAAAAACTACCATCCTGGTACAAGAACAATTACATTGCAATTGAGCTGCCAATCTTCAGTGCAACATGGGCTCAACAAGCTCATTTTTCTGCCGATTTGTCTTACGCAGTGTTAGCACAGCATCGAGCACTGTCAAGAGCTACCAACCAAAGTCTGCAATCGAAAATTTTAACGACAGCCGTGTTATTGAAGCTGTAAAAAATCAATTGCTGAGAAATGCCTTCTCCGCCTTTGAAAAGTAAATTAGCAGTGCTTTTGAATTGATTTAAATGTTAAATATATATACATAACGAACCTCTAAATAAGTGCTTATTCTGTGTAAATCCTTCAAATCTGTGGCTCAAATAGATTAAAAACGGGTCTCCTGGATACAGAACAAGCGTTCCGCAACTGTCCATTAGGGCCGCGAACCTCTGAACCCATTTTGTTTAATAAATTTGTAACAACACAGATCAGAAAAATGACATACCACCCGAGAACATAAAGAGAAAAAGACCATACACTCGCAACATGCCTTTATTTGGATGTCGCCAAAATTCAGTTGTGGTCTGTGGCGCTGACTACATGTCATTTACCGGCTTGCATAAAAACTTTTTACCGAGACCGCCCTGTAGTCGGGCGCCCTGCACGCTCGGCTACGCGCTTAACAACAAAATTGCTCGGAATTAAGCGATAATACGGGGCGACCCGTATTTCACGTCGCCCGCGTTAAAACGTCTCTTACGAAAAAAAAAAAGACGAAAAAAGTGCAGAATATACAATTAATGCAGCAAATATCGCCGAGGCAGGGCGATACGGCGACGCTCGCGTAGCCTCGATAGCGCGCGGCGACGTCACGGGGCGAATTATCCGTTAATTAAGTCGTTCCGGTCATTTGAGAGCGAAAAAAATAAATAAAACCCGGCAGTTTTCAAGACGATTCGAGCGAAAAATCCGCGTACCGGAAAAAATACGATAATTATCGAGGATTTTTCACGGTCCACGCGGGCCCAATGTCGTCGTTTTCGGGAAATCGATTAACGGGCAATCGTAAAAAAACGATTATCGCCGCGCTAATTCACGAAATCCGATAAACTAATCGGCACCGCGAGCCGATGACGTCATCGGTGAGCGGACAAACGGCACCCCCCACCCCCCGGCCAACGGCCGGGGCGGGAAAAAAGAAGAGCCAACGATCTCGACCCTGTACCGCGGTGGTCCGTGACGATTAAAAATAACTTTCTTTAACGTTTTGGGCAAACACCAGGGTGCCCCGGCGGCGCCGTCCGAATTATTCCTCGCGACCTTGGAAAGGTGAGTTTATTCTGGCGCTTAAAACAATCGTGCCATGTTTGCCGTGATATGCAAAAGAATTATGGAAAAAAAACACGCACCAAAAGATAAAAACGCGGTGTTTGAACGGCGGACACAATGCCTCGCGGTAATCCGCCGCGTAAACAACCGCGTCCCCGGGATTAGGCGAAAGTTTTGCCAGCGCGGCATCGTAAAAAAAAATCAACGTACGTTTTACATTCGGCGTCGCTATCGATCGCGTGTTTAAAAATTCATAAATTAACGCTCCGAGGGTGGAGGAGGGGTAGAAATAAAAAAAAGAACGCGACGCGCCGGCAAAGCCGCCCCCGATTCGAGCGGCTCTTCGAATCGTGCGAAAAGTATGCGCCTACCGAGTGTCTGTGGATCAGCAGGCTGGGAACGTCTTTGTAGGAATACTGCGGCAGCTTGTGGTATTTCGCGTTGCCGAACGCCTTTTTCATTGTCGCCGACGCGGTCGCTACCGGTGCACTGCTCGATTTCTCACATATTTCGAGTTTTTCGCACAGCCCCGCACGTAAACGTTACCCGTCGACACCACAACAACATACGTTTTTGACAGACCCCACGCACGCGAAGTTGGCCGCGTCACGGACCGCATTTTTTCGGCGCTGCGGTCCGTGACTCGGATTTTCGCGAAAAAAACCGACGCTAACGAGCGTTTCGGCGACTAATTGGGGTAATTGGCGGCCTGAATGCAAGCGAAATCGGGGCCGGCCGCGACGGACGGAAAAAATTTTTAAACGAAGGCGGGCGGCGCCATCTGTCGCCCGGTAGCCCGTTCGAAAATCGATACGTCCGTGAAAAATGACGGACGTGTCCGGCGAAAAAGTCGCGATTTTACCCTTACCTCGCGCTCCTCGGATGGCTCACTTTCCAGCAACGCCCTGCGAACCGGTTTGGCCCGTCCCCACGGATGCATGGCTCACGGCGGGCTCATTTCGCGGGCGAAATGGAATTTTGACGATGAATTTCGAAAACGTCAGCGCGGCTTGTCCCGTCGACGGACGCGAAATCGATTTCTTTTTTTTATTTGAAAAGGCACAGAATCACGTTTAGAAACCGTGCGGACTGCGTAACTTTGGTTCTATGCTTTACGATCGAGTTGAACCATCCCAATTCTGTGCTATGACGTAACGAGTGACGACAATGAAAGCCACGTGAAAATCAACTAAACATTTATTGCGTTTTGTGCTTTTTCGACTTTTTTTTGGCGGGACTAAATTGGATATTACCGATATCGGACTTGGCGGGTTCCACCGCGTCGAATATATTGCGAATCGAGTCGTCTTCATCGTCGGGGATCTTTGTCTTAGGTCTCTTTTTAAGCAGTTTTTTGTTGATTCTTCTTAGATTACTTTCCGCCTCTCGCAGCCTCTTCCTAATGCGTTCGTCCAGTTTAATTTGTTTCTTATAAACGGGCCCGAACAAGGGATGCCTCTCCTTCAAATTCTCGGGCAAAAGGATCGACGTTTGTTCGGGTGTAGGAATCTCGCACGTTCCAGAATCTTTGAGGTATTTTTCGATCGAGAGCAACCTTCGAACGCTCACATTTTTCACTGCCGAATCGCGAAAGACGGCCCTCTCGGATTTGCCCGAAAGAACCCTAAGATTGTATTTGCCTTTGCGGCCCGGCACCTTGAACTTGAGCCCCTCCCGTGACCCCAAATCCCAGGTTGCGCCCACTAAAGATTGCGGATCGATGGTTTTCGGGCACCTCAGCATGAAGTATTCCACGCTGCCGCGTTCTGGCACAGTCACATCCAAGTTGTACTCCACAGCTCCTGGATACTTTGTCATGAGGGCGGCGTGCCAGTTATTCGGGTCCGGTTTAGAAGGGGCGACAGAACTAGCCGCAGTCAGGTCCCTAGAGTTGTTGAACAACTCCTCATTTGATTCAACCGGCTGAGGTAAAACGATTTCCTCAGACTCTGAGTCACTTTCTCGTCGAGGTTCTTCTAGCTCCTCCCCATCGTCTTCTTTTGTCTTCTTGGGCTTTTTCTTTTTTCTCGGTGTTGCTCCCAAAGATGAATCCACATTGTTTATCTCAACTTTGGTTCGTTTAGGTGCCGGAACTAGCGCTTCCTCTTCAGCAGAGTGGCTTTCTATACCCTTATGTTTCTTTCGAGACTCGACCTTTTCCTCCCAGTCCCGCTGGACTACCTCAAATTCGTCCCCATCGTCCTCTTTTGCCTTCCTGGATTTTTTCTTCTTTTTCGGCTTTGCTACCAACGACGAATTCAAATCATTTACCTCGACTTTAATCCTTTTAGGTGCCGGAACTAGCGCTTGTTCTTCTGCGGACGAAGCTTGGTGTCTCTTCTCGAATTTGACTTTAATAGGGGAGGGTAACCGTGCATCTGAGGTAGAACTCGCGTCGTCATTAAAACTACAGTTTCTAGAGGACGTGACGAAACTGTGGCGTCTCTTCTCCACTTTAACGTTTATCTCCGCCTCCTCTTTGAAGGTTAGGGGCACCGGTAACCATACTTCCTGGCCGACATCGCGACTCTTGTGTTTTTCCTTCTTAACCTTGATCGGTAACGGCAGCAAGGACTCCCTGTTGCCGCTTTCTACTTTCACTTTAACTGGCGCGGGCACCGTTCGCTGTCCGTCATCTTCTGCGTAACCATTGAGGCGTGATTTCGACCTTTTCGAAGATTTTTCTTCCGTTACCGGACCGTCGTCTTTCATTTTAATTCGAAACGGGGCGCCCCACAAGGCGATTATAGTTTCGCAGGTTATTTCGACGCGCGTCTTCCTTTCGTTGTCCTTTCCGATTAAGAAGAAGGGCGAGGTCTCGCGAAGTGTCGGAAAAGCTGCACGGGGCTCGTTTCATCGGGTCAGAGACATGCCCGGGCCGACGCTGATGCAAAAAGTACGTATCGAACGCTCGCGCCTCACGAAACCGCATAGCGGGGTTGTATTTTAAGATTTCCTTAGCGGAAGAAGCCGTGAAGAATATGTCGAAGAGAATAAAGGCGCTGGAAACGAGACTGTGCACCGAGCAACTAAACGAGGCGAAAGTGAAGGCGATAACGGCCGAGTTGCTTGAGACGAAGAAGGTCGTTGCGGTTTACAGGCAGCAAGTGTCTCACTTATTGCACACCCACAATCGGCGAAGCTTCCTGTTCGTAGGCGGCCTGGTTTTTGTAATATTCACTACGTACATGCTGTACATATTGATAAACGGGGTTGAGATTTGAAACCGTCCGCGCCCCATTTTTGTTTTTGAAAGAATAGACCGAGAAAAAAGGTGTTTTATTTACCTAATGTGTATTTCAAAAAATCTTACAAATTACAGAGTCGCTTAACCTAACCGGTTATTTAAAATCTAGTCCCCATAATCTCTCATCGTCTGCCTCTGCCTCTGCCGCGACCTCTCGGGCCGCCCCTGCCGCGACCCCTGCCTCTGCCCCTGGTGGCGCCGCGCGCGCTCTCTTTCTTTTTGGCTTTGGCCTTCGGGGTGTCGTCGATCAGCAGCGTCTCCAACGGCAAACTGTCGGGCAGTATGTAGTACCGGATATTATTTCCGCGGACCGTTAACGTGTCCAAAGTAACGGGGTTACGATTTTTCACCGTCACCTTTACCGCCTTGAGATGCGTGTTCATCGCAACGTCGACGCCCGTGATGGTGCCGTGCACCTGCGTGCCATTTTTCAACTCCATGGTGACCGTCTCATGGCTCAATTTCATCAGAAACCTAAAAGGACGCCCGGCGTTTTAGGTTAGAAACGTCGGACTCGGCTTCCTCGCGGACGCGTCCCTTTCGAGAGGCGCCCGTACGACGGAAAACCGCCACTCACCTAACTAGCTTCATCGCGCTACCGATGTGATTCAAGCTAAAACAAAAAAATGCCCAAACAAACAAGCCCCTTCCGACGGCTGAGTAGCAAACACGGATTGGTAGGTTTTGATATGCGTCCAAACACGGAAAATATTAAAAACAATAGATTGGAAAGGAAAAGTCGACACGGGCGCCATCTCGTCGTCGGTAGCCACAGTTCGTAAAATACCGTAATCTGTTTACCATCATACCTTTGCTGGTAATGTATGTGCGTTAGGGTCAGCATATTATCAAATGAATGAATACAAAACAACGAAAAACTAATAAATTAACATATATTATAAACAATCACAAAGACCAATCGTTTGTGCTCGCGAGGTCGGACATGAGCTTGTCTTTAATCTTGGGTCGCGGGTCTTCTTTGATTTCCGTCTCTATGGCTCCCGTTTTACCCAACAGATATTCAAATTCTAAAAAAAATACCCAGTGGGCATTTGGAAGTGCCTCTAGACGAAAGACTTACCTTCTTGGGTGAGGTTAGGGCCCCTGAACTCAAGCGAGCCGACGATCTGCCGCTTGAGTTCGCCCTCGAAGTAAACGAACACGGTGGGCAGGTTTTTGTCCGGATAATTCGGTATACAAGTAGTCGATATGGACTTTAAAAATTTTACCGTGGGATATCTGGGCGCGAGTCGCCTCATGTGTTCGTTAATTAACGCGCACAACGGTATACCCTGCTTGTAGAGGTGTAAAACGACCCAGACGCTTTCGCCAGCCTTGTTTACTTCATTTACATAGTCCTGGGCGGATATCTCCCCGACGAAGCCGTATTTGGACCTCTCCGTCAACGCCTTGATCTCCGCGAGCCTCTTGTTTCGGTACTCCAAAAGGACCGCCTCGTCTTCCGAATCCTCGAGCTCGTCGAGCTCGTCGAGGTCCAGCTCGTCCAGCTTCTTCCCGTCCGACGTCTTTTTCTCGATGGTATCTTCGAGTATCGACACGATCTGCTCCTCGGTGATTTCCTTCTCCCTCGCCGGGATTATGCCTTTCGCGCGGAGCGCGTCGTTCCATTCCGTATCCTCGTTGGGATTTTGCATTTCGTGTTTTTCACGACCGCGGATCGCTACTTAAAAGGCAATCGCGCGAGTTGAGGTTAAGACGTTCTATCTTCCACATGACGCGGGCGAGCCATCGCTTAAGTGGTTGACTCACAGATAGCGCTGCCCCAGAAACTAAGCGCCGTTATTAACGACAACAAATAGGTGAATCCGCTCTCACAATTGCAAAATTTTGTGTTACGTAGCTTTGCGGAAACAGATTTTCGAAGTGGAAACACAACGAGTTATATTTAACCACGCTGCAACTTGACCGAAGGCGTGTCGATAGTTGCAATGCGCGGCGAGCCACAGGGTGGTACCGTTTAACTGGTGCGTCGACGCACAGATGGCGCTGGCCGCGAAATTAATTGCCGATCATTTCTTTTGGTTGATTGCCGTCATTAACGACAAGAAATAGATAAATAAACTATGGCAATTGCAAAATTGCCTGTTAAATAGTCTTGCGGTTACAGATTTTCGACTTGGAAACACGACGTGTCATATTTAACCACGCCGCAACTTGATCGACGACGTGTGGACGGTAGCAACGCGCGGCGAGCCACAGGATGATATCGTTTAACTAGTGCATCGACGCACAGATGGCGCTGCCCGCGAAACTAATTGCCGATAATTTCTTTTCGTTGATTGCCGACAATAACGACAAGAAATAGATGCCACTCTCGCAATTGCAAAATTGTCTGTTAAATGGTCTTGCTGTAACAGGTTTTCGACGTGGAAACAAAACGAGTCATATTTATCCACGAAATAACTTAATCCACCAGCAATGAGATGGCGCTGTCCATTACTTGGCTTAAATTAATTTTTGACGCATTTGCTACGGATTTAGTTATGCCGATAACAACGGTTTTATTCATTTAAGTGCAAGCATTAGCGATAAGGCGGCGACGATAGGTATCGCGGAGCCATCGTTCGAAACGGCCGGCGATTTGGCCGTGCTTAACCAGACGCCGATCAATCTGTGCACCTCGCGCCTGACCTTCTTCAGCTCCTCCGGGTCGCCGTCGGTCTCGGGGTACATGTTGGCGCAATGCGCTGTGCCTAAAACCGAGAAACCCTCGATATCGTCGAAACCGCCGAACCGGCACGTATACCGTTTATCAGAAAGGCGGGGGAAGCGTCGTCGCGGGTCCGGGTCACTCCCAGCGGATGCCACGGGTCGAAAGAGCCGTGCACGTGCACCACATTGGTGACGCGCGCGTCCTTGGCGCCGTAGCGCGTGTTGGTCGTCGCGACGGCCGCCGCAACGACGCCCTCGTCGAAGCCGTCGCCGAAGACGTCGCCGCACAGGCCCGTGAAGAACGACAGCGGCAGTCTGTCTCCGAAAACCTTCGTCTCCTGGTTCGACGTTTGGTAGAAACCGAACTCGGTGCATGTCTGGTACAGCCACTGCCTCACTGGAAATTCCGAGTGAATGGCACCATCTAGCGGCCGGCGGTGTACTCACTCATCGTCGACGGGCTGAGAGTGACGTCGCGCAGCTGCGCGACGACGTTGTCGTACTTGTAGTCGACGCAGCTCTTGCCCGACCTCTTCAGCGCGAGCCTGTTGACCTCGCCCAGCCTGTCGAGGACCGTGCCCGCGTCCTCGTCGACGAGGATCTCGCAGAGGTCGTCCACCGACACGGCCCGGTTGTAGTTCTTGTTGTACTGCGCCACCGCCGCGAAGTTGTCGTCCACCAGCATCTCGTGGAGCATCGCCACGTCCTTTGGCGCGTCCAGGCTCGTTTCTATCGGGTTGCAGAGGTCCAGCGCGCCGTCCACGTAAGCGTAAACGGAGGCGTCGCGGCCGGGCACCAGGAAGTCGGCGAGTTGTTCGAACGCGAGCCCCAGGTTCGTCGCGCAGCGCTCGCTGTGGCTGCGCAAGTCGTCCGCGACCACCTGGAGGTAATCTGCGAGGGCGACCGGTGCGAGATCGCATCGCCGACCCTAAACTTACCGCTAAAGTCGAGGACGGCTTCGAGGGGGCCGCTGGCGGCGACGGCGCCGGCCACCAGGTGCGGGTACTTCTGTCTCAGCCACGTGGCCATGCTGGCGGGGTACGAGCCGCCGAAGAGGATCCATTTGACGTCGTCCGCGAGGCGGTACTCGACGTTCATGGCCGCGACGAAGGCGGCGACGTCCTCGAGGGCCTGGTGCGTGGACAGGTAGCGGAGGTTCTCAACGCTGGTGTCGGCGAACGGGTGACTCTCCCCGTAGAAGCGGTGCTCGAGCATGAACATCAGGGCGCCGTACTCGCGGGCGGACTCCGCCCACGAGCCGAAGGTCATCCAGCCGACGGAGGCGGCGGACTCGCCGCCGATCTGCAGGAAAACGCGGTCTCGCGACGCCGCGTCGAAGTACTCGTCGTTGACGTAGTATCTCTACGGAGAAGGCGCCGTGAACGTGCAAAGGCGGAGCCCGCCGGCGGTACCTGGAGCCAGGTGCGGTTGTCGACGTGGCTAAAGTGGTCGAGCCTCTGCGGAAAGCGGCCGGTCGAAACGCGCGGGCTGGCGCGCGTCTCCGTGGGCGGCAGCAGCCCCAGACGTTTCCTGCCGAGGAAGCAGACGCCCACGTCGACGAGGAGCGCGAAGATCGTCAACGAACGCATCACGTAGATCGATTGAATGATCTCGAGATGATTCGGAGGGTTTAGCGTCGTCCGCCAGTGGCGTAGCGCCTCCCGATCGCGTTTCCCGCGTTCAAGAGTATTGAAATAGTATCGAAATGAACCCATAATACATTTCGTACAATGAACGTTTTCCTTATCGCAGACTAATTAAGTAGGCCGCGACAATCAAAATAAGCGATTTAAATCGAAATCGTTTTGTTACCATGGAAACGTCATCAACAATTTTGTAACGTTTGTTGTCAGTGTCATTTTGGGAATGTTGTATTTATACAATTTTCCGTGGAGGGGATTTTTTTAAAAGAAATTTTCTTTTGATAAAATTCGAAATGCGGAAATCCACTAAAGGAAAGTTTTGAGTCTAATTTTATGCTAAGTAAATTACTCTAAAAGGCAATCGTCCTTAAAAAAATTCTACGTTCTTTTGAGTCATATTAAAAAAATAGCCCAAAAAACTATGTTTGTAATTTATCAAGCAATCAAGCAAGCAATTTTTGGCGTAATTTAGGGATGCTGTTGATAAGTAACATGTAGTGTTACAATCTTGCTCCCACCGGCTCCATTTTATAAAAATAATTTTTAAAGAACCTACCGGGTGGGCAAAAAAAACCGGAGAAAAATGTTAAATAAATTTGTTTTCTCTTTTTTATAGAGCGCTATTGTAACTTAAATTTGATTCATGAAAGAAGTTGTTAAATATGTTATGTCATAACGTTTGTTTGCTATGCTCTTTTGACACTAAGATTAACTTTAAATCAAAACCTTCAATGAACGCTCTTATGGCAAACAATTATAACAAAAACAGACCAAAGTCTTAACTGAATGATACTTTAGATGTATAAAAACCCTGTTTTTGTTTAATTTCGTTTCTTTCAAGCAAACAAACTTAAATATTTTTAAAAATCCAATAACAATAACTTTTTTTTTGTTAAATTGTTGCTTTTGGGACACCCTGTATTTTTTTAAAATTTACTTAAATGTAATCATTTCAAATGTTTCAAATGTTTCTACATTTTGTGTAGTGTTTTCATGATTTAATTAAAAACTGTTTGTAAATTTGGTTTTGTTGTGAAAACCCTGTATAATAATCATATTGCATTAAAGTTTAATGTGCGTAATAATATTTTCGTTTTATTGTTGGGTCTTTATTAATATTATGTAAAATTTATTGGCATTACGAAAAAGTCGAATTAGTCAAACACCTAGTGGCGCACCGCGCGCCGCTGGCGCGGTTATCCGAGCCGCCTTAAGCCGCCGAAATCCGCGGATTAAGGACGTCGCGCGTTTGATTCGCGCCGCCGCCGCGTTGCGAAACAATGCGTGCTTGCGTAATGCCATTGTTCGGATTTCAATGGTCGCGCTTTCTACCGAAATCGCCCCGTATATACGGGGTGCTTTCTAATTGAAAAGAAAACTTCGTATGGACGTATGTCTTAAACGTCTTCGCTTTTGGGATGCAGGTCAAATCCGGCTCGAAGGGCCAAAGTATGTTTTGAATCCAGCAAAACGCGTTATACTTCGACCAGAAATATAGTGCTTTTACAACCGACCCCATGACTAACTTTGCCTACTGTTTATAGAACACCCTGCCGATCAGGAATTTATTTAACTATATTAACAAGCGGGATGTAAGTATATTTTCAATATTTTTCGAATTATTAATATACAAAATATTAAATATATAATAATAAAGCACTTAAGAAATCGTCACTTCTAGGGTTAAAACACTATTCACAGTAAGCGTCGCAGATTATACGGTAGTTCGTCTTCTAAATTCTGTATTGTTTTCCATGGTCTCCACATCTTAAACTGTTAAAAAACAGGAAGCTTCAAAAAATGTTTAATTGTAAGATTCTAACGAATATTTATCTGTATTCTCATGACGTACCTTTACGTAGAGTACCCTTTGAACTATCCAGTGAAATCAGCGTCCATGTCCGAACAGGTCCGTACTTTGCTTAGAATTTAATTATTTGGGGTTTTGTTAGGAAAGATACTAAACAATATTTATTCATTTATGTATGTATTTATGTTTAAATCTAAAACAAAATTACAAATTATTTTTATTACCTACTTAAATTACTTAAAATTATTCACATAATATATCAGTATCACTATCGCTATCATCGTCTGTTCTAATTATTATTTGTTCTATATTATTTGCAATATGGATATACGATTGTTCTGCTTTTTCTATATATTTAACAGAATTTGCCCAACTTTGTGGAGGGATGTTAAAAACTTCGGTTTCTATAAGTTTGAGGACATTGGAGTTAACACGGGGAAAAACATTATTACGACGAATGGCCGATTTCAGTTGGTGTCAAATATGCTCAATGGAATTTAATACACAGTGTTAAGGTGGACTAACTAACCAAAACTATATGCCCTACATTTTTTGCATAATTATCACAGACGTATTCCTTTTGTAGGTTCAAGCTTTGTAGATCCTCAATTAATTGCTTTTTGGTATAATCTTCGTGAAAATAAATGTCGTTATTTTACATGTAGTTTTGGATTGTTGCTTTTGTGTCCCACGAGGAAGGGGTTTTAGTCAACTGTCTACTGTGATAACTTGCATTGTCCATTACAATGACGCTATTAGGAGGAATGTTTAGAACTAGTTTGTTTTTAAACCAACTTTCAAATAAATCAGCGGTGGTGTCTTCATGATAATCCAGAGAAGAATCTTTAATATTTTTCGCAGACAGAGAAAGTCCATTTGGAATCCAACCATCTTTAGAGCCAGCATGCGAAATAGTTATTCTTTTACCTCTTTTTGATGGCGCGTTTGTTTTACACTTATCAGTTGAGTCAACCCGGCGTATCATAAGCGTCGAACCAGGTGTCATCCAAGTAAATAATTGGCCTTTGTTGTCCTCTGTAAATCCTAATTTTTTCTAGATATTCCAGTCGCCATTTCCGAACTCTAAAAGATTCAATTAAAACTAAAACCCATGTGTTGAATACACTTCCATAAGGTAGTTCTGCCACATTTAACACCGGTTTCATCTTTTTTGCTTTTAGTTTTACGATAGGTCCAGAGGGTGGTACATTTTTAAGACGTTGCTGTCGGAACCACTGCAACATTGCCCGATCCAAATCTTCAAGTTTTGGCTTTCTTAGTTTTTTACTAGTCGGCATCTTTAAAAACAAAAAAGTTACGGCCAATTAAAGCGTTACCAGGATAAATCGAACGCTCGGTACATATTACGTCTCGAAAAGAGAAAGACGCCGCGAAGAAGACACCGCGGCGAAAGTCTCCGTCGCCGATTTCCGCGGACGACGTCGCCGAGGGGTCCTAAGATCGCGCCGGATCCCCGCCCCGCCGCCGCCGCCCCCACGCTCTATTTAGCGTCGACAATGGCCCCGGGCGCACGTCGTTTTCGCCGTCATTCTCAGTCAGAGTGCCGCCATGTATCTACGCGCGTTATTCCTCGCGAGCGTCGCCGTCGTCTCCGTCGCGGCCGACGGAGACGACGTCCGCACCTGCACCGACAAGATGGAACGCACCCTCGAGCTGATCCGGAGACGGCACGTGGCCAAGGAGAAGACGCTCGAGGGGTACTCGCTGCACCAGCAGATGCGGACCGCCCCCTACGACATGTACGTGACCGACATGCGCGTCCGTTTGCCGTCGGCGAAGAGTTGGGTAAGGGTCGAAAGGTGCAGGTTCAACCCGATCAACCACAGCCTCGACACGAGGCTCCTATTCAACGACCTCACCATCAGCGGCCGCGTCAACCTGTTCGGCGAGGGGGCGGTGTCGAGGGAGCCCCTCGCGCCCAACCCAGAGGACTCCTGCAACATGATACTGCGCCTGCGCAAGGCCGGCATCGGGTGCGTCTAATCCGTCCGCGTGCCCGATTCGACCTCTATCGATTTCGCGGTTCCCATTGTCGATTTTAGGTTTCACACGGAACCGCTGAGGCGGGAACGGGGCCAGTTCAACGTCAAGACCGATTCGCATTTTCTCGAGCCCGGGTTCATATCGGTGTACGCCTACGGCTGCGAGCCGGGCCTTGGCCGCCGTCGTCACAAAGGTCCCGACGACCCGGAGGACGAGGAGGAGGAGGTGTCGCGCGAGATGGAGGACATATTTTTGAAGGGTGACTCGTGCGAAAGCTCCGCCCCCGCTTCCCGGGTGACGCGTCGTTTTTCGTTTTGCAGGAATCCGCTCCTTGCTGACGACGTACATGCAAAAAGAACTGCAGCCCGCTATCAAGGAGACGCTGATGCGCAACATGGGCTACACCGTGTCGTACGGCTGAACCGCTCGAGCCGACCAGTATCGATTGTACATATAGTGTATCGGTTTGGTTGTTACATGATAAATAAACGTTTATTATACGCGCGTTTTTGAATATCTCGCAACGCCAGCGCCATCTCGTAACGGCGAGCGGAACCATATTTGCGGCTTCGCGCGTTATCGAATAGATGACGCTTTTCCATTGAAATAAAAATTGCAATTGCACCATTCAGTCACATTTTACGACAGACGGCTAATTTTGCGTTTCAAATTCTTACAAGTAATAAAAATGGTGTTTTTCTACTACCTTCTGTCAAATGCCTAATTGCACACCGATCTAACGTGCAGGAAGCGTCATTTTACCACGTCAGTTTCGTTTCTCACGCCTAACGATTTTTCAGGTACAACAATTGCTAGCAAAAATTCAAGGCGTTTAGCTTTGAACCATTTCAAAGTGAAGAATCGTAAACGCGTTTACTATGCATGGAAATAATCTGAATCTGACCCGAGTTTTGATGAACTTTGAGTATTTTGAGTAGCTAATATAGCATTTTGTTTGGATAATCACTAGTTATTTTCATTTAATGTCAACATAATTATTGGGAAGTAGCGTAGGGTAGGGTCTTAGGTAGGGTAAAAATAATACTATTACAATCAAGTTTGGCTTATATGCATTATCTTGAAATACATATATTAAATAAATATTGTCCATACATAACAACTATTTTTAGGTGGTAGGTAAATAATAATATGTATTTATATGTATCCTCGTTTGTACAATACCTGGTGAGCTTCTTTTTTGGCATTTTTGGAATGAAGTCTTTTTGATCTAGATAATCCTGCTTCTGTTGGTGGTTTCTTGTTAAATAATAATAGGGTGGGAACAGCAGTTTTTTTAGAATATTTTTTAAAGGTAAACCAAAAATTTAAATTTTGTGGTGAATTTAATGTGTTACTCAAGACAAAAAAAACCTAATAACTCATTTTGTAAGTCTCTTTCGTGATCATTTTCAGTAAAATGAACTGAGCAGACGTAACTTTTATCTGGATTAAGTTTGTCCCCTCTTCTACATCGAACTATCCACTCGTTCTGAATATTTCAGGATACTAGATCTTTCCCTTTGGGAAAGCGATGAAAACTACATTTTCGAGAACTTGCTTTTTCATCAAAATAGTTGTTATTGCACCCATACATCGCACATCTCGTTCCAGGCATACCTAACCAATTTTTTATGTAGCTTATCCTGCTGGAGAAGGTAAAAGAAATGTGTTTCTTACCTTTACCTATATTATTATGTGTAATATTTTGACCTTACCTTCTAACCAGTAACACCGCTAATAAGCAGCACGAACACAAAACTTTTAAGTCTTTGTTTAAGGTTAAAAATACTGTATTTCTCAGTTCTCGCCACTTAAGCACATACAATTTTAAAGTATTTGTTAAAGCTGAAAAACACTGTTTTGTCCAAGTTTTTTTTTACAGAAATACAATTAACACAAGCATAAGCGCACTACTCACTAGTTTAAATTATTTTAATTGTTCAAAGAATACAAAATACAACGGTTTAATACACAAAAACCATTAGAGGACTTCGCTGACGTCACAAGCGACCACGTGCGATCGATAATTTTGGCGAACGTATGTTTTATGGGATTGGGCAATCCTATTGGGTTGCTCCAGTTTCCTAAGTTTCTACGTTTCTGCTAGGTACATTTCACGCCTAATAGATGGCACTCTCGCATTTAAATAATAGCATCGGAGCTAAAGGTTACAACTGCGTTTCGTATATTTAACCGTTCGCCGGTTTGACACGTTAAAAACGCATTGTTTGTAGTAATAACTATTTTATAATGATGACGTACGTAACTGTGTTTTTATGATTGTGTTAATTAGGCGATTTGAAATAAATGGGGCGCATTTTGTATTTAAAAATAGCTTTGGAGCAATTGAAAATTTAGCAAATACATGAATTTTACTGTGTTTTAGCTTAGTATCCTGTCGTCGCCCTTATTTTACGTCAGGTGGTGATGAGGGATCACTATATTACGACTTTGAAATGAGTTCAACATTTTTTGAATAGATAGCTCTCGTCGAATGAAGAAAACCACTAACGTGTTTTTCGTATATTTAATTATTTCTTTGCTTAACAAAAAAAAAACAGTTTAAAACACATTAATTGAAGTAATAAGAGTTTTATAATGTACGCGTTGGACTAAGATTGCCTTAAAGCTTTCGAAAAAGTTAAGAAGTACATGCATTTCGCTGGGTTCTAGCTTAGTTCGGCCTAAACGCTTTAATTATGGCCGTGATTATTATACAAAGTCAGCACCGTGATGCTGGGAACTATATTTAGACTTTGAAATGGGTTCGCGCTTTTTTCAATAGATGGCTCTGCTCCGATAAAGAAAAGCGTTTCAATTTTGTACAAAACTAATGAATTGCACTGACGTTTCGTGTATTTAACTACTGCAATTATCAGAACGTTTTAAGAATGCGTTAATAGATAAGTTTCGAATATTTTGAAACGTAAGCGCCGTGTCGCGATGACGCGCGCAACTACGTTGTCTTCAGGTTGATTCGGACCGTTTCGGATAGATGGCGCTCATCTGCACTTATGAAAATCGCTTTAACGCTATGTACGCTATGTCATGTAACCGTGTTATAACTGAACTTTTCGATAATGCGGGCAAATAAAATAGCGATTTTAAAGTATGGCTTAGATTTATCAATTCCGCGATGTGTATTTGCGTATGCAAGGTTGATTTGTGCGTTTTCACTCGAATTCCGCCCCCGTCGGCACCGATTGCATCTAAAAGTGGGCTCTCGGTCGGGGTAACGGGACTCGCACGTGCACTCATTAGTGTAACGAAGTCACGTGCGTTCCCTCGGGATACGCTGCGGGGGGAAAGTACATGAGCGTAGCTTTGTTCTCGAGTGTCTTTCCGCCTCGTATATACGGGGGGAGTCGCTAAAACCGCCGGCGTGTCGAAACAGGGGGACGCAACGGAGCGTCGCCCCCTCCGCGCTCATAAAACCCAATAAAATCACATAATTAAAATGTGTAAGGGCATTTGTAGAGATTCGCAGTCGGCCGGGCGCGCAACCCTCCCACGATCAATAAGTCACAAGGCCTGCACCCTCGATCGAGAGAGGGTCGGTTAACTAGACCGATGTATTCATTGCGATGGGGGGGGGGCGGCTTCGGAAAAGTCGCCCGGAAATGACTTCGACGCTCGCTTGTTTTCGCACGGGTAAGTGGATTAACGCGAGGGCCACCTGCGTGACGGACGTGATTAGAGAAACCTCGCGGTTTTGTTGCTTCGCGCGCGCGGTCCTCTTTGTCATTTTGCGTTTGCGTAAGAGGCGCGGGCTTTCTCTTTCGCGACGTTGGGCAAACGCGACGTACCGGGCGTCCGAAAAATGAAAACCTCCTCGTTTCTTAATAACCGTCTACGCCGGTTCCCACGTCCAGGTCCGAGACGTTGGCGCCGCCGAGTCTGACGCACACCTGCAAGTCGCGTTCTTACGCCCACGTCATTCTCGTACGGCCGTAAAGACGGACGGCGTCGAAAGAATTGCGACGCGCACTTGGAGCTCGAAAACAGTGAAGTCGTCGCCGACGCCTCCACGGAGACGACGTCCGAGAAATTATTCACCACGTCTAGCGTAACGTGTTGATAAACCTAGAACTCAATTCGTCGGAGACGAAGTCCGACTTCTCGGACGTTCCCCGGGTGACAGTTTCGTAACCAGATGGCGCAAACTTTCGGCCGCAGCTACAAAGACGGCCGCGGCATGTAATGTGTAATGTGGAAATTATTAGAGAGAAGGGTAGAGGTAAGGTGTTTTAATTCTGGAATTGAACTGGGGTGGCTTTTACTTGATGACAATCCATGTATCAAAATAAATAAGAACTAAAAGATTTTCACGAAGTTATATATTTTTACACGACAATTGTTTCGACAACAACGTGTAATATTTACCTGCTACTATATATACAGAAAAATGACCATAAAACCTTAGTTAATTTTGTTGTGAGAATTTAAGTTCAATAAAGGAGAGGTATTTAAATCTGATCGTTAAGCAGTACATTTAGTGACAAAGACAAATATTTTTTAACAATTATGAATCCACAACCGCCGAAATTATATTCTTTAGTTAAATTACAGTGTTACACTTAGTCCTTTGTTAGCCAAGAAACGCATTAACGGACATAAAAGAGCGTTTAAAAAAAATAGTCTAGATTCTAATTATGCTACACACTTAAACTCAGAAAAACACATTTTTGACGACAATTTTGATATTTTACATACGGTCACAAAAAGTAGAAGATTAAATCTATTGGAAGCCATGGAGATTAACAAAATGAGACAGTCAAAGGTATTGCTTAACGATCAATTGGATTTAAGCACCTCTCTTTTATTGAACTTAAATTCTCACAACTTTAATTAAGGTTTCGTGGTCATTTTTCGGTATATTTTCTATTGATAAGAATATATAAGAATGGGAAGTTATTAGTTCCTATTTCAATGGTAAAACGTATGTTAGGGTGTATAGAGTTGATTAGCCTAGAACTCAATTGGGAGCGGTGATCGTCGGAGAAGAGGTCCGGCTTCCCGAACGTTCCCGGCCGTTTCCGAAAAAACACCGTCTCAAATTTACCCGAATTGCGCGGCGCGCACCTAGAGCTCGCCAAGAGTGAGGTCATCGCCGACGCCTCCACGGAGACGACGTCCGAGAAATTAGTGGCCACGTCTAGTATCGCGTCTTAAAAAACCTAGAACTCAATTTACAGCGGGCGATCGTCGGAGACGAGGTCCGATTTCCCGAACGTGCCCCAGGTCACATTTTCGCAACCAGATCGCGCAAACTTTGAGCCGCGGCTACGAAGACGGCCGTGTTCGAAAAAATACCGTTTCAAATTTGCCCGAATTGCGCGGTGCGCACCTAGAGCTCGCCAAGAGTGACTTCATCGCCGACGCCTCCGCGGAGACGACGTCCGAGAAATTAGTCGCCACGACTAGTATCACGTGTTAAGAAACCTAGAACTCAATTTGCG